CGATAACGGCAACATTGTTATGCCAATCGAGTTTGGCGATCGCGACGTTGTTTCCAATGTGGATAGTGTCGTCGCTGACCTTGTAGCCCTGCTGACGGAGTGTGCCTTGACTCAGCAGATTGACTGGGCAGTCAGGGCAGTACTGTACATCCTCAATTGACCAGTCGACCACCTTGTTGCTGTCATCTGGATCAACGGCAGTGAAGTAAACCGTGCCGTAACCAGCTGGCGATGCGTACTGACCGTTGGCGACTTCCATGGGTGGCAGTATTGCCTCGGTGAAGGAGGTGAACCAACTGAGGTTGTTGAAAGTGGTTCGCGAGCACCCGGAATCCAGGATAATGTCGTCACGGTTAATTCTGCCCGTTGCCATCGAAGTTGAGCACGGCAAGACTGTATGTCCCATTGTGTTCTGGTGGAGAACGTTCGGCGTAGCCTTGACCGCGACTGCCTTACCCTCCCGGCATTCGGAGGTACAAGTATGAGCAGCAGCTTTCTTGAGCAGGTTCTCACGGTACTTATGGTTGGACGGGATGAGGTCGGGATGGGCGACCCAGCAAGAGGTAGTCGCATGTTTCTTGCCGCAGTGTTGGCAGTCAGGACCATTGTAGTTGTTGTTAGGTCGCTGATTGTTGTTTGAGGTGTTACCGGAGGCCTTGTTGTTGCCGTTGCTGTTGTTTCCAACGGCGACGTAGCCCTTCGCGGCATTGAGTGAAGCAGTCCTTTCGGCATTGGCCTTGAATGTGAGATCGCGTGTGAGATCTTCAAGAGTCTTGGTGTTGTCCTCGACGTACTTGTCGTAAAGTGCTGGATATTCTTGTTGGCATCCGTTGAGTAGGATGAACATGGCTTTCTTGTGCCAAGAGGGGACCAGCTCATCGATACGACGAATGAGATACTGGCCACGCTGGAGATACTTATGAGTATCTGAGAAGTCCTTTCGCTTGAGGTTGCAGAGCTCTCGAACGAGCTCGGCGACGGCATCCTCTGAAATCTTGGGGATGATGGTCTTCAATTTGTTCATGAGAAGGAAGGGGTTGCGGTCAGCCGTCTTGATGTCGTATCCATCAGCGAGGAGACGATCGAGGACTTTGCTGATTGATGCGATGATGATGCCGTACGTTTCAATGCGCTGGCTCTTCCAAGTAGTGAAGGCCACAGCCTGCGCTGGAGTGATAGGATCATCGCGATGGGGTTGAGAGACGTCTTCATCGACGTACTTCTCGTAATCGAGAGTCTCAAGGGTGAGATGCAGTACTGCGTACCATTGGTCCCAATTTTCTTCTCCCTTGAGGTCGGGCACCTCCCAGCGGGCGCGGTTGCCAGCCATGATGACGATGGAGGTGAAAGATTCGTGATAGTGTGTGTATAGGTGTAGACGGCCTGTACGGTCGCGTCTGTTGTTGTTTTTTGAGGAATCTGTACCTCTGCCGTTGCCAGTCGCGACGCCGCGATCTCTGGTCGACAGATTAGTAACTGCTCAATTGAACGGGCTCTACGCAGAGCTGGGCGATCAATTCATATGGGGTAAAAAGAAAAAGAGTCAACGCTGGGCTCTCATAACCTGTGGAGGCAATACTACTGTATTGGATCTGATGATGATGATAGGAAAAGCTGAGCGCTGGCTGGGCTGGATATCTGGGCAAGGTGTAGGTGGGGCAGCTCCGAGATGTGAAGGAGCTGCCTCACGTGACCCACCTGCACCTGCCACAATAGTTGTTGTGATAGCTTGGTGGTCAGCCCCTGGGTGCAGGTGTGGGCTAATATAAGCCTCAGCAAAGGGGATATTTGAGAATGTTAGGTCGAGGGTATGCCTATGTGTGGCAGGTGCAGGTGGGTCACGTGAGGCAGCTCCTTCACATCTCGGAGCTGCCCCACCTACACCTTGCCCAGATATCCAGCCCAGCCAGCGCTCAGCTTTTCCCATCATCATCATCATCATCAGATCCAATACAGTAGTATTGCCTCCACACTATGAGTATGGGTAGGGACCCCAACCTCCCCAATAAACGAAAGATCGTAGCCTTCAGCCCACTCTGCAATATCGTCCCCCCGATTCCGGCTAGGGGAGCCTGGTTCCCAGGTAGGGTGGCGGGCGTTAAAGTCCCCTGCTATAAGGGCTCTTTCTGGCGGATAGTATCCTAGGAGAGCAGTAGTCGTGTGGTTTGTCGGCTCACCTGGCGGCCTATATACGTTGATAATAGTGAAGTTGCCAGCCTTAACCCATAAGATATCTCTCGTTTGGGTAGGCCTTTGTTGCTGTATTTGTAGTCTTAGACTCTTGCGTATATAGGTCATAACCCTAGGTCTTGTATCTCTGTTGTTCCAGAAGTCAACTGGGATATAGGAGTTATAGCCTGGGTGTGTGTTGATTTGCATCTTATCTCTATAGCCTATCCAGGGCTCCTGGATCAGTACTATATCGATCTGATCCGCCCAGCAGAGCTCTAGGAGAGCTGTATGAGCTGGGCTTCTCTTCCCCACGTTACACTGGGCGACTCGTAGTGCCCGTGGGGAGGCTGGCCTGAGCCTACTGCTCTGAGTCGAGGTCGAGGTGGGTGTAGGCATTAATAACGTTGTAATCAGGCTTCTGCGCCACCCGCTGAGCCCTGCTGCTTGAGGTAGCTAGGGTAGGTTGGCTGGGTAGGGGGGGTAGGACTGGGTCGTCAGGGGCTTGCAGCCCTTCTGCTTCAGCCCCATTCTCATCTTCATCCATGCTGCTACAGCTAGCCGCATCACTAACGTCCGCTACAACAATTGAGTCCTGGATAGGGGTAGGGGCGCGTGGGCGCTTTGAGCCGGGCTGATGGCTCGTTAGGCTGTTGCTAGGTTGCTGGGTGTTGCTGGCTTGGGTGCCAGCCTGGCTGCTCTGATAGAGGGCCTCATAGGCCTTCTGACCAGCCTTACGGATCCGGGAGAGTTCCTTCCGGTCTGGGAGGGTAGGGGAGCCATTAACCACTAGGGGCCTTGCTGGACAGTCCTTATGGTTAGCTTGGAAGGGGCCGGAGCAGTTGGCGCACTTCGGTCTAGCTATGCAGGGCCCAGTCTCGTGGGATCCCGAGGGCCTGCTATAGTTGCTACAGAGTGGCTGTCGGTGATAGTATCGGTTCGAATAATATCCCTGGTATCCAGGATCATATCTAATTAGGGTCTTCTTCTTTTGGATAAGCTAAGACCTGCTGCTTTGGTTAAACAGTCTAAAGGGTGGTACTTCCATAGAGAAGGAGATGACCTAGGAGACTTCGTTTATAATAGGGTTTATACCTAGCCGGGACTGCTGGGCCCGGGTAGGCTTACGTCCTGTTTAGGCAAGGACCTCATCTTCTACCAGAGTAGCTAGGTCAAGGGCGTCGCCATCAAGAGTCCATATCTTAATAGGGCAACGTAGGACGACGTAAGTAAACCACTTAGTAAGGGTCTTAACTTTATAGGCTCCAAGATACTCTACTAGTTTCTATTTGTTTACAAGGAGGACTTGCTGGATCTGCTTATTCAGGGGTCTCAGTAAGTAGCCAGTTGCAATATGGTAGATATGTGGGATATCTGCCAGCTGGAGCCTAAGGGCCTGGCAGACTATCCGGCGTAGGGCGAAGGGGGCGTGCTTCCTAGCAGCCGCTAGGCCCTCTTCTGGGATACGGGTAAAGACCCGGAGGTCCTCCTTCGGTTGGGATAGAGCCTGGGCCCGGGTCTCCGTCAGACTCTGTGTCTGGACTTCGGGCCGGGTGGGGATTCGGGTACGGGTCGGGGCTACGGCCACGGCTGTAGTCGAAGCCGAGGCTGCTACGTCAGTCCATTTCCGGCTCGGAGCCGGAGCCGTAGTCTCGTTACCCATAATCCTCTTCAAGGCTTGGATTACATAGGTTGTAGCTTCTTTTGCAATCTGCTTCCTAGGCCCCTCAAAGCAAGAGATCACGTTGTCCACAGACTGAGCAATAGCCATAAAGACGTCCTTTCGGGCTTCATGGTGCTTAGCCTCTTCATTAAGAGCTGTAAGGACAGCTCCAGTAGCTGTCCCAGTCATAGTCGAGGGCCCCTTAGCCGTTAAGGGGGTTGTTGTTGGGGCGTCGGGCTGGCTTCCCACGAGGCTGGGCCGGAGTGGCTGGGCCTCGGTTTCGCGGCGGCGTTTAGCCCTTGAGGATGGGGGCGGCTCTGAAGAGGGTCCAGAGCCTCGATCAGGGCCGGCCGAGGAGGCCGGCAACGGTCCAGAGCCCGCCGGAGGCTGCGAGGCCATCGCGGGAGAGCGCCGGAGGAGAGGTGAAGGGTTTTCAGCTGTTAAGGATTTTGGTGGTAGCCCACTTATTACACTAACAGTAGATGCCAAGAAAAATTAGGCGAGAGGGAAGTGCCTCTATTCCATGGGAAAACCACAGGAAGGGATCAAGGGGGGCTAATTCACTTTGTTCCTACTGTAGTAATAAGAAAGTATTAAGGGTCTGCCAGACCCTAGCTGAGATATCTAGGAATAGCCTCATTCAGAAGAAAAGGACGCGGAAGGGCTGCTTGGACTGTAATATAGCTTTATGTATTGAAGGGGACTGCTGGTACCTATGGCATACCCAAAATATATAGGGAACAGAGGTACTGTTACCCTATTGGTTGACTCGACAGATTCACAAGTCCGTCCCTATTGGCTCTACCCCGCCCTTGGCAAAAATGGAGCTATCTGGCACTCGATGGGATAGATGCGACCGAACAATCAGAAAAACCCAGAGGCAAACATGGCGATCCCTGGCTGTAACAAAGACAGGGTTCAGTCCCGGAACGGGTTCGCTCGTCATCCGGCCATTGACGTCTAGAAGAATGGAAGGGCTTCCCCCGCACGAGATAGTGGGCTAGTATCGTCCGGTATATCAATCAGTGCAAGGACCTTCAGTCTCACTCTTTCAGACTTGCAGCTGTAGATCAGTCGCATCGTCGTCGCTGGTCAATTTGCACGCGCCGCGCTACCTTTAATACGCGACGGCACATCAGCCATGTCAAACCAAGATTACATCTTCGGAATGAGAGGCACGTACGATGCGCTCGTTCGTTCCGCATCGTATGGAAGCATTGCACTCTGGGCCTTGACTTTGCTCTCAACCTGGTATTTATGGTCGTGGTACCGATTACGACACATCCCAGGTCCTTTCCTCAACTCTCTTTCGATTCTGCCAATGCAGCGTATGACAACAGGTGGAAAATTGAGTTTCGGGCTGAAAGATTTAGGAGACAAATATGGTAAGATCTTGGAAGTACGGAAACTATCCTTTTCTTCTCATTTAGCTAACCATCGATGGATCGAATAGGACCATTGGTCCGCGTTGGTCCAAATGAAGTCTTATTCGGCGATCCGGACACATATCGCAAGATATCTGCGGTCAGGTCGGACTTTATCAAAGGTCCTTGGTATTCTCTCTCCAAGGTCGTGCCTGATCAAGACAGTCTTTTTTCGATGAGGGATGATGACCTGCGAAAGGAGTACAGAGCGAAGCTGAGTCCTGGTGTACGTGAAACCATCTGAGCTGGATCAACCACATGACTTCGAAGCTCACACTTTTGTAGTATGCCGGTAGAGAAAATGGTGGTTTCGAACCCGGCGTTGACAGAATCGTCGCGCAACTCGTCAACCTTGTTGAAACAAGATACATCTCCACATCAGAGGAATTTCGACCGATAGAGTTCTCCCATAAATCTCAATATTTTGCCCTCGATGTCGTCAGCGAGCTTTCTTTCGGAGAAGCGCTTGGATTTCTTGCAAATGACGAAGATTTATTCAGTTACGTGGCAACTAATAATCTCATCTTTCCGTATCTCGCAGTCATGCTCAACGTGCCGTGGGTGGGCATCTTCATGCAGCAGTGGCCATTGAACAAGCTGCTGCCCTTTTCGAGCGATGAGTTTGGCTTTGGGAAGCTTATGGGGTAGGTTCGAAGACTCTTCCACGACTCTCATGGAGCCGGAATCATTTCGTGGAGACTAATCTATGGCAGAATAGCGAAGAATCTGGCAGACAAAAAGCTAGCCGCCGTAGCGGATGAAAACAACATGGTCCAGCAACATCTTCGTAACGGGGTGACGTACAAGGAGCTACTGGCAGAGATCTTCCTGGAATTGTGAGCTAGAGTCAAACCCATCTCAAACACCTCGACGTACACTGACACCCAGAAAAAGAATAGCTGGCTCGGATTCTACCGCAACGGCGATACGAATGACCATGCTCTGCCTGCTTAACACACCGGCATCCCTTGGTGCCTTGCGCCGCGAGATGGACCAAGGCATCGCCCAAGGCCGCATCAGCTCCCCGATCCGCGACTCGGAAGCCCGCCAGCTACCTTACCTACAAGCCGTCATCAGAGAAGGCATACGCATGTACCCACCGTCAACGGGCCTCAACTACAAGCAAGTTGCCAAAGGCGGGACAGAGCTCCACGGGCAGTTCTTGCCAGAGGGGACGCAGTTGGGTGTCAATGTCCAGAAGTTGATGAGATCCAAGGACACGTTTGGCTGTGACGCGGACGTGTTCCGGCCAGAGCGGTGGCTGGAAGCAGTCGCCGAAGACGAAGAGCGCTTTCGAGACATGTGTGGTGTAGTTGACCTCGCGTTCGGGCATGGTCGGTTTCAGTGTCTTGGGAAGACTATTGCGGCCATGGAGTTGAACAAGATCTTCATTGAGGTGAGTCGGCGTCAATTATTTCTGAATGTTGAACGTTTGACGTGAAGGGAGACAATGCTGATCGCAGTACTGTAAAGCTATTCCGGAGATTCGATTTTGCGGTAGTGACTCCTCAAGAGCCTCTCAAGCTTTACGACGCTGCTTTCTGGGTTACAACCGATTTCTGGTTGCGAGTGGTACTGAGGTCGAGTGAATCTTCGTGATCTGATATGCGATGCCTTCGGGATCTTGTTACGGCTTGAAGTGTCTTGCCAGCATGTAATTGCGACGCCTGAGATACCCATGACCCATTTGTGGAAGGGTATGTTGAATGAGAGCTGTGGGGGAGAGTCTAGACTGCATCAAACTACTAGTACTAACTGAGTACTTTGTCGCCGAAATGACCTACGGAATTCGCGGACGAGCGCGTGCTCTTCAGTATTGCAGATTAATAACTGATTGAAAAGGAAAGCTGCCACCGCCATTTGCGTTGTCTTTTTTGATTTTGTGAGAGCAGTCATGTTGGCTCCGAGACTCGGCGGTGAGAGGCTCAAGGTTGTACCCCAATGTTTACACTTTCCAGCCAGAAATTTCCTGGACATCATCCATGGCATCGGGACAGAGTTTGGCGGCAATCCCGACGCATCCGCTACCCTTATCGTCTCAATCCTTGCAGGAACACTTGGGTACGGTGAGATTGTCGAAACTGACATGGGTACTGGCGGAAAATGTTCAGTGATAACACTCTTGGCGAAGCTGCCAGACTTTGACATGCGTCGGTCCGACGGTCGAAGCAATCTGGAAAAGATAGTCCTCGCCATCACGTACGGTGTATTTTACAGCACACAGTCTCCGAGTCTCGTTCGTGCTACTTTCTCCTCCATGGAATATGCTCGAGCCAATAGTTCATCTGACGTTTGTCAGGTCAATAATCGCGGTCTGAAGCCCAATCCAGAACTTTGGGTTGTACCCAAAAGGCTTCTCACAAGCTCAAAACTCCGCTCGACAAAGATTCACGTCATCAGTGCATGGACAGAGATGGTGTCACTTGCAGCACGCAACGAATCCTTCCAAAAGGACCGGCGAAGCCATAGCGGGATCGGCTTCGGTGTCGGCTTGGGTCGGTGTCAGTGACATACAAACAGGGCACACAAGCTAGGTTCTTCTCGAAGCGGGGGAGGGGAAGGGGAGCTGTGGATGCGGGGAATACCCATTGACATTTGTTTCCCCGTGCCACCTCACATCAACACTCTGGTCGTGTCAACGCGGTATGTCCTCCTTGTGTGCCATCAGCTTATCCACGATGAACGAAGCTACCCCGCCGGCATTGCTTGGCATACATCGAATTCTAGCAGAAACAAGGCAGGTCGCTCACGTTCCCAAGCAGCTAAGCTCTCTCTTCTACGCCGTCTTACTGCTTGTCGGTTCATCCCAGTTTCCATTGTCCGCGGATTGGGATAGAGAACGCTCGAAAGTCCCATGCCTCCCCCGGACTCGGGTCAGCTTCTCCCCCAAAGTGCCGGATCCTTGGAGAAAGATATGACGACGTGCGTTCTTACCACCCTGCCTGCATATCGCCAATGCAAACAGAACAGGGCGAACAGCTCCAGAATGCCAAGCAATATTGCGGGAAAGTCTCGTTCAATGGCATCACCGGCTTTACCGATAGCTGACGATCGCTGGGCATATTTTCTGCGACTGAGTTGCGGGCGGGCTGCCTGCGGGCGAAAGCTATAACTGCGCCTTTCCGCCACCCCTTCCGAAGGCCGAGCTTCGCCAGAGAAGCTTTTTGTTCTCAATATTTGGCCGTTGCCAGTAGATTTCCATTGAGCTGAATCCTTGCCCATTGCTTGCTAGGAATCTGCCCAGCATGCGTTGTCGTCAAGTCTCACTCGCTTTGACCTACGCGGCCCTCGCCTCGGCCTGTCAACGGGACTTCTTCGTCGAGAAGCGGCACACGCACCGCAAGCCCATCGCGAAGCGCGCCGACGACGTATGGCCTCCGGTCCTATCAGAGGAGGAGACGATCTTGGTCAACGCATTTGACAATGTCACCGTCGACGAGTGGTCCGATTACTACGGCCACCAGGTCAAGCTTGCGGGCCTAGGGAAAGAAGCTGCCCAGTGGACGGCGGACCGGTGGACGGAGAACGGCTTTAATGCGCAGCTGAAGGAATACCACGTCTATCTGAGTTACCCTGTGCATGCTTCGCTGCAGATTACCTACTCCAATGGCACGACGAACGACGTCAGGCTGGATGAGGATGTACTGGAGGAGGACGATGTGACGGGGAGGGAGGATAACCAACCGACTTTCCACGGTTACTCTGCCTCAGGACACGTGACTGCGGAATATGTCTACGTTGGGTGAGTCCATTGAGCCTACCTTGGCAACACAACATGCACTAACTGACAGTAAAGGCGCGGCTCGCAAGCAGACTTTGATCGCCTAGTTGAACTTGGGGTCGAGCTGGAGGGAAAGATTGCGTTGGCTAGATACGGCGGACTCTTCCGTGGCTTGAAGGTCAAGAACGCGCAGGATCACGGCATGATCGGCGCAGTCATCTTTACCGACCCCGGTGATGACGGAAACCAGACCGTTGCCAACGGCTACGAGGCCTATCCCCGTACGTCATATGCTTCATTGAGTACACCAAGGCTGTATGCTGACCGTATACCGCGCAGACGGTCCTGCCAGAAATCCCAGTGCCGTCCAGAAAGGCTCCGTCCTCTTCCTCTCTACTCACCCGGGCGACCCAACTACTCCGGGTTACCCGTCTCACGAGGGCGTCGACCGCGCAGACATTTCGCCTGTCACGCCCAAGATCCCTTCAATTCCAATCTCCTACGCATCTGCTGAGCCTCTGCTGCAGGCCCTTGATGGCTTTGGTGTTTCTGCAGAGGATGTCAACCGGACGATCTGGGCAGGCGCGTTAATTGCCAATTACAGCTCCGGCCCGGCCCCGGGCGTCACTCTACACCTGGATAACCTGGTGGAAGGCAAGATCACGCCTATTTGGAACGTCATTGGCCAAATTAACGGCACCAATGCCGATGAGACGATTGTCATTGGAAATCACCGAGACACCTGGATGATTGGAGGCAACGGCGACCCCAACTCAGGATCCGCAATCTTAGTCGAATTCACGAAAGCTGTCAATGCCCTCGTGTCCAAGGGCTGGAAGCCGAAGAGGAACATGTAAGTCGTTGATCCTTCATCACCATACGAGATGGGTGATTATAGATCCTAACTCATCTCCAGCGTGATCGCGTCCTGGGATGCGGAAGAGTATGGCCTTGTCGGCAGCACCGAATGGGTCGAGGACAACGTCGACTGGCTTACCGAGACAGCCGTGGCGTATCTGAACATCGACGTCGCAGTGTCAGGACCGAGACCCGCCCTCGCTACCACACCTGAGTTGCAGACCGTAGGCACTGAGATCTTTAAGAAGATCATCTACCCCAACTTTGGCGGCTTCAACATCAGCCTCTACGACGCTTGGCTGGAGTCCTCTGAAGGCATCATCGAGTCTCTGGGCAGCGGCAGTGACTTTACGGGCTTCTTGCACCGGGGCATTAACTCGGTAAGTACTTTTGACAACTAGGCACTGAATAGCGATTCATGGGGACAACAGCTAACAGACTCAAGCTCGACGTCGGCTCCAACAACGGCGCGACCGATCCGATCTGGCACTACCACTCAAACTACGACACCTACCACTGGATGGCCAACTTTGGCGACCCAGGCTTCCTCGTCCACGCCGCCATCGGCCAGTATCTCACTCTCCTCGCCTACCACCTCGCCGACGACGAGGTCCTCCCCATCGACGTGCCAAACTACGCCACCGAGCTGCGCGCATACCTCTCCGACCTGGAAGAGTACGCTGAATCTGAGGATGCTGAGATCGATCTCTCCGAGTTGTCCGACGCCATCGAGGTCTTTGCGACGCGGGCCGATGAGGTCAAGGCCCTGGAACAACTTGCTATCACGACGGGCGACGCGGACCTTATCACAGTTGTAAACCACAAGTACCGTGACTTCCAGCGGGGATTCATCAGCCAGGGTGGTTTGCCTGATCGGGAGTTTTACAAGCATGTCATCACTGCGCCTGGCTTGGACACCGGATATGCTGCTGTTCTGTTCCCCGGTATCACTGAAGGCATCCAGTACGGCAAGGGTAACCTCACAGTCGCCGAGGAGTGGGTTTCAAAGACCGCTCGAGGTATATTGCGGGCTGCAGATATCATCAAGACGTAATTTCTTAATAGACACCCGGTGAAATCCGCGCAACGAGCGACACCGGATCCCGGAGAAAGTGGGGCTTATCCCGAGGTCGTCTCGGGGAGCCCCGCGCTGTCGGCTCCATTCCTCCCCCCCCTTGTCAGGCCAGTATGGTAATACACGAAGGGCGTCGATTATACTGTAGGGTGACAGTTGATCCAGATAGATTCAGCGAGGTATAGTCCATATTCTAATATTAATGACGATTAGTTGATCCAGATATCAAACCTGACAGGAGACTTAAAAGTTATCTAATACAACAACACTCCTTCGGCTAAGTAAGGTAGTCATTAGCCAAGACTACTCAAGTAACTCAGTCCTAACAGGCGATCTTCCATGCAATAACCTGATATTTATCCCGAGGCTATGATGACAAACCCACATTCGAAAGGGTTGAGACTCATGTGTACCGCGGCTGAGGGTTCCGTCTCGTGATCTTTCATATTACAGTCCACATCACGGCTATGAAGGCGCAAATATAGTGGTCATAAAATATCATTCATTGTATCGTGAATCAACCTAAACTCCTACCCGGCCTTTCTCACTCATCGAAACCGTGTAATCATGCCAATAACGCGCCCTGGCTAGGTCAGATCCCTTACAAACCCTGGCCTCCAGGACGCCGCTTCTCAATGTTGAGAACAATGTCAATGAAACTACGCTGCAAAGGACTCTTCTTCCTAGCAGCCAGCAATTGCGCAGTCTTGAGAATGTTCTTAATCTGTCGATCATTGAGCTTCAACTCAGACAGCTCAGCGATATCCTCGTCAGAGACCTCGCTTTTGAGCGTTGCTCCCTGCAAAAAGTTGCGCCAGATCTGGCGGCGCGACTCCGGAGCGAGGTCGGGGTACTCAAGCGAGACGTGGATGCGCGACTGGAACGCCAGGTCGATGTTGTCAACACGGTTCGTCGTCATGAAGAGGATACCCTCGTAGTACTCGAGCGTCCGTAGGAAGATGGAGACGATCTTGTTACGCTCGAGGTCGTGCGTCGAGCGCGCCTCGAGAAAAACGTCGCACTCGTCCAGGAGCAAGATCGCGTTCCACCGCGCCACGAGTTCCAGGATGCGTGACAGGCCGTGCTCGACCTCCCACGGCTGCGAGCCCAGGTCGCCCGAGCTGAGGGTGTGCAAGGGAACACGGAGGTTCTCAGCGACGGCTTCAGCCGTCAGGGTCTTGCCGACACCAGGAGGACCCGACAGTAGGTAGATGATGCCCTTGCCCTTGCCGGAGATGACATCGTCAAAAGTAGACCCGTCGAGCTGCGACTCGGAGAAGGCGAGGATCAGCTCTTTCTGGTCCTCGGGTAGGACGAGCTTGTCAAAGGCGTTTGTGTTCCAGGTGATCTCCGTGACCTGCTCGACGAAGAAATCGAGCCACTTCTTCAGCTTGAGGGAGTAGCCACGCGTCCGAGACCGCGCCAGCATCTGGTGGTATGGAGTCAGCTTGAGATTTCCATCCTTGCCCAGGCCGTGTTGGCGCTTCCACACCGAAAGCGCCTCCATGTCCTTGGCGTTCCAGTCGTCGACGTAGCGGTTGCGGTGGGGGCTGAAGCGGTTGAACGAGTTGATGTCGACGACGATGCGGCCCTCGACCTGGATGGGCACCTCGTTGCCTTCGCTATCCCAGGTGATGGCGGTGCCCGAGTACTGCTTGTAGTTGTGCCCGGCCAGCTCCTCAAAGATTTTGCCGCGCTGGATGAGGGAGGTGCGCAGCTTTTCCCTTTGGGCGTGGAAGGCCCAGGGGTAGGCGTTGAGGCCGGTGATCTTCTTAGTACCGAGGAACTCGGAGATGTTAATGCGCTCGCCGTAGCGACCTAACTCCTTGCCGCCATAGTCGACACAGTCGGCGCGTAGCTGGAGGAACTTGCCGCAGTTGTTCTGCATGTACTCGGTCTCCTCGAGCTCAAACGCCGAAAGAGGGCCTTTATGAGCCGAGAGGACGAGGGCACCAGGCTGGAAGATCATCCACAGATGCTCAAATTTGATGACGCCCTTTGCAACGTAATCCTCAAAGGCCTTGATGGTATTACCAGTCTCGTACTGAAGGATGTCGTGCAGGATAGTGAGATGCTCTTTTGTGTTTGCATCAAGGTCCTTCTTGCCCAGGTACTTGCGGAATTCCGTCCAGCGGTGCACGAAGGGGCGGAAGGGGGCGTCGAACTCGAGACGCTCCAGCTCGCAGGCAACACCGGTGTAACCATCCAGGATTTCGCCCAAGGCCTTCTTCAGCCAGGGGCTCTGGATGACGATGGAGTCGGCCTCGAGCTTCTTCCGGCTATCGTTGCTCTTGATGTTGCGCACTACGACGGCGTACTGCTCCGTCTCCTCATTCTCGGTGGCTTCCTGGACGTCTTCGGGGTACTTGTCTACCCATGTCCAGTTGCCATCGCTGTCTTTGGCGGACTTGTAGATGTTCTTTGTAGAGGCGATTGAGCCGAAGGGAGCGAGTGGCTTCTTGGGCTTCTCCTCTTCGTCCTCCTTCTTCTCTTCGCCGTTTGTTTCTGTTGACGTCTTGTCTTTCTCGGCGGTTTCGCCATTTGACTCTTTGCCGTTTGTGGTTGTTGTACCATTTGTCTCCTCTTGAGCTGGGGTCTTGGTCTCTGTGGCCGACTCATCGACCATCTTTAGGCCCAGAGCGGCCGCTGCTGCTGCGGTTGTGCGTGCCATTGTTAAAACTTTGTTGTGATGAATAAAACGGAAAGAAGAGAGGCTGATGAATTTGAATCCCAAACTCGAGTTGAAGATGGTCGGCCGCAAATATTTATCTCCATTTCAATACCCCCAGAAACTTACGCGCGCAAAGTGTAAGAAGTCTTTCTTTTGCCATCTCGTCGAGCTTGCACGGCTTGCTAAGGAGCGTATACGTCGCCAATACAAAAAATGGTGGAAACGGGAGGCAACATCCTGTTATACCCAGCTAGGACTCAAGGCCACCCTCGCTTGCGCTCCCGAACTAGCCCTGCCGCGGGCTATCCTTCATCATCTCCTAGCAGCCCGATCAGGCCATGGAGACTTCGAACAATACCACCAACGCTTTAACCATACAGAAGCACTGCTTACCTGCTCCTGCGGGGAGGCAAAGGCGGTAGACCATCTAGTCTACTGCCAAAAGACCCTAGTGAGGAGGCATCAGTGGCCTACCCTCCACCCTTCTAGCCCACTCGATCCTATAGGACCTATAGGATCTCTTGACCGGTACTATAAGGAGTTAATTACTGATCCTATTGGCTTCCAGGCCTTTCTCCGCGTGACAGACTTCTTTCAGAAGATCTGCCCGCGGTACTAAGGACTAGGTCTTGACCTAGGCCCGACTAACGAATTTCTCCTCCTAGAGGGACAGACGGTAACAACGGAACTAGGGAACCAGCGGGAACTAGGGACGGATAGAACAGACAGTAGCTCACGGGCAAGATTTGGAGGACGTTAGGAAGAGGCGTGTACTATAGAGTATATAGCTCGAGCCTACGGCCCTCCACGCCATGTACCCTTCGGGAGGTCTGCCGCAAGGGCGGCTGCGCCCTTGCCGCTACGGCGTTAAATAGAACAACAACAAATCGTCGAGCTTGCCAGCAAAGCGCCAGGCATCACGGCATCGTGCTTTAGTGGCTGCCTCAACAGGGGTTGATCGGTTGATGCCTCTTTTGCGCATGGCATGTGGCAGTGACTCACCCCTGTACACGGCTCATAAGCTGCCGATTGCGAAACGCAGACGTCTCTGCATGGAAAAGAGAGCATGTTGCTGCCTACAATGAACGGTCCGTCGCTCGAATGGAGAGGCCAATAGACGCAGGAGATGTAAGCACTAGAGCGGGATGGGATCCCACATTTGCAAGGCAGAAGAGCCGCCCTGGTACAAAGTTTCTTGTCAGGATTCAGGCCGCCAGAGCTGGCCGTCTTGCTCATTCGCCGATCTGTGGCAAACAAAGTGGCCTCGACAAACAGACTCTTCACAATGTTTCAACGTGCAAAACAGTTGAGATTCAACTCAGAAGTCGGAACGAGAGTAATATGTTCTGGTCCACAGAGGCCTCACGAAGGATTCTAGAAGAAGCCCAGATAGTGCCAAAGTCGCGTCAACTGCTGCAGGCAGACGAGCACTGCCCGCGGTCCCCCATTATTTCAAGCAATTCTGTACAAGCGAGACGGGAAGCACCGATAGCTTGTTCGACCCCTGGGAGGGCTGAGCATCATAGCGTTACAGCGCCACATAAGCAGACGGAATAGCGGGGGAACGAGAGTTGATAGGGCTAGGATTAGTGGCTCAGACACGTGTAGCGCATCAATTGTTCCCTGCAAGCCTTCCTGTTCATTGGGCCATGACAAACTGGGAAGCCCGCGATCAACCCACTCCGATATGCTTCGTGGTCTTCCATCGATAACTACATGTAGGCATATTGGCCTCAGTCCATGTCTGCTTCAACTGTCTCCGCATATATACAATTTTCCACTGTTAATAAAGGGAAACAAAGCATAACACAAGCATCTGTAAGTATGTACAGGGAATCCAAAACGCTGACTACTAAAAGTACTGACTTGCCCCAGGTTCTTCAACCACAAACACGACCTTGATACTACTTCCAGCTGGTACTGACCGTCACCGCAGTGGAGCAGCTTTGGGGCACAGTGTAGGATCTGTTCGGGTCACTCTCCCACGTCGCAGTTCCATCCGACGCCACATTGATGAACTTGTACTCAAAGGTCGTTCCGGCCGGCAGCGAGACAGTGTAGGTCCACAGGTTGTTCGAGCTGGTGTACTGCGCCGCCGAAAGCGCCGGAGCCGACGCCGCGTTCCAGTTGCCCAGCGCAGCAATTGAGCTCGCGACCTTGATCGTCTAGCCTGGGGCCGTCTTGACAATCTCGTTGAACGTGACGGCCACGTTACTGGCGATAGCGCAAGTGCCGCTCGTAGCCGTCGCTGCAGCGCTCGTCGTGCATGTAGAGGACGGCGAGGTGCTGCCCCCTCCACCGATGGCGATGTCGGCGCACGTCAAGTACACCTGACCCGTTTGGAACGAGTTCCAGCGCAGCGACAGCAGGGTATGGTTCGAGACGTAGTCGGGGATCTTGATCTTCTTGGTGACGGTGTAGCCGCCGGCGATGGAGGTGTAGCACGACCCCAGCGCGTTATTGTCGACGCCCTGGCAACCGCGTCGGCTACTCGCTTGGAACGCGTTGCAGGTGAACCAGTCGTTCCGCCAGCACGCCTGGCCGGAAGTGCAGTCAGGGCTGTAGTCGCAGCTCTGTCCCGAGACGTCGGTGCACTTGAGCGTGCCGGCATGGAAGCAGTTCTCGGCGGCCTGCTTCTCGTCGTCGATGGGGAGGTATCCGGGGGTGATGAAGTTGTCGACGATGGACTGGTCCTGGCAGATGCGGTAGCTGAACATGCCGCCGTGGTCACCGTTGTTGTCGACGCACCACTGGACGTCGACGGTCTGGCCGCGAGTGTAGGTCGCGACTACATTGCTACCCCAGCTGCTTCCGGGCTGGTTGTAATCGACGCTGACGCGAGCGTTGTAGCCGCAGGGTCCGCTACGGCCAACGGTGGCGGCCGTCAGATCCGGCCATGCGGAGACGGGCTCCCGGATGGTGCACTCGGGGCAGGAATCTATGCCGGCCTGCCGATGATCTATTAGCTCACGGTCGAGGCAGTCTTTGATACTACTTCTTGGGTCTTTACCTCAGCACCGAGGCGAGTGCGACTGAACGGGATCGTCAGATATCCATGTCCATAGACAGAGGAGACGAGGGTGGCGACTGCCAGGGTTGTGAATGACTTCATGTTATATAGGCTGCTGTCGTCTTGTGAAGGGTTTGACCGTTCGAGATACCAACCTGGAGCAAGTATCCTCAGAAGTGATGCTCCACGATCCTCACAACGACAGTCCGAGGAGAATTATCTTGGCTTAATATGTCAAATCACAGACTTGGTCTCCAACAGCGTCGCAGCTCATTGCATACTCACATGCTTCCATGATGCTACTAAACATCTTACAATCCAACCTGCCCTCGCTGCTCCCACCGGCACGCATCACAACAAACAACGCCGAAGTACCCCCACCCGAGACGGCCCTACCCGCACACATTTCCCCGGACCTAAACCTGACCTAGCAGTCCGGGGCATCTCCAAAATATCATGCAGGTGATGGCGGGGTAGCAAAGTTCTATTAGTGCCGGCTGTCATCTCTCCAACTGGCAACCACGGCGGGGTGAATAGGCCCGTTATGTGGCCAGCCATCCGAACACTTCTGCAAAGGTTCACCCACACAGGTAGACTTTGCATGAGCCGACCCCGCGGTCCCTGATGTGGCACATGCTACCAAAAGAGAGTTCCTGATCTTGGCATGGTCGATGACACCCTAAGTCCACGTTCAAGGCGGAGTTGTGCGGAGTCTTGAGGAGTTGAGGTGGCATTCCGCCCTGCAGATCAGATGACGGGTCACGACGACCTCAAATTTGAGTAGAAGGCCCGAAGATGACCTCCTTCCCACATCATGGCACGTACCTTTTTCAAAGTTAAGCTCTACCGCTGTATAAAAACTGTCGAAAAACGCCCGGGTTCTGCGTACAGCTCGCCGATACCCAGCAAGCCCACATTGAACTCATTCTGCTATTGGTGGCTTAATAAGATACCTTACTACCAAGTTTGTGAAGAGTCTGGTTGGGTCAGGTTCTTCTGCATTCATCCACTTACTTGAGCTCATCATCTTATTTCCTAGTTATTCTGTCCAAAATCCTGGATGACATTGGCTGTTTCGACAATGTAATGAGGTGTTTACTTCATGTTCTGTCGAAGCTATGTCCTCGGCAAACGTTTGAGAACCATCCTGATTCAGATTCACGACTAATGGGGCCTTTGTATTATGCTGACAGGGTCCCAATCACATGAATTACGATTAAAATAGCATGGAAATTCTGTTTAACCCTTTACGAAACTCTCGACGTAATTTGGCCCTCCCAAAGTACATTGATATCACCCAGGTCTCAAAAGACCAAATCCCAAAATCGCTTGGAGGCCTAGATCGAGTCACTGAGCTGGGCGGCAACGAGGAATAGAGATTTAGAAATACTTCATCAGCCTTGACTCCTCCTACCAGATTATTTTAAGGCAAACCACTCAGCAGACTGGACTTTTACACGTGCTAAGCCAGGGCGATTTGATGTGTCCATACTCATGCTGCCTCCGTGCTTTGCTCCTTCACCCCTCAAATGAACGTTCAGAAATGCACAGCTTATGCTTCTGCCTTTGGTGTGAAGACAAAGGTAAGACCGCCATGTTGAGCTACACAACACACACATAACTCCCGTCCCTGTAAAGGACCGAATCCACGGTGATGACGATGGATGAGGTGCCACCGTGCCAGAAGTTGGTGTTGTGGCGAACCGAAAGCCAGCCTCTGTCGACGATTACGGTACAAGTAGACAGCATCTACTCGAAGTGGCTGACGTGTCTCTTACCTCATTCAGAAAACAGTTTTCTGGTGACGTCTGTAAGTATCTTGAACACTCACAAATGGACTCTCTAACTTTTAGCCTCTCTGGCATCGCCAGCACGCCGTGACGCCTCCGCTTGCTGCTGCCACTCTTGCAACATGCTCCCTCGATCTTTCCCTCCTTAGTCCCATTCAAAGATCCCCATCGCTTTCCCTGCTTCTAACTTTCGTGGGGTTTATAGAACTTTGGCACTTGATGTTTCATGCATGATGCATCGATAGACTCTATAAGTATTGTTGGATTTACAGGTGGAAAAGGAAAATACTCGAGTATCGTGGGTAGCAACGATCACCGACTGTAGTGGTGATATTGCTTGTTCTTGTTGTTCTTGAGTGGAAGTCTAACCAGGTGCCAGCGGCGGCAGGAAGTCTGGGGTATACCACCCTCGTGTGGCTGAGCCACACGGACCACCGTGGCTGGAACGGACCGCGGCAGCAACCTCCTGCTGCCTAATGTAGGCCTATTCCAACAAGTATAGTCTGCCAAGTCTGTCAATAGAACAACTGCCGGTGCAGCGTGCTATTCGAATGGCATAGGATTGCTTACGTAGCAGAAATGACTTCTGGCCATGTACCAAGATGATTCCCAAAACAACGTCGAATCAAGTCTTAGATCCATCCATGAGAATACATATTTTCGTCTCCGACCTCATATGCCTTCATGTCAGCTGCTAGGCTTTTTTCCCAACTTCCTGAACACCCAAAGGCCGACGCATGTGACTTGATGTTATCTCTGGCCATTAGCTTCTACAATTCATACTTAATCAGATGGAAGAGATATCATTGCTATGGCTCTTGTAAACTATCGATCGTTCGAATTGCATTCCTAAGAGCATCTTCAGACTCCCACCACATTGGAATAACAGGGCTCTGGCGGGCAAGAGCCATGATATATCTCGTACTTTGACGCACTACGTCATCCGATGCATCAGAACGAGCTTTAGTTTGGATTTCTTGGCGACAACAGCTTTCATAGTGAACGCCCTGATCTTCGTAAACGAAACTAATTACGGGAAGGGCGAATCATCAATCTAGTCAACTTTCAGCACAGACAAATACTTGGTGTCTTTAGATAAATGGCTCTGACGAGGAGCGATACCGAGACTTAAAAGCAGCTCAGACTACATTTCGGATAATTGGAACATATATATTCGGGATGAGATCATTGGCTGGCTGGTGTGCTTCCGCACTGCCTACATCTCGCCACGACTACCCTGCGTTGATGATGCTAATGGGAACGCTACCCTAGAATCCCGTGCCGTATTTTGAGTTCGTCTAGTTTCCCTCGCCCGCTCCACCCGCTCACAACTATGGGTGGAGACACGGTCGTGGGCTTTTCTGGGTCTATCCTGTACTTGCAACTTGTCACCCGGGCATTTTCGCTCACATCATCCCAAATAGGGATCGCCATGGCCAACCAAACACGGGTCGGTTTGATATCCACATCATCGGACCTCTGAATATGAAGTTGGTATTCCTAAGATACAGCTTCCAGTGCAAATATATCGCGGTATCTCTTGCGGTATTTGCTTGTCTGTTACTCCTGCATGTGCCTTTGGCGGTACGTCAGCATCTTATTGAGAAGCCATGTCAACAAGCACTCTCCCAGCCCGACGAGCCAGTGAAGATTGATTTGGGTAAGCTCGCCCTGAGGGCTATTCTCAAAATGCCTTTCACTTTGGATGACTGAAGTCGGTGTTCTAAAGGCTGTTGTTTCCACGTCTATCGACTTCAATTTTCTTCTCGACGAGTGCCACGAAACAAAATCTAAGTAAATTTTACATATGGTCACAGCACTCTGCTATCCATTCACTTCAAGCGCCCCTATCGGAATCCACATGTACCTACCTTGAGTAAGTAGCCGACTCTAGTTCACTGCCTAACGTCTTTAGCACCTATGCATCTGAACTTCAAAAACCGTTCGAAAAACACCCGACCGTTGGGCCGCCATACTTTCAACTAGCGGAATTTTGCGATAAGCCACTGAAATGCGAGCTCTGGCGATCCTTCGTAGCCTTCAAGCCCCTTGCCTATCACCAAATTACTGACTCTCCTGTGTCTCATTGTGAGCGATGTCTCCCGGCGATTCATGTCATTGCCGCCTTAGCCGGTATTTACTTATCCGCGCTCCTGGTAATCTGCCGCGAGGACGAGGCGCCCGGAGCTGACTTCGAAATTCTCTTCAAATTGCAGTGCAAGGTGCTCTGGTTAATTAACCTGGTCCAGCGCACGTACTTAAGACCGTCGATGATAATGGTGGAGCCGTCGCCAGTCCGGCAAATGTCGAGTGTTTCCTGGTTTTCGGGTTCTGATCGAAAAGGAAAAACACGAGGTTCGAGTCATTCTCTCCTGGTTAAATGGGTCGTTGGCCGCAGGTTATCAAGGACCCATCAGCGCGCGCGGCGCGCCCACATTACGACTGGGAGTCCAAACAAGCACGGACAAGGCGATCGACAATCTGCTCGCGAGAAAAAGCCTCAGGGATATATCAAAGGATTTGCACAGGCTTTTTCTGCCAGCCTTTGGGGCAGTCAGGGCAGTCAGGGCAGCCGTGGAGCCCATGTTTGCCCTGCAAATTTTCTCTGGGGTTCGCTTACGAGACAACAAGGGTGCTTTTCGGGATGCTGCCAGATCCGGTCTGCGCTTACTCCGTACACTGGTGGTCTATCCGGGATTTCGGGGACTTAGAATTTGGCCGTGATTGTAAAGATGTGATGAACGATGGATCCTGTTTGAACTTTGCACAGCAATAGTGTTTTGATATTATTCTATGTTTATGGATTACACTATGTTACTTCTATCATTTAAATCGTTTCTTCATACCATGTTATTGACCCTGTGTCGTCTGTCATGGCCCGTAGTATCTGGTATCGAGTGATTATCGCTCGTCACGTCTGGCCCGTTGTGTTGAATAACGTCCATCTCAAGGCCGTCGTCCTTGCCAACGATGTTCTCAGCCGAGCTAGCATAGTTTTTCCGCGGCCCGGAGCTGATCGTCTCGACATTCGTTCCTCGTGTTCCCCTCGTCCCCCTGCTGTTCTGCTTGTCGGGACTCGATAGCTCGAGTGTAGATTTTGCGGCGTGCCATGATCCCATGATGGCCGCGTCGAGCACAGGTAGCGAGGCGGTGACGATGCCCATGGATATGTCGAGGACCGTCCATCTCAGGATGATGGTGTAGTCCCAGAAAATGTCTGTTGATGTGAATGGCTGCAGCTGTTGCAAGAGACCGCCAGTCACAGTGAGCCCGCCAGAGGCCCAGATGATGAAGAGCCTGATCTTCTTGCCCCTATCAATGCGAATGCTCCACAAGATGATGATTGGCGTCGCCAGGAGAAGGATACTCTGCACCACGTGGATGATGCTGAGAACCTTCGTACTGAGGAACTGGTTTCCACACGTCGCTGGCTCTGCCAAAGCTCCTGCAAATTCTCTGTCCCATACAGCTCGTGGCGGATTGCATAGGAAGATGCTCCAAAACAAGGCGGCAATGACATATGCAACAAGCGTTCCGAGGAAGATATCCGCAAGAATCCTCCAGGTCCTGTAGGCTGTGTCGACGAGCCGTCTGATGAAGAGAGTGATGGAAATTTTGATGATGCCGACAATAGGGTAGTAGAGTAGTCGGCAGACGGTGAGGTAATACGAGTAGAACTGGTAGTCGTCGTAGGTATTCTCCCAGGTGTGCGTGCCGCCTCCCGCGTCGACGACGACGAGGATCTGTAGGATCGGATATACCACCGCAAGAGTCGCCGCTACGATGATGACCCAGTCGTCCCATCCGAACTTGGTTTGTGCCCCCCGTCCTCGAACCCAAAGTCTTCCTGCTGTCGGTACAATGATGGCGAGCAAGACGACAATCATTCCCGCGATGATGGCGCCTTGCTTGGACTCGTGGACGGCGTTTGCGGGCTCCTTTGCGGCGAAGAGGTAGCCCAGACTGGGATCGAGTGTCGTAACGCCATATTGTCGGTAGATACCCCTGATGATGTTGTAGTCCCTCGCGTTGTTTGGCGGTTTTCCAATCTTCGCTGAGGTCGTTGCGTTCGACATGGCGAAGGGAAGGGGGGTCTGGGTTGGAAGTCAGGGGCAGGTCGGACACGAGGGAATGGATCATCTGTAAGGGGGAGGCCGGGCCGCTTTATGATATGAACTCGATCAGATGGAAGGTAGCAACATGGCGGAGAATCTGATGTATCATAGTGCGCAGTCTAGGTTGGTTTCACATCGTGGTTATCAAGATCAAGTTCCCTGATGAGTGATGGCCTAGCTCGCGTTAACCCCATAAGGTGTGGATCAAGTCCCGGGAACGTGGGATGGGCTCAAAGATCGAAGACTCACAGACTCGCAGACAATTCATTGTCCCTAGTATAATTGCAAACATTGCGCAACAACAGTGAACAGCGGGCAACAGCATGGGAAAGACGAGCCGCTGTTTTGGCTCGTGTTCCACCAAGGCCCGCGATGGCCATCCAGCTAATAGATTAAGCGCATGGTCAAGGTTTTCTTGAAAGAGTGCAGCTGAAGTGGAGGGTGAGGCGATCTCGAGTCATGGCCCCCCCTTCACCCTATGCAGTCGGCAGCCAACCTTGCGACGCGAACGCCGGAAGGCCTGCGAGTTCGCGGCACGGGTCCAATGGTGAACCTTGGGCGTCAAAGATCGGACAAGCCCAAAGCTGCAGTCAGAAACTCTGAAAAGAGGTTCCTCAGCATTCCGGGATTTCCCCCTTCTTTAGCACGTCACGCCTCTGCCTTGTCCAGATGGGCTGGCAAGGGGTGACTTGCGAGCAGCGGCTTGGCTGCGATGGGTTGGGAAACTCGTCCGACGAGGGGAACACTCTCTCCACGGTGTTGGACCCAGTCTTGCCCAGTTCCCCGAGATTGCGTTCGAAAGTTCGTTGCTCCAATATATGCAATTTGGAGAGTCCTGTTTGGCTTGATCCGAACCAACACAGAAACGAACCAAGCTCCGGTCGTTTAGCGTATATTAACAGTAGTTCTCGTTCGCAAGCCATGCTTTAGAACTCGTTCTCGCCCTCTCTTTGCTCGTCTGATGATGCGTGCTTGACCTGTTTGTGTGTTCCAGCCAGATAAATCTGAGCGCATCTGGCGCGCTCCTCTCCCTCTTGTCTGGCGTGTGTCAAACTGCTTCAACGTCCCGCCAGCCACAAGAATCATGGTCCGATTTGCGGCCTTCTCCGCGCTCGCGCTGGCCGCATCAACGGTCACGGCCACCTCAAGTGCCGACAGTAGCTGCATCGGCGTCAACGCCGTCAGCTCCACGTGCAGACCCTCAGAGACGTTGCACAGTCGAGAATTCCTCTACGTCGGGGGCCAAAGCGCACCAGACCCCACGGGCAACATCACCATCGGCCAGCTCTACGTCGGGAAGCTCACCCCCATCCTCACGCTTCGCTCTACCCCCTTGGTCTTCATCCACGGCGGCGGTATTCCGGGAACCACATGGCTCAACACCCCTGACAATCGTCTCAGGTGGGCAACCTACTTCCTTGAAGCAAGGCTACCAGGTCTACCTCGTCGATGCCAACAGCATCGGCCGATCCACAGCCAACAACGCAGCCAACAACGCAGCCAACTTCACCATGGCAGTGGGCATGTTGGCCGAGTTTGTCGAGATGGGCTTCACCGGCGTCAAGAACTACAACACCTACCCTCAGTCCCAGCTTCACACCCAATGGCCCGGTACGGGCATGCGCGGCGATCCCTACTTTGACCAGTTCCAACAGAGCTTCATCCCATATACAACCAGCCAAGTCTCCCAAGAGTTGGCCATGCGCGCCGCTGAGTGTGAGCTCCTCTCCCTCATTGGCGCTCAGTCCTACCTGGTCTCTCACTCGCTGGGCTCTAAGTTCGCCGTCGGCCTCTCCAATGACTGTCCTCAGCATCTCGCTGGGAGCATCAATGTCGAGCCCTCTACGATCCCCTTCCGCGCGTACGGTTATGGTCTGACCAGCAGCGCGGCTAATCCCTGGGGTCTGACCAATACCCCCGTCGACTACGAGCCGGCGGTTTCCAGCGCCGCGGAACTCAACGCCACGGTCGAGTCTGTAGGTAAGCCGTCGTTGGCTCATCGTAATTGCTACCTGCAAAAGGAACCTGTCCGAAAACTTCCAAAGATCGCCAGCGTCCCCTACCTGGCCTTGACCGGAGAGGCCAGTGTCCACATTACCTACGATCACTGTATCATCGACTATCTGAAGCAGGTGGGAGGCCAACCGGAGTGGATCAAGCTTAGTGAGATTGGGATCAAGGGCAATGGCCACTTCATGCACCTCGAAAAGAACAACCTCGACATCGCTCCCTTGGTCCACAAATGGATCAAGAAGCGGCAGCAATGGTGGTGGTGGTGGTAGGGTTTGCGCTTTGCTGTGCAGCAGCGGGACTGAATGAGTTGTAATACCTATGTAAATAGTAAAAGCATAACTGTACATGTACGCAGTAATCCTAATCCGATACCCCCAAAAACCTCTCGATTGCCAAGTGGACTTTGAAGTTTGAAGTTTGAAGTCACCACCACCACCACCACCATATCGGACTCTAGCCCGGCCCGTCTCTGCCTTCCGGACTAAGAGTGACCGCGCATATAACCGCATAGTCAGATCATCTTCATTATTTATACTACCGCGCTGCATATTGTGGATGTTTCAATATAAAGCTGCGCACTCTGCTAAGACGGGCCGCGGCATCCCTACTATTTTTAGGTTCAGGACAAGGAAGTTTAAATACTGGAGTCTTTCCCCGGGAATAATGAAGTTCCCGCTCTGGGACAATTTGATCCAAGCTCCTCGGCAGTCCCAAGACAACAGCCCAACAGCGGTTTCATCGACAGCGACCATTTGCTGGCCTTGCAGCGTTGGGTGTTTTGGCCCCCAGGAATATTCTCGTGCCTAACTTCAGTTCTATAATACCTATAAGAAGCACTTGCCTCGAATCGTATGTATTAATCATCACCGTATAATTTGCTGATTTGATCTTGGCGGTACATGTGTACAATTGGGAGACGCTTGAGCCACTACACGGAATAAGGGTTGAGGACTAAGTACGTTTGGACACACTTCATAAGTAATAATTATCTTGCCCGCATGATTTCCTCACTGGTAGTAATCTTGCGGGACGTCGATAACACCGCTCATCCAAGTAGACCAATCCTCAGGCTTGTTCTCATCCGCACCATACTTCAAGTGAGAGATCAGCAGTCTGTATCCGCCCTTCAACATAGGCATAGGGACAGACGCAGTTTCCACGTCCCACAACCTCGGAAAAGGCCAGGAGTCAAACAAGCTAGTCACAGGCGCATAGTTGTAGTTAACGTACAGGTTACCCAACAGCTCGGCACCCGCGACCGTACCGTTGACTGGGTGCGCTGTCTTCGTGTAGTTCAAAGGTCTACTCTGATTGAATCCATACCACGTCGGCTTGAAGTCTGTGTCTGCGCGGACAACGTCCAGCCGCTCGATCCGCACGGGCTGCATTCCGGCGTAGTACAGGGTCAGCTCGGCTGGATCAATCTTGATGCAGTCCTGGATCCCGAAGCCGTCGGCCGTGACTAGCTGCGGAGCTCCGAACACGGGATACTCGGTTACGGGTCCGAGGACAAAAGGCGGCACGGGGTCAGTTCCCAAACTAGGAGCGGCGGTGTAGTTATACCCGGCGCCTTGGTACGGGATAGACAGCTTTTCGTTCCGGTCGGAGGAGATGGAGATGAAGCCTGAGTAAAAAGGAATCATGAAAGCGCGGAGATTCTGCGGCGGTAGGATTTCCACAGAAATGTTCTTGCTCTCACCCGGGCCCAGAGTTACTGTCGAACCTTCTGGGAAGTTGATAGTCGCTGCAAAAGGAAGAGAGGCTAGCCGTTGATAGATATTGCTAAAGAATCCCACTTGGCCCGGTACGTCCGGAATAGGGTACCGAGCCATGCCGGGAGCTGAGGTGTGACCCAGAGTGTATTGTGTGGCTTTGTCTGATGGGTTTGCGATGCTGATGGAGTAGCTGGACCTGGCGACGACTTCATTGGGACCGAGGTCAAACTGGCCAGGTGAGACGAACGAAGGGTAGAAGATTGCATGGTAGGCATCGACCAAGCCGGCTCCCTGATGAACAGGAGGCGAAACATCGTCGCGGGTGGCGCGGATCGTAGGTTTTGAGGTCGACTGCAGACGGTTGAGAATCTCCGTCACGGAAAGTTCTGGGAATCGTGACTTCATGAGTGCGAGGACACCGGATAGGTACGGCGTAGCCATCGAGGTTCCGCTAGCCAGCGCCCAACCTGATGCAGCAAGAGGCCAGGTTGACAGGATCTGGCCGCCAGGCGCACTGATCTGGGGCTTAAGACTGAAGTCCCACACGGTTCCTAGAGAGAAACGTTAGATTATCCAGTCCTCATCGATCACAACACATCTTTCGACCAAGCCACGTACCTGGACTGCTAAAGTTGTTCATCTGGCCGCCCCATGCTTGCTGAGTAAGCTGGGGGACAGCAGTTCGAAACGTCACAGAGTATCCCCCTTTCAGAGACCCAACCTGAATCTTGTTATTTGTTGTCGTGCCAAAGTTTCGCGCAGTGTTCGGCAGGGTAGCACTAAACGCCTCCAGAAAGGGGTTGTCAAGAACGTCCTTGTCCGGGTACGTAAGAATGTTGTTGAAGCCTGCCGTAGCTGCGACATCTTGAATCAATGAGAGACCGCAGAGTCCACGTCGAACAACAATGACGTAAGCCTCCTTGGAGCCCGTGACTTTGCTCTCGATGGTATTGTAATCCGCCGCCCGACATCCGAAGTTGCCTTGAACACCCCCATCGCCGACATGCACAGCCGTGAGCGTACGGTTCAGGGGGAAGGGGTAAAGACTGCCGTAGCGAATTGCTTCGCCATTAGAATCGACCAACTCGAACGTTTGGAAAAGAGTGTTCTCGATAGAGCCGACTGCAATGGCAGCAGGGCTGTTCGCTGGGGCGTTGACTGCAAAGGGTAGGTTGGCTCCGTCATTGCCCGCGGCGGCCACTACGGCGATACCGCTGTCCGTTAACTTCTGGACCAGGATGTGGTAAGGGTCATTTGGCGAGTTCCCAACAGAGGAGAAACCACCGATGGACATGCTAATAATTTGGGCTCCGTCGATGGCGGCGCGCATCATGGCGGCAACAAGGACGTCGCTGCCGACGCCGCCGGAACAGCCGAAGACGCGGTACATGCCTAGAGTTGCTTCGGGTGCGACACCAACCATTCCTTTGAAAGTATCGTTGGATGACGATTCCATAGTGATGATTCCTCAAGTAAGGTACTCAGTCAGTATGTTTCAAGCACTAAGAGCTAATTGGCGACTTACCTGAGACGTGACTGCCATGTCCCCCTCCGACACAAGCAGCCAGAGGATCCGTATCTTCGACTGGAGTGTCATATCCGTCGTAGTCATCACCCACGAGGTCATGTCCGAACGATATCTTGCACCCAGGTCCGAAACAACCGCCGAGAGCAGGATGATAGTAATCGACACCGGAGTCTAAGACGGCAATCTTGACCCCTTTTCCTTTGATGCCGGCAGCATGCACATGATGAACTCCAGTCATGGTATGAGGGGTGTTGTAATCCAAGTTGTTCTCGGGAACCTGCTGTCTCTTTTCCAGCGTCCGCGAGGAACGCGATGAAGAGGAATGTTTCGAGTGACTTTCATGATCGATAGCAGCGAGAGGTCGCGGGATGAACTGCACGGGGGAGACATTGACCACTTCAGGTAGAGCCTTCAATGCTGCGAGAGACTGGTTGTTGTGAACATTCATCGACATCCCATAAAAGAGGTCCATATTGGTGTATTCGTATCTAACATCGTAAGAGGTCAAGGACGAGAGCGCACGCTTGAATGCCACGTGAGTGTGTTCGTCCGATCGGCGGCCGAGACTGGCTGGATCTCGGAGCTCGACCACAAAGGCGTTTGGAATGAACTCCGATTTGGGTCTGATATTTCCATCAAAGGCGGCGGCCTGGCTCAAGAAAAGCGCCAAGCTGGCAAAAACGAAGGGACAGTGTATTCTGGTGAGATTTACACCGATTTGGAAATAACGAGTGTCAGAATGATAGTGAGCGAGTTTGATGATGAAAAGAACCGATAGAGGCCTGAACCTGGAGAGAGGCTTATATGTGGATGTTGTTTGAGTTGAAGTCGTTTTCGTTATGATCGCGGAATCCGCGGCGTGGTGAGAGAACGAATGCAGGTCAACGTCGCATTGCATCTTGAAGTTGTTCGTGATGTTATCAGACCCTGGTTTACTCTCGTATTCACGCACAGGCTCGGCACTTGCGGAACGCTTTATTGAGGTTATGCTTAACGCAATAGGCAGCTGAATCCGCCATCTTTTCACTAGACATCTACGCTTTGGTGTAATTTCAGTTCATCGCATTACAGTCCGATACCGCAATCTCCAACAACCAGATGAAGGGAGGTTAAGTCTCGTATACGCGGAAGACTCTGAAGTCGCGCGATCAGACCTGCCTGATATGGCGATTTGTTATCGCGTGATCTATGCAATTGGCTGACATTGTAATCAACTAATGAAAACTATCGTACGCCAAGATGAGAGTTTCAGGCAGGCATTTCACAATATCTTACTCACACAAGAGCACACTCCGATTCTACGCAAGACGATGGACCAATGCACCATCTTTGAGATATGCTCATAATTGCAGATTTCCTCGCTCGCTGGCCTAAGAACAATGTTGATGCGCAACAAAGTCTCGCACGAAGCTTTCCACTTCTACAAGCAGGTACTGGATTAAAATGTCTATGTCAACGATGCGGTGGCCAGCTAGCTATGAGAAAGTGATATCAAACATAACACGTACCGAAACGCGCTTACTGGCAATCGGATCCGTGGAAGTAATAACAAAGGACAACTCCTCCTTGAAGTGCTAGAGAACACAAGTAGTAAGTCGGACGCAAGTATCAAGCATCAGGGAATTTGCAGACTACTTTACGCCTTCACACAACATTTTGATGTGTGAAATTAGAGCAAATGTCGATTCAGTATTACTGTTCCTTAGTGGTGAGCTTCAAGATACTTGAACATCTGGCCAAGACTTAGGGAACTGCGTTCAGAGACGATTCATTGCGCTCGAGATTCGTTGTGAAATGGATCAACATGACGATAGCGTGTATCGGATCACTTGGTATTGAAGGTCGATAGACTATGCCATTGATGCATGTGGTTTCAACAAGACATCGGAGTTAAAGTTGGGTTCTTTTCATTGAATCGTGAATCATATTCAGTCGATGAATGGTAATGATCATGAGACGAAACAGGCTGTTTTAATTTAAGGTACCTACAATAGCTTCTCAATGGCCTGGATCCTCCAACTTCATCAAAGCTCTTCGAAACTTCCGGATCTCTTTTGGGTTTGTACTATCCTTGAACTCTCCGAGTTTTTACAAACAGCGATGTTTCCTAGTGTTTGGTATATGAATATGATTCAATTGACTAACTAATTCTCTCGCCGCAGCGACTATTTCCTTTACGATTGTCATACTTTCCTATTGGTTCATTGGCAAGTCTTCCCACATTTACATGCAGCTAAAGGATAAGCCGGGCTATATGAGTCAACTTGACGACGTACTGATCTTGATTCTCTTCCGTGAACGCTCTCGACACCCGTACGCCTTGAAAACTGTAAAGCTTCCGTATAACGTGAATGATAAGCGAGTGAGACAGACAAGCGAGTGAGACACAAAACTGCGCCGATGAGATAAACTGGCTTCCATATCAACATCAACAGCATCAATTCAATTCAAACTACTCATAATCCTCATCTTCAGACATCTCTTCAATAAACTGGCACGTTCGTGAATTGTGTCCCGGGTGACCACAAACGCCACACCGTCGCTGACCTGTCTCGGCCCTCAGTTTGCGACCACTAGTACGACGCATTTCCTCCTGAACCTGCGCAGTCACATCTTTCTGTGACTGTATATCTGCTGCGTCAGCTACAGTAAGACTTCCTCCATGTTGTAGGCGTGTTTTCTTAGTTCTCCGTCGTCGACTGAGTTGGTTATTCTCGTCTCTAAGAATCTGTACCTCAGATCTAAGTAAGGCTACTTGGTGCATGATGCCTCTTGTACCTTTAGAAAGTCGTTCAACAGCCTCGCAAATAGAGGTTGGGGAGCTGCTTTGGTGACGAGTGATCCGACTCTTAATAAAGTTGGATTGAGAGCTTGCCTCTACTGGGTTGTTTGGTGTCCTTGAAACCCAAGGCGGAGGTGTCTGTGGTAGTGATGCTGGAGGCGTTGGAGTGTGTAGCCGGATATTCAGCTTTGATAGGACGCTTTCTGCACTCAGAGGAACAAGCCCAGCTCCTCTAAAACCCCCTTGGATGTCTTTTTCAGTCATCGCTTGACTAAATGCGCTGCGATATGCAGGAAAGAAGTCCTCCTTTGAGATGTGGGTTACGCCCCGCCGCATCTTATCCTCAATTTGTTGCCCATACGCCGTCTTTAGCGGACCAAAGCACCCAACGTCAAGGGGCTGGAGTAGATGAGACGAATGAGGCGGCATACAAAGTGTAACGATCTTGTTTGCCTTGCAATATAGCTCAAAGTCTGTTGAGTGGTGACTTTCGTGCCCGTCGACGACGAGGAGGCGATATTGGCCTCTCAAACGTGGTTTCGTATGACGATCATAGTGCTGGATCCAATCTAGGCCTCTTTCATTTGTTGTCCATCCGTTTTCTGACGTCGCAATGACCCAGTCGTCCGGGAAACCTGACTCTGTATACCAGGTTGAGAGGTGATATTGGCCTGCAACGATGATGTATGGCGGGACGTTATAGCCTTGCGAGTTGATGGCTTGAATCACTGTAACCCATTCTCGATTACCAGGCTGCGCCATTTTTGTGTTTGAACGCCTTTCAGTACTTGTGACAACCATGCCAGATGCAATCTGGCCCATCATAAAGCTAGTCTCATCAAAGTTGTAGATATCAAACTCATCGATACCATACTTCGCGATTGTGTTCTTCACAAGAGCGAACCAGCCGCGAATAGCCTCTGCATCCTCGCATTGGGCCCTCTTGTAGTCGTACCTCCGAAAAACCGCGTCCGCAATTGTGGTTGTCGTTTGACGAAGTTTAAGGCCCAGCGCTTCCCAACCGGAGGCGCGTTGCGATCAGCAAGCAGTCGATCAGCCATTTCTTCCATACCACGGATCCGGGGAGGGAATGATCGGGCATCTAGATCGAGAATGTGATCAACTAACGTCTGCTCTTCTAGCAAAGTAAGATTCCTCGAGTTCGGTATCCTGTCGCTTCGAGATGTAGAGCCCTTCAATCGTCGACTCAATGTTGCATGGCTGACCGAGTAGATCGTAGCTGCAGCCCGTGCACTAAGCTCTGGATTGATTCTGATAGCTTGAAGGGCCAGCTGTATGCCTGACTCATTACTTCTGGATGCCATGATGTGTTGTGGAAGAAACGTCTCCATTTGTGTTGAAGCATCATCGGCGCAGTTTTGTGTCTCACTCGCTTGTCTGTCTCACTCGCTTATCATTCACGTTATGGTTTATGATATCTCGAGAAACATAGCTCAACGGCAGCTTCTCAATTGTTTTCAAAGAGCAACAATATGAAAACGGTGTGGCTAACTTATGCCACGCGGATATGGAGAGAAAACAACCTCGTCTTGAGGATCTTGAGAGAAACCTAGCTCACAAGGCACTAGGGTCCACTTACCAAGTAAGTACGGGTACCTAATCCCTACCATTTTGGAGTCAACCACTGGGCCAACTCCCAGGTTGTGTTGTTGACATAATCGCAACTCTACGGAGTAGAATCATTTGGCATTGAGGGGCGGTGAGATGACCGAGTAGGAAACCGACGGAAGCAACGCGCTCCAAGCAAGCTGTTTCCGAAAGATTGTTGAGCTCAGGCAGCTTGGCAATCCACAACTTCCCCTCCCCTTCCCTTGTTAACAACGGCTCACAGCCCAGATGAAGGCACAGGCAGACGAGCGCAGCTAAACCAAGAGTGATCATTGCAACCGAGGAATTGGCTGAATTGATTGGTGCGCATCTCTCACGAGCAACTTCGGTACTTGACTCCATTCCCCCGCACGAACCCCACAGGTCAAGTTCTTGGGGTTCACCGGAAACGAGCAAGTTTGTACGGCGGAGCTCGAGATAACATTGGCCCGGCTCCCGCAACCCCAATCTTATTCTTTCCATCTCGGCACAACCATGTCATGAAGTCCCGCGACTCTAATCATCATCATCGACCGTCCGTTATTTGTTTGGAGCGCATACAGTTCATACAGTTGCTGCGCAGCGGTGCACCTAGTCAGTGGTCGATTCGTGCTTCACGCCATGGAAGCTCCTCTTTGACAACTCTGGAGTAGGCCCTACCTGCCAACGACAATGTTTCTCCAGGCTTCTCTAGTCTGGGGGAGCTGAGCCAGGGTTAAGAAGGTTATAGAGAGTTGCCACATGGCCGAGGTAACCGAGAGGAAGCTCATGGCTCGGGCAAGGTCGCATCGTGCAGCCTGCCATGATCACCAGCCCTGGCTCAGTTGCTCCTCTGGAACCAACCCCATGGGTCAAACAGTGAGGAACGCGATGTCCAATGCTACCTTATAAAAGGTGCGTTGCTTATCGGTCCGGGGAAAATTGTTTACCTATTCTCGTACATCGTTCTCCAGACGCGTCGCATCCTGCAGAGATCGTCGAGTCGCAGCAGTCATCATGATGCTCCGATCCGCCCTCATCGCCGCCGTAAGCGCCCTCACTTGCGGATTCGCCTCTGCTCTTGAGACGTTCGAGCGCAACCTCATCTTTCAGCCGCCTGACAACTACACGGATCCCCGCGTGCTGTATCCTCGTACGGTTCAGCTTGACGACGGCCGTCTTCTGGGAACTTGGGAGAACTACTCACCGGAGCCCCCTCTGGTCTGGTTCCCCATCTACGAGTCCCTCGACGGTGGTCTCACCTGGGAGGAAGTCGGCCAGGTCCACGACCAGGTCAACAACTGGGGCTTGCGTTATCAGCCCTTCCTGTACGAGCTCCGTGAGGATTTTGCAGGCTTCCCTGCTGGAACCGTCCTCCTGGCCGGTAACAGCATTCCCACCGACCTCAGCGAGACTCAAATCGACCTGTATGCTTCTCAGGATAAGGGCCGCACTTGGGAATTCCTTTCCCACGTCGCTCGCGGCGGTCGTGCCATTCCCAACAACGAGGAGACACCCGTCTGGGAGCCTTTCATTCTGTAAGTCGAGAGCAAACCGATACGCAACGCATGCAGTTTAAATTTACTAACATCACTTGTAGTATTTTCGAGGACGAACTGATTCTCTACTACGCCGACCAGCGCTCGGCCGAGCACGGCCAGGAGATCTCCCATCAGACCACAAAGGACCTTAAGACCTGGTCCGCTGTCGTGACCGATGTCTCCTACCCCACATACACCGACCGCCCCGGTATGCCTTTCGTCACCCAGCTCGCCAACGGCGACCACATGTACACCTTTGAATGGGGCGGCGCTCCCATCATCCCGACCTACGTGTTCCCCATCTACTACCGCATCGCGAAAGACCCCCGCAATTTCGCCGACGCCCCCGACATGTATATCAACAGCACCAATGGCGGCATCTTCCCCATCAACAGCCCCAACGTCGTCTGGTCTCCCGTCGGTGGCTGCAACGGAACCATTGTGGTGTCAAGCAACAGCGCCCCTCTCTTCATCAACCGCCGCGGCGGCGACCCGAGCGCGTGGGTTGCGTACGACTCTCCTGAGGCCGGCGCATACACTCGCAACCTGCGGATCATGGAGGAGGACCCTGATTACCTCCTCATCATGGGTGCCGGCGTCCTGCCCCCCAGCACCACGAACAAGGTTACTGTCAGCATGCTCAAGCTTACCGAGCTCTTGGGTCTCAAGCAGGCATGAGGAATGACAAGGATTTCATGTAAATAATAAAAGTTCGGGTTGCTTATTTGGAGGACGTGTCCTACGCCCAGCACACGACAAGTATATAAACGCAACTAACGCCATAGTGAGATATTGCTAATGATTGATATTCGCTACCCGTCAAGTATGTTGCTCGTGTTAATATTTCCGCTCGGATATGTGTTTCCTCTGGGCTCTCTGCTTCCCCGTGACGTAATTTGTCCAGCGGATATTACCTCTTGGCAGACCTCTAGTCCAATTGTCTGTCTGCAGGTGACTGAAATCCGCCTGTGCTTTCAGAAGCTACTTGTACTACTAGTCTCTCGAACCTACGAAAAATTGCTCCAAAGGAGTCCAAAGAAGGCCGGAAAATCCTCAGCCATGGGCAGAAGACTACGGTGAGCTCACTAAGGTGGTGAGAGCAGCAGCCGAAAGACCAGCTGTCTTGGCCAATTTCTCCGCCGCTATCCAGCCTCAAAGACCAGGCTGTGTATGGACGGAAGTTTCGATGCGTTCCTGGGTTGCCCCGGGCGTGCGGGCCGTTGGAGGTGGCGCAACTCCCCGCATGGAAAACCCAACCATGTCTTAGCCCGTCTTGGGAGACAAGGGACGAACAGGTGGTTAGCCGACAAACGCGGGGCTTGGGTGCGGGGGAGAACTAACAACTCGAGGTTCGGACAGAGCTGCGGTGAAAGGTCCAATGTCTGTCGCTCTTGGTGAACAACTCCCCTCGCTTTGTGTGGTGTGTTCCACAGCCAAACATGGTGCAAGAAACATGTATGCACGTCATGTCCTTTCCCATCCCATCTCCGTGGACCGATGACCACACGCTCGCATAGTTGGGGTAAGAGAGGGGGAAATTGAGATTGCGATGAAGCTGCTGCGTTGCCAGATGCTGTTCAGCCATTCAAACCCCAGCAATGCCGATGATCCCGCCGCTACATGGAGTTCAAGGTTGGGGATGGTGACATTTCCGGTCCATCGCTTGTCGAGGCCGGATGTACGAAGCCATTGTCTTCCGTCAAATAGCGACAGGCTCCTCGCCTCGTGCGCTCGTCCCTGCATTGTTCCAATTGATGTTTCATAGCTTCAGTACAAGCACGGTTTCGAGTGTACTGCTGGTGTATCGATTAAAATGTTGCTGTCACGTCTCAAAGCCCTTTCCCTACTGGCCTTGGCCTGGCTCGACGGAGCCAATGCCAGGGCCGTTGGGACCGGGACCGATTTGAAGCTCCTCAATGGGAGACAGCAAGATATTGTGAGTATTTCAATGGTGATCTGGCTTTGATAGTGTCAATAACTCGAACACATCTTCCCTCACTTGATGGCATTTTGAGTTAGCCAAGACACATTGGCTGATATGGCTCTCCTAGGTGACTTGGGACGACAAAACCTTGTTCATCAATGGCGAGAGATTGATGATCTTCAGTGCCGAGTTCCATGCCTTCAGGTGAGCGAGCAGTGGCTGTGGACTAAACCAAGGCGGAACACACGCACACTGACCATTGACGATAGAATGCCGGTCCCGTCCCTATGGCTCGATATTCTTCAGAAAATCAAGGCAGCTGGCTACAACTCCGTCTCTTTCTACGTCAATTGGGGACTATTAGAGGCGAAACCGGGCGAAGTTCGCGCCGAGGGCATCTTCGCACTCGAGCCACTCTTCGAGGCAGCCGAGAAGGCTGGACTCTACCTCTTTGCTGTAGGTTACGTACCCGCCATATTTATTGCCAGATGCGTCTTGGCTAACACGCACTGAAGCGACCGGGACCGTACATCAATGCTGAAGTCACCGGAGGAGGTTTCCCTGGTTGGCTCCAGAGAGTCCAAGGAGCTCTCAGGACTGGCGATGAAGCCTACCTGAAGGCGACTGACAAGTAAGACAACACCTATCAACGCCCATGGTGTAACAGCTTGTTAACTAACATGCAAAGTTACACCGCCACCCTTGGGAGCATCATCGCCAAAGCTCAAATCACAAATGGAGGACCCGTCGTCCTCTTCCAAATGGAGAACGAGTACAACGCTGCCGTCGACCCGTACCCCTTCCCCGACTACGACTACTGGAAGTACGTCGACAATCAGTTCCGCAGTCACGGCGTCGTCGTGCCGTACGTCAACAATGAGGCCTGGCAGCTTGGTGCCATCACTGCGCTCACGCCCGCCAAGGTTGATATCTACGGGCACGATGGGTACCCGCTGGGTTTCGACTGCTGGAACCCTACGGTTTGGCCTGAAAATGGCCTGCCCACTGATTGGCTTGCAACGAATAATGCTATCGCACCGACGACCCCGTATACTATCGTAGAGGTCAGTGACATCATATTGGCCAGGTCCAGATTGAGCCTCCCTAACAGCTCTTAGTTCCAAGGCGGTGGCTTCCAGCCCTGGGGAGGTGCAGGATTCGAGTATTGTGCGGCCCTCCTTAACCATGAATTCGAGCGCGTCCTGTACAAGAACAACTACGCCGTCGGAGTCACAATCTTCAACATCTACATGGTAAGCAGCTTAGTACGTGCTCCAAGCTTTGCTTGCTAACGATTCCTGGCAGACTTGGGGCGGCACGAACTGGGGTAACCTCGGACACTCCGACGGCTATACCTCGTACGATTACGGTGCGCAGATTACCGAGGAGCGTCTAGTCAACCGTGAGAAGTACAGCGAGACAAAGCTTCAGTCCAATTTCCTCCACGTCTCTCCTGCCTACCTCGTGGCCGATCGATTCAACGCCTCGCTTGAATGGACTAACAACGACGCAATCACCGTCACTCCGGCAACAACTAACACCACCAAGTTCTACATCGCTAGGTACGTGGTTGCAACGCCTTCAGCGATGCTCTAGTTTCCCTTACTCACCACACGATAGGCACACAAAGTACGAATCTCTTGAGACAACAGCCTACAAGCTGAAGGTGAAGACTGTCGAGTACGGTGAACTAGAAGTTCCCCAGCTCAGCGATAGCCTGTACTTGACCAGACGCGATTCAAAGATCCATGTTAGCGACTATCCTGTCGGCGACAAGAAGCTGGTATACTCCACAGCTGAGATCTTCACCTGGTAGGAAGCCCAAGTAGAGCAGCTTTGACACTTCTCTAACATCTTTGCAGGAAGAAGTATGCCGACAAGACCGTGCTAGTCGTCTACGGAGGTGCTGATGAGCACCACGAGCTGGCCATTGAGGGCGAGCAAGCCGATGTCACCGATGAAAACGTCATTGAGGGCTCAGATGTCACTATTGAGCAAAAGGACGGCTACACTGTCCTGGGTTGGGCTGTCTCGGACGAGCGCAAGGTCATCCGCGTGCACGAGAATCTCTATGTTTACCTTCTTAGTAAGTTGTCAGCAAACATCTCTGCGTCTTCTAATCTGACCGAAACCTTGTTAGCTCGCAACGAGGCTTACAAATTCTGGGTGCCTCCCGCTGTCGGCGACTTCGGCACCTCTGATGTCATCGTCAAAGCTGGATACCTCGTCCGCAATGTTGCCGTCAACGGGGACTCCATCAGCTTCTCTGGTGACGTCAACAGCACAACCACCATTGAGATTATCGGTGGCGCTCCCTCATCTCTCAAGACTCTGAACTTCAACGGTAAATCTCTCGACTTCAAGCAAAACGATCACGGAGCTGTGACTGCCAAGGTTGAGTTCTCAACTCCTGAGATCAGGCTTCCGTGCATCAGCCAGCTCAGCTGGAAGTATGTCGACAGCCTACCAGAGATCAAATCGGACTACTCTGACGAGTTGTGGACGGCCGCGGACCTCGAGAAGACGTACAATACCGCGAACCACCTGAAGACACCCACCAGTCTGTACGGAGGAGACTACGGGTACCACACCGGCTCGCTTCTCTACCGCGGTCGCTTCACTGCAAACGGTGAAGAGTCGACTTTCAACATCACCACCCAGGGAGGCAATGCCTACGGTGCTTCAGTGTGGCTGAATGACGAGTTCATCGGGTCCTGGTTCGGAAACGCTGTGTCGCCCGCCTACAACAGCACGTTCACCCTGCCCAAGTTGACCAAAGACAAAGACTACATCTTTACGGTCGTGATTGATCACATGGGTTTGAACGGCAACTGGGTCGTTGGCGAAGAACAGCAAAAGAACCCCCGCGGCATTCTCAACTACAACCTCGTTGGCCACGAGCAATCCGACATTAAGTGGAAGATTACCGGAAACTTGGGCGGCGAGGATTACGCCGACGAAGAACGCGGCCCTCTCAACGAGGGTGGTCTCTTCATCGAGCGACAGGGCTACCACTGGCCCCAACCTCCGTCGGTGTCTTGGGAAGACAGCAAGGGTCCCTCCGCGGGAGTCGAAAAGGCCGGGATTGCCTACTACTCTGCGACCTTTAACCTCGACCTCCCCACTGGCTTCGATATTCCGCTGTCTCTGACATTCGCCAACACCACCACTACTGCCTACCGCACTCAAATCTTTGTAAACGGTTACCAATTTGGCAAGTTCGTGCATCATGTCGGCCCCCAGGCTCGCTTCCCTATTCCCGAGGGTATTCTCAACTACCAGGGATCTAACCACCTGGGCATCACGCTCTGGGCCATGGAGAAGGGCGGCGCCAAGGTCGAGGGGCTCAAGTGGGAAGTTGGCATGGTCAGCGCAACTGGTTTCGGGAAGGTGACGCCTGCACCGCAGCCGAAGTGGACGGCAAGAAAAGGAGCTTACTGAAGGGTTGCAAAGCACAGAGCGGGCTTAACCTTGCGTGATACTTTCCGCTGGCGGCAAGCCCTAATATGTACTTTCCCCTTCACCCAGAGTTTAGCTATCCGTACCTTACCTGGAACTAGTGTCCCAAAGTTCCGATCAATTCGGTCAGCTGAGCCCGGATTGTGACTTCGTTCAAGACTCGATCAGGACGAGTCGCTCATTTCTCACAGATGTATCTTGTCAGATGAAAGTGCGTGTGGACTGAAGACAATTCATACATCAAAAGATCTCTTCTGGGCCGGTGAGGAAGATTCACAACCATAGACAAGTCACTTGAGATATACGGTAGTTATTTATTTTAGTTTAAGGTTTAACTTATATGTTCATATCGCAACCAGCAAGTTGATACGATACACATTTGTATACAAATGAACAAAAATTCGTAATCCGCTGATCTGAGACACCACCCAGTGGCAAGTCCATGAGCTACATCGAGATCGTTATCAAGAGCCCGGCTCACCAAGTACGCAATGATCCCAATTCAACGGATACCGTAGATATTTGCGCTGACAGCCGCTTAAAGCTTGGTATTGACGCTCGACGGGACGTTGAGAGCATTGGCAGCCTTCTGACCACCAGAAACGTTGACACCTTCCCACTTCCAGTTGCGGCAAGCGCCGGATCCGCACAGAACCTGAACGTCAATTGCGGAAGACTTGATGTTGCCGATAATCTTGCTGACAGTAAGATCGGTGATGGGGACACCGCTGGTGGGCTTTCCGGTAGGGGATCCGTTCTTGTAGTCCTGCTGAATGATAACACCGTACTTGTTGATACCAGTCATAGTAATACCGGAGTAGACAACGTCCGAAACAGCACCAGTCGCACCAGCAACGGTCTTGATTCTGACGCCGTTGTCCGAGTCGATAATCTTAGAGTTGAGGATGCGAACGGTCTTGACGACGTTGTTGGAGCGTCCACCAACGGATCCAATGGAGAGACCGTGACCACTGATGCAAGTGCCGCCGATGAAAGTGATGTTGGAACCGGAGTTAATAGCAAGGCAGTCATCCTGGTTCTTGACAGTGCAGCCAGAGATGTAAATGCCGCTGGAGGAACCGACGTCGAAGCCGTCGGTGTTGTGGCCGCACTGGGAACCGCCATCGCCGGCAGAGTCGTCAATGTTGACATCGTAAATGCCAAGGTTGGTGCAGGTGTTGATGGAAAAGGCCTGAACAGGGGTGTTGAGCACATTCAGTCCGCGAATGTTGGAGTTTTGCAGAGAGTGGGCAGCGAAGAACTTGGGCTTGTTTTTGCCACCGTTGCTGCCCTTGCAATCCCACCAGCGCTGGCCACCGCAATCGATCACATGGCCGGAGGCGCCGACGACGTTGACATTGGAGCCCGAGACGGAAATGAGGGGACCAGCCCACTCCTTGTATCCGAAGGTAGTCTTGCCTTGGAAGGTAACCTGTTGGCTCTGTTAGTAAACCTGACTGAGACAAACGCCGGCCTGTTGACCACGAGATGCGAAGTTGAAATATCGACGTACGGTAGCGCCCGACTTGAGGCCAGTCAAGTCAAGAGTGACTCCCGCGGGAACAGCGATATCCTTCAAGACAATGTTCGAGCAGCTAGCTTTGCCCTTCATGGCAGCGTTGGCGTCGGTGAAAGTGCAGCCGGACTGGCTAACAGGCGCAGCCAGAGCAGTGGCAGCCAGGCCAGCGAGAGCGAAGAAAGAAACCATGTTGAAAGCAGAAATGTTTTGTTCGAAGTAGGTTGTTGTTATGTCGAGTGCCCTAGGGCGATAGGTACAGAATGAGTGAGTAAACGAAAAAAGAATGGACGAGCCAAAGCTCAAAGGATGATAGTGATCAGAGTAGAAGATCAGCTGGTAACAGTTCGAGAGATATCGCAACTACTGCCAAGGCCGTGGGAAGTGGTTGATTTATATCCCAATTGGAGACGTTCTCAGCGGGGTTTTGCCAAGACTGTCAATCAAAGCTTGTGTTCACCGTGACATATCAAGAACAGGGGTGACCGCCGGCCGAGTCAGTCAGACATAGGATGGCTACCTATACTTGGGGCAAACGCCGACAAGGATCGCCATAGTTGGATGACCGAAGAACATTCCTTTTGCTGGGAAAGAAATACTGGCGTCATCTCGAGCTCGCACTCACAGAGATTGCCTCCAGAAGAACTACTCAAATAAGCTTGTCTCGCATATAGTATATATGCTAAGCTGTGGAGTGGTGTATGGGAAGTTCGGAAAGATCCTCAACGATGGTTTGCCGAAAACCGTCATTCGCTTGATATAGATGGGGGCTATAGGTGTTTGCGCAACGGCGAAACGTAACCTTCCCCAGGTTTGTGCCTTCCAACTCGAAAACCTTCTCCCTTCATTTGTTTTCTGTCATTCTCCTTCGTGAAAGTGTAATTATTGTTACATCATGCTTCGACACGTTGCGAAATGTGCCTCGTGCGCTGTGCATCTAACAGAGTTCGACGCCATCTTGCTAGTCTGCAAGTCAGCTCCATAGCCAGAAAGTCTCACGGACCGACAGAACGCAGTGGGCAGACGCTGCGCACTTTTCTTATCACGCATAGCAGCAATAAAACTGACTTTTCAAAAGGTGCTGGCATTTCGCGATAATAAACCTCATTCTGCCCACACTCATTAGCGGACGAAGGCACGACTCCATTGTGCTCTCTTTGAAGTCCGCTTTGCTTTCACCCGATGACTCGGTGAGTTCGCCTCAAAACTGAACTTTGAGATTGTTTCTTGGCTCATTACTGAATCTCTTGTTTTCAAAGTCTCTCTAAGCACGTACCACCATTCTACCCTTCATGTTTGCCGCATCCCTTGTTTCCCTAGATGTTTCCATATTTTACTGGCCTAAGTCCGCGCACATTGCCAGAAGAGACTCAAGAGAGATTGGGCAAGGTGGAACGCAATTGAAATGTTGATGGGTCCGGTGCCTGACGATAATTCTCCAGCCGTAAGCGCCGAGAAGAAAAATATCCCCCGAAAGAGAACCCGGAGGCTAATAAGGTCATGTCCCACAACTCTTTCTGACCGCTTCGGACGCTTACTTCCAACATGTCAGAAATCACAAAGGCTGCGGTGATTTCCCCTGAATGGCAGCAGTATGGAGACGGGCTGCCACCTCAATATTTGGATTGCCTCATTCTGCTTTGTCTATTAAGTGGAATGGTCCATCAAGCCACAGCAGAAATATGAGCGATCGTCGAAAACTTGGGCTGCGAGCAGGATTCGTTCGAATCAACAAGTGTGGAAAGCACCGGGATAACCAGGGTTCCCACGTTAAAAGAGAAAGTTTGCAGCTTCTATCCACAACTCATGTTGCAGCCACAAAATAATCACGCTGCAGCATGATGATGAGTCTCGACTATCCGGGGAATATGCTGGCCTTCTCCCGAGACCCAAACGCCGATTCTGAAGTCGGCTCACAGGCCGGCACTCTGCAGTTTGCTGCTGATAGCAATGCGCGTAAAGTTTTACTAGTCGCAGTGTGTAAACTTGAAGCACATGAAATAAAGTATTCACTCAAAACCGCAACTATGAGTTACCATCGAGAGTGAAGGTCTAGATGACAAGCTGTCGAATCTACCGAGCATTACTGCAGAGTGTAGGGAGAGATTATTCCATTCAACAAATGTAGATCGGCGCCCCTGGTAAGGTAGAAGGAATAAAGTTGCAATAGTTCCTATCTGCTTCTTATCCATAGTTATGCAACTTCCCCCTCGCCTAGTTTTTCTTAGCATCTATGTTACGCCCGCCGCAACTTGTCACTGTGGGCGCGTAGCTATATAATGCAGAACAAGGGAAAATGATGCGGAGTCATCATTATCGAAGCTTTTGCTTTGTGCCACAGTTGGTTGCCTTGTCCTGCTCGTAACAATCTACTGTTAGTGCAATAGGTGGGCCACCACCAATATTCTTAACAGCTGAAAACCCTTCACCTCTCTCCTTCGGCGGGCTTTGGACTGTTGCTAGCCTCCTCGGCTGGCCCTAATAGAGGCTCTGGGACCCCTCCGGAGTCGTTTCTAACCTTAAGGGCTAAACGCCGCCGCGGTACCGAGGCCTAGCTACCCCGGCCTAGCCTCGTGGGAAGTTAGCCTAACTGTTACGACCCAACATGCATAACAACGCCAGGGGGCCCGCCCCGCCGCAGGCCTACGGCGGCTATCTACCAGATATATGCAGAGAACCCGGGAACTCAGGTGACCCCTCACGGAACGGAAGAACTATGGAACAAGTTACGTAACGATAAGGAAAGTGAGCACACGATAAGGTGATCATAGTGATCACCCAAAGTAAGCGCTCACCAGTATCCACTTAGTGATCACTAACGAACATAGTAAATAGACAAAATAAAAGATATAATGTGCATGATAAGCGAGCGGATCGCTCAACAGCGACCGCCACATCTTTTTCTTTCCAATATATATTCATCCACCATAATGATACAGTTATCAAATAAAGAAGCTGGTATAATTTTAGTAGTTCAAGCTATCGAAAAAATACTAAATTTGAGTATTAAAGGTGTAACTCGGATCTATTTAGTGCTATTTTTAACCTTACGCGCCCGTGTTAATAGAAGAACTTCGTAACTTAAAACCGTACTAAATGTTACGGCCAGCTAGTCGTAGGGGTAGTTTGCAGAAGTTGAGGCTGCGGAACTGGTAACAGTAATCGTAGTCGGGGATAGCTTCAGGGAAGCTATGTCTGTCAATCGTAAGGGTAGGTAAGGCTTCGATGATCAATCGTAGTCTTGTCAAGGTAGTAGCTGAAAGCGGATGTTAATCCTGATACGAAGTTAATTGCTGAAGAAGCTATGGGAAGTCTGTCCTAGAGCCCGGCTCGAGTCCATCCTATATACAAGTCCTGATCCTGAAACATATCCTTTGTTGCCTGGTCACCATGTTCGTTGGTGATCACTAAGTGGATACTGGTGAGCGCTCACTTTGGGTGATCACTGTGATCACCTTATCGTGTGCTCACTTTGGGTGATCACTGTAATCACCTTATCGTGTGCTCACTTTCCTTATCGTCACGTGACTTGTTCCATAGTTCTTCCGTTCCATGAGGAGTCACCTGAGTTCCCGGATTCTCTGCGTATATCAGGTAGATAGCCGCTGCAGGCCTGTGGGGCGGGCCCCCTGGCCTTGTTATGCATGTTGGGTTGTAACACTAAACTTACGGAATTTGACGTTCGAAGAGGATATGTGTTACGAGCTGGACAAGGCAACCAACTGTGGCACAAAGCAAAAGCTTCGATAATGATGACTCCGGCATCATTGTCCCTTGTTCTGCATTATATAGCTACGCGCCCACAGTGACAAGTTGCGGCGGGCGTAACAATATGCTAGTTGAGTATATTCTCGACCTAGATTCCCGATTATTCCCTCCTCGGATCAGTGGTGTAGAAGAAATGGCTAATCGACTATTCGCCGACCGTAATGCGCCCCTAGTTGGGAAGCGCTGGGCTTTGAACTTTGTTAAGCGATAACCATAGCTCCGGACGCGCTTTTTTCGTAAATATAACTATAATGTTACGCCCGCCGCAACTTGTCACTGTGGGCGCGTAGCTATATAATGCAGAACAAGGGAAAATGATGCCGGAGTCATCATTATCGAAGCTTTTGCTTTGTGCCACAGTTGGTTGCCTTGTCCTGCTCGTAACACTAATGTTGCGGCCCGGACCGCCCTCCAGGACAGCTAGATCTATAACGTATAAATACTAAGAGGTTAGAGGTAGGCAAAAAGTATCACAAAGCGAGGTAGCAAGTGGAAGACTTGTATGGTAGAAAGTGGCTTGATTCCTCTAAGTGGAAGACCCGTATGAGGGTCCTATCTATATACCGTACAAGACGGGTAATGGGCTTGTGGAAAGCGGTATCGTACGGCAGTAACCGGCAGCGCCACGTGTGGCGCTGCGACAAAAAGGGAAAAGGTAAATAAGTTAAGGTACGAGTTGGGTAATCAGAGAATCGATTGTATTGATGATTATTCTATGATATGGTGGGAAAGTGTAGTCTATAGATAATATATAAATATCACATGTAATCATATGTGATGCTTAAGTCCGAGCATTTATTATTAAGTTTATACGGGCATATGTGCCTGCCGGTGCTTTAACATGTATATGTAAAACGTATTCACGTACGGGCTGTACGTGCGTACAAAGCATTGTATCTCAGTAGATACGTACTTCACCTGAGCCTCTTATTACCATGTAACTTCTTAAGCACGTAACTCCTATAACTTAGTAACGTGGTTCATCAGTCAGCGACGAATATCAGTCAGCGACGAACTTTTTCCCATGCACGTAATGGTATTTACTATTGCACAACCACAACACATTGAATTAACTATTCCTCATTACTACTCGAATCATTTGACAATTCCGTATCCTTAGAACAGGTTCGCGCATTATGACCGGTCTCGCCACACACACCATAGCGTCTCCGAGCTGGCTGGGCTCTCTTTGATGGACCCCCCTCCTCATCCTCTTGAGGTGCTGGACGTTTCCCTTTTTGTTTCTGTTGGAATAGGCCTACATTAGGCAGCAGGAGGTTGCTGCCGCGGTCCGTTCCAGCCACGGTGGTCCGTGTGGCTCAGCCACACGAGGGTGGTATACCCCAGACTTCCTGCCGCCGCTGGCACCTGGTTAGACTTCCACTCAAGAACAACAAGAACAAGCAATATCACCACTACAGTCGGTGATCGTTGCTACCCACGATACTCGAGTATTTTCCTTTTCCACCTGTGAATCCAACAGTTTCCCTTCAAGCAAAACCTGAGATTCCTCTATACTAAGCGCCCCTCCAAGCTGGACCCGCGTCCTTTTAGCCCTCCGGCGCTTACCAAGTGCAACATTCGCATCCTCAAGGGTACGAAGCCGATCAGTCAAAAGAGTGATTGAGTGCGCCATTGCCTGCGTACCCTTCGACAATTGCTCAACTGCAGCAATAATTGGCGTTGGTGAGCTTCCTTGATGAGCAGTGATCCGACTTTTGATAAAATTGGACTGCGAGACGGTTTGTTGTGGGTTAGAGGGCGTTTGCGACTGCCAAGGTGGTGGTGTTGAAGGGTTGGCCACAGGAGGTGTAGGCGTCCATAAACGTACATCAAGCTTTTCAATGACATGCTCTGGGTTCCATGGTGAAATTCCAGCGCCTTGGAAAGCAGCTCTAATGTTTTCTTCATTAAAAACTTTGTTGTGGGCCTGGTAGAAGGTAATAAAGAACTCCGACTTGGTGATGTGGTTTATGGAGGCTTTGATGAATAGGTTGATTTCATCACCATATGCGCGTTTTAAAGGCGAATAAAGGGCAATATCTAATGGCTGTAGTAGATGTGACGAATTTGCAGGCATACTGACGGTTATAATATTGTTCTGCTTGCAGTAATTGTCGAATTCGGCCGATAAATGGCTCTCGTGGCCGTCGATAATAAGCATCCGGTAGACGCCCTTCGTTTGGTTCTTAGTATGTTTGTCGAAGTGTTTAATCCAGTCAAGACCCGTCTGATTATCCGTCCATCCATTATTAGTAGGTTTGATAACCCAGTCGCTAGGAAAACCTGATTCCGTGGTCCAACTAGCAAGGTGATATGCGCCTTTGACAATCACGAACGGAGGGATGCACCACCCGCCCGAATTGATACATTCAATGACTATAGCCCACTCAAGGTTGCCAGGCTGGACAGACTTTGCTTTGCCGCGTCGATCAGCGCGTGTTACTACTATTGACGCGGTGATCATGCCCATCATAAAGCTAGTTTCGTCGAAATTATATAGGTCCCCCTCTTGGATGCCATACTAGGCCATTATATTGCGTAATAGCGCAAACCACTTTGATATAACCTTAGGATCTTCTTGAAGAGCCCTTTGATAATCGTATGGACGATTAAAGTTGGTTTTCAGAGTAGGCTGCGAGTCCACAAATCGCCTGGCCCATCGCTTGCCAATAGGCTTGCCATTACGCGCTCGTAGTAGGAGATTGGCCATATCTTCCACACCAGCGAGACGCAAGGGAAACCCTCTTTGATCCTGCTCAATAACGTATTGGAGAAGCGCTTTCTCTTCGATCGCATCAAGTTTATGTCGTTGGGGTTGGGCACGTTCGCGTCGGGGTCGATCGTTCATTCTATGGCGTACGGAACTTTCGGGGATACCGTAAGTCTTCGCAGCACGTAACACACTTAGTTTTCGGCCGGCGGCGCGAGCTGATCGAATAGTCTCGATGGCTAGAAGTATCTTGTCTTCTTGTGTGTAAATTGGCATAATAGTTGTGGAGTTATTACGCGTCAAAGGTTGGAGTGGTTTAATGCAAACCGCATTTGGGAAAAAGTTCGTCGCTGACTGATATTCGTCGCTGACTGATGAACCACGTTACCTGTATTATTTAATACATCTGCGAGAAGCAGTCAGTCCATGGATGTATTTGCTATGATATGACACTACTTTTCTCGCATTTTATAGGTGTGTAGCTGAGGAGGCTGGACTACTCCTTGGCTGCCAAGAGGCGGCGGAGGTGCATCCATACAATTATTAAAGCATGGGTCTCCATATTTGTGGTAACATCGACCAGAATTCTGTCTACCACAATTTAGTCGACCATGGATTAGGAGCTGTGAACCTATTGTGTTTCAACGTCCCTATCCGTACCTTATGCAGATTTCATAGATGGCATGTATGGTTTGGATAGTTTTTATTCTATCTACGGAGTAGGTCGGATGATTCCGTCCCGCCGATCGACGCGGATGCCATCCCCTCAACGTTCACCCCAAGCGAACCAGAGCAAAGCGCTGATACATGGCCGTAGACCCACTCAGCATTCCAATCCCTGCCAATTCATCCCAACATCATATCTGTAGACCGCCTCCAGTCTCCATCGCCAACTTCCTGCCTGGCGTAGATCCTCCTTGACATCTCTTGCACTCCACTGTTCCCCATGCCCTCCCCTGATCTTCGACAATAAAACCAGCCCCCAAATTCGGATGCCGGCTCGCTACTTTAGCACAAACCAGGCTAGACTCGTGTTGCCTGGGCGTTTTTCGCGATGGCAGGAATTTGCTACCACTTCTTGCGCAGGTCTCTGTCACAGAGGATGCGCGCCACAAATTGCAAAACAGCTGAGGCGGTCAGACACATGCCGGTGAAGATGACCAGGTGTTGATACTCTTCCGGCGTTCCTTGTCGAACGAAAGCTCCGCCAATGGGCGTGCCGGTGAAGACACCGATTGCACTCCAGATAGAAAATGCGCCCAGCCGGGCACCAACCTTGTCCTCCGGAGAGAGCCTGACGGTCACGGATGGTGTGACGCTGATGAAGATTCCCGAGCAGAAACCTGCACTGTGATTAGCTGACTCGAGTTCTCGCAAGGCTGAAGCATGTACAACGAAAAAAGCATACCATATAAGCAGGCAAAGGCTACGATCATGCTGACGTTGGTGGATAGAAGCCACAAGGTAAGGCAGAGTATGCCTGAAATTGCCGTCAGTGGATAGAGGAGGTTCAATCCACCAGTGTGGTCGGCTACGTATCCACCACTAAGATGCGTCAGTGCGGTACTCATGGTCATCTATCGGAACACTCAGAGACTTACATCACTCGGCCGAAGAAGCTCGGTCCGTTGATGAGCGGGAGAAGGTAGTTGCTCACCGCGGCTCCCGGGTGGTGAACCGCGATGTACGGCTCTAATAATGAAATTAGCTACGTTCAACAGGGACGTTCTTTTGAGGACCCGCGGTCTCAAGGCATTCCGTCCGGACATCAAGTTTTGACTCGGCTGCCCAGACTGCCGACGAAAGCTTGGAAGCGGCACATATACATGTACGCACTTAGTTTGCATAACAACTCGGAGCCACACGCAGTCGAACAATGATTGACAACACACCTAGGTAGTAGAACGGTACGTAAAGCCCAAAGTTGCCAACCACATTAGCAAGCGCCTATGGAAGTCCCAGCTGAAGGTCCTTTGGAAGTCTACCGATATCATGGTTTTGTCAAGAAAATCATGATGTATCAAAAGGCTGAGGAGGCCAAAAGAGAGGCCGTTAAGCAGAAGACCGCCGAGCTGCCAGAACAGGTAGATTACGTCAGGATCCCCCGTATTCTTACCGTATATGCACGATGTCCTCCAGGCCCAGGCAATCAACGACGTGCACATTTGCTCAGCTATTCGAGGTCTAAGCATTCCATCACAAGATCGTTCAGCATGCATGTGATCGGCATCAAGCTTTACACTACAACATCTATCGCGAGAGTTCTCCCGGTCCTTGACTTATAGCGCCGCAGGGAAACCAAGTCCAAAGAGACCTTGGTGGGCGGATATCCAGATGAGAACTCCATGCATTCTAGGCACCACTTTCAAATAGAATTTCCAACAGTGACATCACTTGAACAGAGTTCAGTCTCTCCGGGCGGAGTGGAGTAGATCAGAGAGCAAGCAAAGTGATTTGATCATGGTATGTACCAGTGAGGCAGGTTGTAATTCAGATACTCACGTTGTATGCGCGCACGATAACACTGAAGAAGGTACGGTTGAGACTTTGATGAATTTGATATGGTAACATCCAGAGACGAAGTTGTTTTGAAATGGCGACATCACATGTTTGTATTGTGTACACTATTACTTCTTCATATGTGCTCATACAATCTCCTATTCCAAAGACCTCACGTGTCCACAAATCGAAGGCAAATTTTCAGCTACGTGCACACCCAGCCAAAACTTGACTACATCAAACATACTCAGCCGTCACCGTGTTGTACCGTTGATCTATGAAGAGTCAATATGCATGCCAAGATGTCTTTTCAAAGGGAAACTCACTGTTGTAGAGCAATGTGTACGTGGTTGAGGCCGAAAGATACACGGCTTCGATCTTACAGTTCAGCTCGTAGTACCATTGGCCGTCAAGTCCCTGGCGACGTGAGAGCATGTGCTCGGGGATGTGTCCGACATCAGCCTCTACATGAACGAGCATCGCAACATTCTCATCCCGAGCAACAGGCGCAATTCGTTGGTTGCGATCAGCGTAGATATCCATCTTGATCTTTTTGATACGGCCTTGGCTGACGAGACCGGTCCACACGAAGGATGTGTAGAAAGGCTCGTTCTCGGAGACGTTATCGCCCCGTTGAATGAACCATTCCATGGTGTAAACTTTGTAGCACCCATCCAAGCCGCACCAGTGTCGCTTCTGCTCGAGATGCTTGTGGACCTTAGCATCGTACTTGCTTCGCCACTCGGTGCCGTAGTGCTTTCTGGCTTTACGATTCTGAACCTTGACTTGCGTAAGCTTGTCAGGCGATACCTGAGCTAGACCCTTCATGACGGCGCCTTGAACAACTGCCTGCCAAGCATTGGGTGGCTGCATGATTTGGATGCTCTTGTCAATAGCGTTGCGCAAGCGCTCCTTGAGATAGTTGGATGCGCCGAAGCCGCCAACAAGGAGGATAGCACGAATCGGTACGTTGCTTGCTATGATCTGGTCCTTGACAAGCTTGATGCACTCCAGAACGACGGGCTCGAAGATGGTTTGAAGATCCGACGCCTTCAGAGCGAAACGACCACGGTTGATCCCGAGCTCTTTGTTATTGGCCATACCACCGACTGGGATGGTGTAGGTGTCGTCGGGGGCAGCGCCGAGCGTGAACTGTCGCTTGACCTGCGCAATATTAGTCAAAGAGCTCTAGTCAAGATACGCTTGGAAGCCAAAGCATGATAGAAGATTCAAGCTTGCCTTCTTTTCGAACTGTTCCATAGCCTCAGCCATGATCTCGTCATCAAATCCATCTTCCTTGCCTAGCTTTGCCTTTAGAAACTTGGCGAAGCGCATGTTGAGGAACGTCGAGCCGCAGAGCGCACCAGATCCTGGAGCAGCCTCTTGGACCTCCAGAATGGGTTTAAGACTGGTAATTGTGTAAGAGATCAGGTCCACAGTGCCTCCTCCAGCATCCACAACCACTACAGTATCATCGACTTTGAGCCCATGTGGGTCCAAGCCATGCAAGGCATAGATGGCCGCGGCTTCTGGCTCGGAGACAAGGTGAATGGGAGCAATAGTGTTGGTGACTGTGTTGAGACCAGAAGCTCTTTGACAGGCTTGTTTGGTCTTGTCCTTGGCTAGATCTGACCAGATGGCGGGTACCGTAACGACAAACTCCAAGGGAGTGGTGTTGACAACCTGCTCTCCTAGCTTTTCCTTCAGGGTGTATACGAGATGGTCGCCTAGCGCCGAGATGTAGTCCGTCACAAGCTTGTCGACGTTGCGGCCACCTCGAGCCTCTGAGGAGACAGCTTGGCCCATACTTTGAAGAGAGGGGTCGAGATCACTGGGACATGTTAGCTCTACGTTTCCTCCTACTTTCCGCTCTCAGTGTGCCAAGAACGAGTGTGTCGTAGGAGTGGAAGCACCCACAGCTTGAACCACTCGACAACTTCATCTTGCGGTGCGGTAACGGGGATGGAAAAGCCCCATTGAACATCGTCGCCGGCATATCGGAGCTTGGTGGGGACTTTGTCGGAAGATTCGCCCTCGCGGATGGTCTTGCTGATTGGCCAGGTGGTGATGGCAGTTCGTCGATCGGGACGTTGAGTTTCAGCCCACGCCACACCTGAATAAGTGGTGCCGAAGTCGATGCCGACGATGATCTTACGCTCGCTGACGGACATCTTCTCGAAGTCGAAGGAGTCCATAGCTAGAGGATGTGGTGCTGCCGGGTGGTGCAGAGGGTATCAAAAGACAAGAAACCGATCGCGAATGTAAGTAGAAACAAGATGCAAAGTGTTGATCAGCTGGTAACGACCAGGACAAAGCAGGTTCTTGGGATCGGTACAGCGGAACCCTCTCTTTCCGAATGAAGCTGTATCCAAGTAGGCTTGGCGAACCCAAGACTAAGGTGAAGGAGGTTTCGATTGCTGGAGGATGACCAGGTCGCAGTAAAAAGAGGCAGGAGAGATGGAAGAGTTGGATCGTGGCATGGAGGGAAAGAAAGGGGGGCGATGCCAGAAGCTGGTTCTCATCAAGCTTGATGGATAGATGTGCTTGGGCAAGGTACGTAGAGGTCAGCAGACGAAAGGAGAATCTGCCTTGATGAAGCTTGGGTGCGAATGTTTGAAGGGTGCAGGGCAGCAAGAGGCTCCGGCTGAACCTTTTTAGTCTTCAGGTTGGCGTGACACAAACAGGCGAGGAAGGTCAGCTTTGCTTGAAAGCTCCTTCCCTGGTCGACCTACCCATCCTACCTTAGGTAAGAGGAATGGAAAGATGGCACAACATGTCTCAAAAGGTACGGTACATGAACGACAGCTAATAATCATGGAATCAAGACAATCAGTCCTTTGAAAAACTCGCTGCCTTATGCATCAAGCTCATGCGGGTCCTGACCCGTCGGGCACGTTTGGATACCGTGGATGCATCTAGGCGTTGTAGGTCTGAGCGCCGAGATATTCGTCCCTCATGCCATGCAGCTCAGGCTTTCTAATGAGGCGTCATTCGGTCTATTTTATGCCACTGAGGTTCCAAGGCATTCGATATTCGCTCCTTTTCAACCTTTTCAAGGCACCATGCAACGTGTTTAGCTGTTTCTGGACTACCGTAAGGTACCTCAAGGTGCTTGGTGAAGAAAGTGACTTTGAGGGGGTAGATCGGTACTTCCCAGAACAACCAGGGTGTCAGCCTTAAAGGTACGTATCTCAGTGAGGCCCCACCCCCGCCGTTGTATCTATCTTACCTACCTAGGTGAGGTAAGGTAGGTACGCCCCCACTTGGCAGGGTCATTCGGGCAGGCAGTTCCAAAAAAGTGACATTCCACCTTTACCGAAAGCTGCCTTGTCTCTTACAGGTATGAGATATTCAAGCCGAGAGGAAGGTCTGATAGAGTCCCTACCTACTCTAGGTAGCCTACCAAGCCTCGGGCGTTCATCACACAAGGGCGGGGACCTGGGGTATGACCTCGATTTCCTGTCATGAAAGGCAGTATTGCGAGGTACCTAACCTTACAGACTTGACCTTGGGTACCTAGGTATTCGCCCGGATTCTCCATGGCACCGGATCCTTCCTTCATTTGTCCGTGCGACTTCTCCCAGGCCTCTTTCTCGGTCACATCTCATCCCAACTCTCCCTCTAAGTCATTCATTCTTCCGATGCACAGTTAGACTCGGACCTCTCTTTTCATCTAAACATATCCTCCACTGCTGCCGTCTTCTAGCATTACTACTCGGCATAATGGAAGATCTCAGACAGGTAGACCCGACTCTTCCGCAGCACCGCGAGGGTCACAACCCACCCGTCCCAGACAAGAGACCCCTCGACACTAATGCCGGGGCCATGATGCTCGACGACTCGAGACTTACCTACAGTCAGACCCCCAAGAACCAAGCAACTACCACAATAGAGCCGGTTAGCCCCTACACGACTTCTGCCACTGACATGATGGGCTTCACCAAGGTCGAGATGCCTGCTCCGGAAAACGGGGCTCAGAGCAGTGGACCAAGGCAAGCTCTACCTAAAGGCCTCGTTGCCACTCGTTTCAATAATTATCCTGCCTCCAATTCTTCTCGTCATCCCCTATCGCCTTCCTCGACGGTCACCTCCTCTTCTTTTGTCGAATGCGATCTGATCGACCTCGGTACTGACATTTGTTCGCCATCAAGAGAGTTATCCGAGAAAGATGTCAACACCAGTACGCGCGACGGAGACGAAGCAGATGCCAGCGATGAGCTGCTACTACGCCGTGAGATCATGGAGTTGCGCCACAGGCTCAAGTCGACAACGGCTAGAGCTGAGATTGCCGAGGAAAAGGTTGAGCGAGCAGAGCGGAGGATAGGCGAGATCAAGTCTACCGTGGCCTCGACTATCACAGAGATTGAGAAAGACACGGCGCCACTTGCTTCAAAACTCAACGAGCTCAACACAGAGAACTCGGCTTTGAAAGAACAACTCAGGGATGCCCAGTCTCACATCTTTAGCCTTCAACCTTACCGTAAGGAGCTGACTCCCGAGGAAGTCGGGCGCGTAAGTCCACTTTCTCTACATTCAGCGATAGTCATTTGACAATCTGATAGGAATACGATGATCTCATCGAGGGTATCAGTGATTGGGTTTCCAAGTTTATGGATCCGTATCTGGATGATCACGAAAAGGGAGTTGAGGACCTTATGATGACTGCCCGCAGGAGACCCAGTGACGCTCTCAAGTTGAAACAGGTCATACACCAGTGTCCCGACCTGGTTCACGGCGCTGTTTTCCCAGAAACAGACGAAGATATTGTCGTCGCAATCATCATGAGGTTTATCAACGACAATATTTTCCAAAAGATTATGTACGGCTCCATCGCCAACTACGTCGAAGTACTCAGCTTCGTGGAGACAGCCCTCCAGAACCACGTTAATCCCAAGCGAGGTACGAGCATGTTTTAGGTATCATCATTGACCTTTGAAAATGACCTATGTCGCAGATCTCTTCGCGATACGAACTTGGACGGCAGAAGCATATAACGCAATCTTAAGCTCTCGAGACTTCAAGGGCTGCCGGGAGAAGAAGATGCGCGAGCTTACAATCGAGCTTGCCACCATTTTCAAGATATTCAGTCGAAAAGACAAAATGGAGGCATTCTACAAGAGCTTTGAACAGATTTGCATCAAGCCAGCAATGCAGCTATATGAGAAAAACCAGGTTTCCACCAACCATTTCTATTTCGATATCAACCCGTACATAGTCTGGGGCGGGGACGACGAGATGCAAACCTCGACAGACTTCCTCGACAGCTTGCAAGATCTCGACTGCAAGAACATACTCCAGAACCGCAAAGCTTTCAATCTGGCAAAGATTGACCCGCAGCCTACCAAAAAGGAGCTGTATCACCACCTGCTCAACGTTTGTACTCTCACGCCAGCACTCTACATGCGGCAGATTGGGCGCAAGGATGTCATCAAAGAACCACAGCTCGTGCGACGTCAACAGATGCTGGTGGCATGGGGACCGCAAGAAAAGCGTGACAAGTTCCAGGAGAATGGGGACCGTACGCTTTTGAGCCATCTCTACTACGCCAAGGCCGATCGAGAGAGGCAAGAAGCCGGTGGGTGGACGAACTTTCGTTGGGGTGGCTAGAGGTACCGGGTATCGCTTACGAATTTTCTCCGTTCCCTGTCCAGGCTAGTATTGGTGTTATACCCCATTTGCTATACCAGAACTGCCAAAACACGGTGCACATTCTAAGGGGCTGCTTTGGTTGGTGATGCTCACTGTGGGATTGTTAGGTAGGTATCGATGGCAGAAGTAGATACATGTAATCTCTGGGCGCACTTTGCTTTACATCTTTCTTGGGTGTAGATCGTGTACAGCTTCGTGATTGGAGACGCGTCATGCGTCATGAGATATAAGCCGCACAGAATGATCAATCGTGATAGCTTCTTGTCTCCCACGTGGACCTTATATCCACTGACAAGGTGCTTGGAGCCTGATGCAGGCGTTCTAGAAATCGAGGCCCCCCAAGTCGCGCAGTGAAGTACCAATACCTCCAACAAGCCGGCTTATTCTTCGGGTCTGAGGCTGGGACACGTCGGAGTAATGCAAGTGAGGTGCAGATGACTTTGGTTGATTCTTTAATTGGACTCGAGTAAACTTCCAGATTATTCGACTTTCGATCCCAAAGCTGGCCGTCTTAGGTAAGGTACCTAGGTGTATGTAGCCATGAACTTTGGCGGGGTTAGGTTGAACGAGGCTTAACAGGTAGCCGCTAAGGACGGGCAACGGGCAGTGACATGCGCTAGAGAGTGGGTCCTGGCGTGCCGGGCGATCTGTGGAGACTTGCAGGTACATCTGCCAGAAACATTCAAGGCAGGCCCGCCTCGGAGCTGTCTGACCATGGCATGAACCACTTGGACGTCAATCTGGAACTCCTTCTACCTTCAAGGCTCACCAACGCCCCTCGTTCGGCCTCATCTGATTCTCTTTCAGTTCGTTGCCTCATGCGCCTGCCGTCATCATTGAACAGGAACACCAAACAAGGCAAAGCCAAGCTGTGATACCTCAGTTCCCGCCTCTCAACCCACGAATGCCGCATTGCGACTCTTCCGGCACCCACAAGAGGTACAGACTCAGTCTCTTGAGCCTGGTTTCAGCGTCCGGTCTTCGTCTCTGCAGACACTCGCCTACTCGCCGTTAAAGTCGCCGTCCAACGTTCATCTGCATTGGGTTCTGAGACCGGGCTCTAATACTCATCCTTCACTCTCTAGGTCAGTCTTTCTGAGGTAGTAGGTACTCGGCTACTGAACTATCCAGCCGCACTACGAACACGTTGTCTCGTGGCCTTTCTGCATCAGCTCTATGCTCGGACGGTGATGCAAGGTTAAAGGTCCGAGTTGAACTCCAAGCAGCCGGCAGGGACATCCCAGTCAGTTTGCCCGCCATTTCAACATGTTTCGATCTTTCAAGGGAAGATTCATTGGCGCATTTGAACACGATCCACAAACGAAAAACAGTTCATCAGAGTCCGAACCACAGCTGTCCTTGCCTCCCTCTGGTTGGTCCACTTCCACGAGCGGGGGACGGCCAAACACCACCACCCAAGAGAACCATACTACCTCTTTTCTCAGATCCGACTCTCCTTTTCCAAGTCCGCACCCGAAGATCGCGCCTCGTCTTACTACGACCCCATCGACGTCATATCTGCTGCCCGTGGACTTTCTCGTTGACGGGACTCCAGAGCGCTCCACAGACGTTCCGAAATCATTGGCGGCAACACAGGTAGCTAATCCAGCTTCGATAACATCCGAGGAAAGCTGTTACCGGCAGCAGACAGACGCATCAAGCGATTCTTCAGCAAGGCTCGTTCCACATGTCGAAGACTTCCCGTTGACGAAGATGTTCGCTCCTCCAAACAGCGGACTACCACCTAGCTATCACTCCAGCGCCAACCCCTCTCTAGTGGGAGGTTTTGGCAGCGATGGGCTCGATCCCGCCCCGGCATACGATTGGGGGTTGGCTCTGGATGTTGACAGGTCAAGCAACGAGCAAGAAACATTAGCACGACATGTCAGTAATGATCAGCCTCAACCACCAGCTCCCTTACCGGAGGTTCCACGTCGGTTCAACTACTACCGCGCCATAAGCGCCGACATTCTGGCAGACTTCGACTTCCCACTGCCCGTGGCCAAGTCCACGGCCACAGAGGCGGCGATGCCTTCTTCTTCTACTCCACCACCACAAAGGGGCTACCGGCCGACCCCAGCGTCTATCCTCGAGGATTTTGACGTTGCAACCTTTTCACCACAGACCACAGGTGGGAGCTCCAGCACCGCAGCTAGTACGCCGCCAGTATTGTCGCCGCCCACACGCTCGAGGTCAACGTCGAAGCTCGCGTCGGCGTCGGCGTCGACGGCTTCGAATAATCCGTATGTCGAGCTTCTTGAGCAGAAGGAGCAAGCAATGACGGTTGCCTTTTTGCGCAGGCAAGACTCAGCGTCGGGATCTCGGTCTACGGATCTTGGAGCTGATGATTTCAGGTAAACATGCACCCTCGAGCTCGATTGATACTCTTTGCCAGCCTTCATCACTGAATTATTTGATATTTCTCCTTGTCAACAGTTGACTTTTGGTTCAACATTACTAACAAGTCTCAGTTTCGGTCAAAGATACCACAAGGCAGCAGACACAACTGATGTTGTTGTTACCAGGCAAAGACTACCAGCAAATGATCTAAGCGGTTCTCGAGAATGCCCGATTTGTGCCGAAACAAGGGAAATTTCGTCATTTCCCGTCCTAAGTGTGACTCCAATGTGTACTCACCCGCCAGAAGCGTGCCTAGAGTGCCTTCAAATATCCATCAAATCAGATCTGAATAGCAAGCTATGGACCGAGATCCGGTGTCCAGAATGCCGCGAGTTGCTAGAATACATCGACATTCAGAAGTACGCAGACGAAGAGACATTTGCCCGGTAAACTCCCTCATAATCTGTTTCTGGGTCCTAAAGTCACTAACGCCTTCCAAGATATGAGGCTTTGGCACTTCGCGCTGCCATGGCTGAAGCTGATAACTTCATTTGGTGTACGGCAAACTGTGGGTCGGGCCAGCTTCACGATACTGGCGGAGATCAACCCATTGTGACATGTTTGCATTGTAGTCAGCGGTCTTGTTTTAGCCATAACGTTACGTGGCACGAGAACCTATCGTGTGAGGAGTACGATGCGCTGCTGCGAGACCCAGAAAACTTCCGCTCGCGCATCGAGATGGAGTATGACGAGTTCGACTCGGCGCGACAGGCGCAGGAAGACGCCGATCGGGCAATGGCGCAGGGCCTTATGGCCGAACAACAGGCTGAGATTCAGGAGCATGAAGCTAGAGAGCGTGCCGAGAGGGAGAGAGCCCGAAAGGCGGCAGCCCTGGCGAGGAAGGTTGCTGCTCGCCGAAAAGCGGAAGAAGAGCAAAGCCGAGTGACCGTAAGCCGGACAACAAAGCCTTGCCCTGGTTGTGGATGGGCCATTGAGAAGAATTCCGGGTGGTAAGTTTCTTCTGTGACATCAGAGCAAGGAATGAAGCTAACAGGTACTTGATAGTTCGCATATGACTTGTAAGTATCCCTGTTTCTGTGTCTCTCATGTTTGACCACCCATCCAACCCTCTGCCCTTTATTCTCTCTGCGTCGTTTCTGTCGGACTGAAGCCAACATCATCGCAGGCATCAAATGCCGCTACGAATTCTGTTGGGGCTGTTACTCTACCTGGGAACGGTCGCATAGCGTTCGATGCCGAGGACCTGTGCCTTCCGTCTAGGCTAGATAGCGAGCCTCGGCGCTTGTAAAGAAGCGAAAAGGCGGAGGAAAGTCAAGAAATGTCTAACCTAGAGGCCGATTCCTATGTTCCAAGTGCAAGCACGAGTTCTGCTACGAGTGCGGTGCGGGTCATAAGCGTATTTTACTGCTTGACAACAGCATACACAGCGAAGACTGCCGCTTTCATCCGAACAATCTTGCCGATTGATTGTTTACGACGCAGGACTGTCTAACTTTGATACCCAAGACGGACACTAGTGGTGGGCATGTCATCGGGGCGGGAATGGAGGTCAACTACATACAGCCAATGTCAACAACATTGAATTGGACACTGCGGAGTTTAGTATTTCCAAGTCGCATCCAAGCAGATTGATCAGGTCCAGGGGATGAGTCAAGAGTGAGTTGTGGTATTATTCTTTCGATTTGCCTAACCTGTTCTACGCCGTATCCTCTGTAGGTGCTGTGTCTACAAACCCTTGTGTACAAAATTTGCAGAAAAATAAAATAAGACTCGTCAAAAATCCATCAAATCATGCTTTCTTCGTTGAAGTTTCGCCTCCCTTCCCATCGACTAAACTTAACAAATGCACCTCTGCAACATCACTTGTGAGAACCACTGTAGATTGTAGGACATCAATATCTCCGCCTTTTACGCGGCGGTCAACTCGGCAATGCGCCTCTCAATCTCAGGCACCTGCCGCAGCAAGACCTCAAGGTCCTCCTTCTCATCCTCAAGCTTCAGCCGGCGATCGGCGTCAAGCTTGGTGAAGACGAAGTTGCCCTGCCCGTCAAACTGAAGAATGCGGCTGTGGTACTTCCACAGACTGCGACGATGGCTGACGGTCATGAGGTTGATGCCGAGCGCCTTTGCGTTATCGTACATAATCTTTTCCGTCTCGAGGGTGACGCTGGAGGTACACTCGTCGAGGATAGCGTAGCGGGGCCGGTGGTAGAATAACCGCGCCATGGCGACGCGCTGCTGCAGGCCGCCCGAGAGGACGTCGCGCCACTCTGCCTCGGCGTCCCAGCCCTCGGGGTAGAGTTCGGGCAGGTGCTCGAGGCCGAGGAGGGAGAGGATGGAGAGGAGGTCTGCGTCTGTGACGGACTTGGCGCGCATCTGGCGGAGGGAGTCTGGATAAGTTATCTGTTGGCGGAGGGAGCCGCGGGAGAGGTAGGGCCGTTGGGGGATGTAGAAGATGTCGGAGAAGGGGGGCTTGTGGACGGTGCCGCCGTAGACTGGCCAGAGGCCGCCGAGGATGCGGAAGAGGGAGGATTTGCCGCAGCCGTTGGGGCCGACTACGAGGAGGTGGTCGCCTTGTTTTAGGGAGAAGGAGAGGGCTTTAATGAGGACGTCACCGTTGGGGGAGATGATGGGGCTGTTTTTGTGTTAGTTGGATTGCATGTAGGTGAGTAGATGGCTACTTACACGTTGATGAATTGAATGTCCTTGCTCTCGACAACGGTACCGCGGCCCTTGAGGACGGCCTCGTTGTTCTCGGTGCCTGAGCTGGAGACGAGTTTCTTCTCGAAACGACCGGCGCGGATGTCGTTCATGGTCTCGAGGAGGGAGTCGACGCGGGAGGTGTAACCCGCCAGCTCCATGATCTCGCGGTACGAGAACATGATGCGGCCAAAGGCGTCTGAAGCAGACAGCAGCATACGGCGGTTGGTGACGAAACTCTCGGTGCGGTCGCCCATGTTCATGGCAATGTGGCCGGGCATCTTGACGAACACAGGGACGGAGCAGAGCAGAAGGCCGAGGGCGCCCCAGAAGTACTTAATGACAAAGTCCTCCATGAAGCCGTGGTAGAAGCGCCGGCGGAGAATGTAGTTTACGTGCTTGATAAGCGTGAAGTAGCCCTTGTCGAGGGTGTCCTTTTCGGCCTCGTGACCTGAGTAGAGGGCGACTTCTTCTGCGTGGTCAATGAGGCGCGAGTGCTGGAAGCGGAACTCGCCTTCGAGGCGGGCCTCGTCGGCGACGTATTTGCCAAAGGGCGGGGTGAGGGCGCGCATTACGTTTGCGGAGAGCTGGACGAGGAGGGCCATTGAGACGACACCTTCGCCGCCTACACTGCGTGAGAGCGAGTGCGTGTAGATTGTCTATCAGTAATTAGTCTTCAGGTCTGATAGGGGCTTGCAGAAGGGGGGGGGGGTTGTACCATGTCCAGGACTGGTTTCGCGAGGTTGCTGAAGAGCTCGGCCAAGCTGTTTGAGAATTTGGCGACATCGACTGCAATCAGCTGATCTGGATTGTTTATCCGGTCGTCGAGGGCAGAGATGCCGTAAAAGGTCAGCTTCGAGAGGTACTTGTCGTGGATGTGCTGCGTCAACCGCGTCCGGTACTTGAGCGACAGCTCCGCTTGGTGGTAGGATAACTGCAATGGCATATTAGCACGAGTCTGATACGGGGGCATATAGAGCACCAGGCAGACTTACCATTGAGTTTGTAAACGTCGCGGGGATAGCAATCAACATCCACCACACGATGCGCATCAAAAACTCCCGTCCATTACCCTTGACCAAACTCTTGACAATGGCGCCGTCCATGGCCGCGACCTTGAGACTAATCAACGTCCTGACAACCAAGAAGAAGGAATGGCTGATGAGCAGCCTAGCCTCCTTGCTCCGCCATCCCGGTATGACAATCTTGAGCAGACGCAGTAAGGAACGGAAGAACTCGCGGTTGAGCTCGACTTTTTTCCGTTTCTTGGTCATGTCCTCGTCCGAAGGAGCGGCGACGGTGGCGCGGGACTCGCGCGCCGCGGCCTCGCGCGCGGAGGCGGCTTTTTGATCCGAGATGGCGCGGCGGATGCGGTTCGCGAGGGCGACGAAGAGGGTGATCCAGACGGCGCGGGAGATGCGCGTGCGGTTTTGGAGGTAGAGCTGGGTGAGTTGGAGGGCGAGGTTGCGGACTGTGCGGTTTGAGGGCAGCCCGATTAGGGAGACTTTGGATTGGGCGGCCATTGTGGGCGGTGGTGTCGGGGGGTGTCTCTGCGCGCGCGCGCCGCTGGGGGAGTGTGACGGCGATCTCGAGATGCTTGTCGTCTCGCGATGCCTTTTGGAGATGATGGTTCGTCACAAGGTCGCGTGGTTATGTTGCTTGTGAAGATGGACGAGATGCCGCGGCTACGTCACTCCGGCAGCTGTGGGGGAACGTCCGTCGGTTGACGCTGGGATTGTATCGTCAGCGCATTCGTCGCGGTATTTCGATCGAGGTCCGTCGTTCGCAGAGGAAGATGTATCGCGGGAGAGGAGTATCAAAGGTGTTCGCAGTCAGTCAGAAAGGGGAAGACGATGATGTTGACAACGGCCATGGCTGGTGGCGGGTGCTTGGGGTGAGTGTCACACGGCAGGGCCTTCGGACGAGGCTTTCGGTTAGGTTGGGGTCCAGTCCCCCTTCCGCTTCCAGATTCAGCAGCCAAAACGTTAAGATAAATGGCACTGGGGCCGTTTCTTGCTTTGCGTCGCTTCGGTGGCTCGGGTCTTTGTTCTGATTCAGCACTGGGGCAGATTTAGTCCTTGGGTTCCGCTGGGGGAAAATGGGGGAAAGCTGGTGCTGTTTGACCTCTCTGTCCCTCGGCTCCCCGGAGTGACACGGTACATGGGTGCTGGAGAAGAGCGGCCCCGTAGCGGCGAGCAAACTGATTGGCCAACCCCGGAAATGGCCTTTTGGCCCGTTCCCATGTGAATTGGCTGCCGATGGCATGTGATTTGTTTCGTCCTTGTTTGTGCCTGAGGCATAATTATCTAATCAAATGTGGCTTGACTTTCGAGGATAGGCTCACCAGCCACATCGCGGGGCAACTTCTCCAAGCAGCTTTTTTCTGTCTAAATTCTTTCTTTAATTCGGCTTGCCACCCCTCAACTTGAATGACTCCATCGCCATCATCCCAGCAAGCTAAAATCGCAATAACAGCGCTCTTCTCCAACTAAGACTAGACAACTCCACGCCAAAATGTCCGACGACAAAATTTCCATCTACGATGAGATCGAGATCGAAGACATGACATGGGACGAGGACATGCAGATCTACCACTACCCTTGCCCCTGCGGCGACAAGTTCCAAATCGCCCTAGCCGACTTGCGGGACGACGAGGATATTGCCGTTTGTCCTAGCTGCAGTCTCATGATCCGCGTCATCTTTGACAAGGTAAGTTCTGTCCGTCCGCAAGTGGAGGGCCTGGAAAGGAAGCTTCACGTGGAGAGTAGTTGTAATGGCTAACATGTAATCGCAAATGCAGGACGATCTCCCCAAGGACCCCGAAGATGAAGCCGAGCCCGCTGTTGAGGAGGCGTCTGCTCAGATCCCTGTTGCCGCTTGAACAACAATACCTCTCAGATTTCATGAAGAGATGCTGCGTTGCCACGAGGCTGCTTCAACTGCACGAAGGGTACTCCAGCAGAAGGTCGCGCCGCCAGCCAGTCAAGCACATCAACCAAGCGCACAGCCGGGTGCAGATACAAGCGCAAATGCAAGCGCTCGGAACCGGTCTTCCTCCATGGCACAACATCGGCGAGGCAGCCGATTGCCATTCACTCAGGGGGCGAGGTACTTCCCCAAGAGGAATAAGTCTCCATGTCGGACAAATACTCTAGCCGCCCGCGTCCCACAGAAGCTCGGTGTCACAGCAGCTCCCACTTCTATTACGGTAGAGGCGGAAATTGCAATGTGCCGCAGACGTAACAGTGGAGGCAAACATTCTTAAATGAAAGATGCAACCGAGTCGAACGCTCGCTCCGCAGTATCAGGCCATTGCCCTTTGGACAAAGGGAATCTGTGTGCGTGCCGCGCCGCTGCTGCTGAACATGCGTTGAGGATGGCCGTGCTGGCCAGTTGATAGACAGATCAAGGGGTGGCGCGGTTACTGGAGTCTTGTTGCAAGAACTACATGGTTGTTGGACGAGAGTCAAGGTGGACTTTGTTTTGCGCTGTACTCTGCGCTGTAGACGGAAGCTCGGGGTCTGGAAGAGGAAGGTTATCCTATGAGATGGTAAAGATTCTCAATATGGCCCTCGATGAATCATTCCACCACCCGAATACACAGCTATGAATACACACTAGAAGCCCTCATATACCCCTCCAAGTCCATTTACGTCACCAGCCAGCAGGCGCCCCCTTGGGGGTCAGGTCAAAACTGGCTGGCTGGTGGAGTGGTTCAAGTCCACGAACAGCCTAATCGGTGAAGGCTTAGAGGTCCCGTGTTCGAGTCCCAGCATGAGCGCCAGAGATGTAGCCCCCAGCTCGCCACCGGGGATGGTGGAGGGGGATGAACTCTTTTGCCTCGTGCCTTCCTTTTTCCCTTTGAGTCAAAGCGGAAAGATGCTTCGTTCCCTTTTCACGCAGTCACTGCGGCAGCAGTCTTACTTACACATCAAAGGTCACAAGGCACGAGCGAAATATATGTGAAAACTATTTATTCCTTATAATTAATTAGCAGTATTAATGCTATTCCATGATGACCATGCTTCATCATCGTATGCAGAATTTCCAACGCCGTTGCTCCAAGCCGTAAAAGTCATAATACATGTCCAAAGCAAGTGCTGTTTTGCTTCCTCATGATTCCCATTTCGAGTGTGAAACATCAATAAAGATCCCCGCTCTCATTATTCAAATATCCCATGATGATTTTTAATCCTTTACAGAAGGAAGAAGCTGGCAATGCCAAAGGCGATGAGACCAGCAGCAGAGCTCTGGACCTTGTCGGCGGCAGCGGTGGGCACGGTGACGGGGCCGGTGGTGGTGGCGTTGGGGGATGAGGTGACATAAGTCTGGGTGAGGGTTAAGAGAGTAGCTGAAGGTCATGTTAGTCTAATTGGTCTTTAAGAGTTCAAGCAAGAGGTGATACTCACTGTTGATGAGGGGGGGAATGACGGCGGTGATGGAAGGAATGACAGAGTCGGTGATGGAGGGCAGAGTCTCGACGGGGTCAGTGCCGGTGGGAACGACGATGGGCGTCGTAACGGTGACGGGAGGGTCGCTGACGACGACCTGGGTGGTGGTCGTGATGCCTCCCGGGACGGTGGTAATGCCTTCCGAAACAGTGGTGGTGCCCTCCGGAACGCTCACAGTTGTGGAGGGCTCGGGCTCGGCGGAGGCGGAGGGAGAGACAGTGAGGGTGGTCAAGGGGACGGTCTCGGTGACGATGGCGGTGGCAGTGGGCTCAGGGAAGACCGGGAGGGTCACGGTGGCCGTGATGCCGTCGGTGATGACGATGGAGGTGAACTGGGCAGCGGCGAGGCCGGCAGCGGAGAGGATGGCGAAGGAGCGCATTTTGGCTTATTGGTGTTTTTGAGAGAGGATGAGCTAAAGAGCCGTTGATGTGAGGTTGAATCAAGAGTTATTAGTGCCGGGAAGAGAAGCGACTGGTTTAGCTCGAAAGCCGAGGCTCTTGTTGATGAGATGAGGCGGGAAGTAAGAGTGAGATGTTCTGAACTTGTTGTTGCGGATGAAGAGTAAAAGAAGACTCTCGTTGAAAGAGAGACTGGATAGGAGATATATACTATTAGACGGGAGTGAGGGTCTGCGTGACGAGAAAAGCCCAGGCCGTACGACTACGTACGACGTACACAGGACATTGTGTGCTACAGCCTACGAGTCGGTGACAGCAGTGATGCCAAGAATGGCGATTTTGCACGACATCATCTCGACGAGGGGTGCCGTGACGGCACCGTCACTGGGGGTTCGAGAAAGCAGAGGGTTGGTAGCTTGGTTGCCGGGGGTCGTATTGGTGGTGAGGTGGGCAGCTGTATGCGGGGCGCCTGGGTGAAGCAGGGAAACCCGACGTGGGAGTTCTTTTGGGCCTCGAACAGTGTGTTGCCGACCTGGATCAGCCAGGCCAGACCATAGTCCCAGACCAAACCACATCATTCATGTTCGCTTGCCTGCAGGCCTGTTGGTGCTAGATTCGGACTGGTCGCGGACATGGGTGGGATGAGGGTGGAAGCAACCGAACAAGGCGAAACAGGGTTGTCGACCATCGACCCAGGAAACCAAAAGTGGAATCTGTGTGGGGTGTTCATCGGGAAGCACAAAGAGAAAGAAGGCTGGGATGACCGTGGTAAACTCTGATGGGTTGAAATGTGCATAGTGAAATGGCTGGGGATGGCTTCACTTGCGGCAAAGAGCAACAACGGCGAAACTCGAGAATAGTAGCACAAATGATGAGCCGCAGCAACAGACGTGTGTGTTTCCCCCACCACCTTGATTTTCGTTTCATGTTGCTGCCATCCCGTCTCATTGGTAGATGCAATGCCCATCAGCTTATTGTTCCCAATGACAGAGTTTCGGCGGAATGCCATCTCCTAACGAGGTTTGCGCTAGAACACGAGAGACCCAGCACCAAGCAGTCACCGGGATCCAAGCTCCTCTGTCGGCGGTGATCTTCAAACTTGCCCACAAAGCAGACTTCTGCCCTGATCCTGGGGTAACTCACCAACCAAGATCCACCATCCGTCCGTCTGTCCCTCCGTCCTTGACAGTGAAAAGAGGAGTGACGCTTGCCAACGGTTGCTAGTCTGCCGATTTCCCGCAAACCAGCACACTCGCACAAGAAGCATCTCGTCATTTCGGCCTAGGGTGGTGGTTGGGTGACGGAAGGCGCGCAAACATGAGAAATCAGCCATTAACCATTGTGCCATTTTGCTCCCCCGTCCAGTATGCTGCAGCTGTCCCGGATTTTCCTGCCAGAAGAAAGGGTGGTCGTACCGACGGCCGGGGCCCAGGCTGTCCAGAAGGATGGGGGATGGGTGGGAAAACCAAGTTGGCGATGCTCTGTACGGATAGTCTGTACCCGATGCCGTGCTCTGTTGCGTCATACGTCGACGAGGGCCAGCGGGTGCTGCAGCGGGTGAAGACAAGAAAGAGTCTGTAAAGAGGCACCGCACCGTAGCAACCGGAGACGCATCCCGCAGAGCAGAGAGGGTCCAGGCTGCCAGGGTGGCCGGAGAGAATCGAGGCTGGTCCAGTAAAATGCTGCGGGAAGAAAGCAAAGGCGGCTGCAACGGCTCTCCCCTTGTGCCTGGATTGGCCGGGCCATTGCATGGCATTGGCAGACCCTCGGTGACCCCTCTCAGAACTAGAGATCTCTCGCCATGAATCACATCATGCTAACTGTGACCCGTTAGCACAGAGCCATTGAGACCTTTCCAGGGGCCAAAACTCTGGTTCTTTGGGAGGACATGGTGTGTGTGGTGGTGGTGGTCGAATCCGAGGCCGAAGCCAATTCGATGGGATGAACATGGCCAGTTCCTTGGAGTTCAAGGACCAGACTTGACCAAGGTATCCATACCTTCCTTAGAGTGCGAGTGGAAAACGGGACACCAGATGGCAGACGGTGGCCAACGGTGGGTGGAAAGATCAGGACGGAAAAGAAGGAGGCAGGGACCGGGCTAAGAAAGAGCAACACCGCAGGGGTCCCTGCCAGGTTTTCCCATCCTGCCCTCCTCGCCTGCTTCCTCATCCAGTCACCTCTTTCCCTCCGTCCCTCCAGATCCAGAACGCGACTGCCCGTTTTTTTGACATCCGTCACCGCATCACCCCAGCCACTTGCCTCCACAACCGTTGCAGCCAATCGTCCAATTAAGCCACAGGCACGGCCCACTACCTAGGTAGCTAGTATACTTCCTCCCACGTTTCCAGATGTTTTCTGTGCAACTCCGGAGTCCAGAGTATTCGTTTCCAACGGCCATCTCAACAAGCTCTCAAGCCACGCCATTGTTCTTTTCCACGAATCAAGGAACTCTCGCATGTCGGCCACGCATGCCTCGTTCTGTCAATTCCCTGATTTCCGTCAAGCCTCAAAAGCCTTGCTTTCAGGCCGCAACCCAATGGCCACAGCTGAACGGTGAACCCGAGTCTTTCTCCCCTCTCCATTTTCCATCCAGTGCTCCGTCCCATTCTTCTGGCCCCATCTCTGCAAAGAAGTGTGGAAGTCTACCAGCCTCGCAGACAGCCCAACTACCCGCAGTCTCCGTACAATCTACACACCGACGAGTCCCATGCCAAGTCCGGCACTAAATCTGCATGTCCCGGTCCTTTCTTTGCTCCAAACACATTCACGTTTGAAAATGGAACAAGCTATTTGCTATTGAACAAAAATCGTAATCATTGATATCAAAGTCTCGTCTTGCTTCCTTTTCTCGCTTTGCATGGCCAAACATCAGGATATGATGACATACCTAGATGCTACCATTCTACTCTCAACCTCTTGTCTATCCCCTGCATCTCGCTGCTTATGATGACTCGACATTGGCAAACAAGAAATTGGGAGCACCCGGTACCGCGCCCTCGGCGTTGGGCGCGAGGCTCTCCTCCACAGCTCCGGTGACCAAATCAGTGCCCTTCTTGCCGCCCTCCTCAACCGCAATAATCTTCACCTCGACGAGGTTGGCACTGCGCTTGAGACCGTCAATCATGTCCACGAGCACGGCCTTCTCGTCAAACGCCAGCTTGCGCTCGAGAACGGCGCTCGCGGGCTCGCCCGTCTGCAGACGTCTCTTGAGACCCTGCACAAACGGCATGGCCTTCTTCATCTCACCCATCTTGGAAATCTTGCCGTTGAGCGCCTTGTCGTCCGCAGACTTGGTCTCGGGGTTCCACATCTCCTTCAACAGGTCAATGTAAGCCTGCTGCCACTGCGGGAACTTTTCGCTCATGAAGATGGTGAGCTTCTTGGGCTTCTTGGGGTCGAAGGATGTCTCCTTGCCCTTGGCCTTCTTCTTCAACTGAAGAGACTCGGCAGAGTTGACGTTGGAAGCCGTCACTGAAATGTACTTTCTCGCCGCTGTAAGAGCCGCATTCGTCTCCGGGATCTCGGGGAATGTCGCCTGCTGGATTGACGTAGGCTTGCCGAGGATATCAATCCAGACTGACTCGGACCAATGCGGCGCGATGACAGCGAGAAGAAGAGCCTGGAGCTCAATGTATCGCAGGACCAAGTCAACGTGCATCTTGGACAAGGCACTGCTCTCACGGTAGAAGGAAAGAGCGTTGTTAAAGCTGTTCGCACGTGTCAGAAATGCAGAGGATTGTGGTAGGCATCTAAACTTACTCGTAGAAAGCCGCCTTCAGGGCCAGCTTGTAAGCAGTCTCGGAGTACTGGTGGATGGCCTCCTTGGCAATGACGTTCATCTCGTTGTTGAACACCTTGTCAAAGAAGTTGTACTCGCCCGTTCGAAGCTCGCCCTTGTTCTTGACGACATCGTCGCACCATTCTACTACTGTTAGTACAATAAAATGGCATAGTCAGGAATGTACATACCTCTAAGAGTGTGGAGACGAAGAATGGCCTGGTTAGCAACGTCCTCCTCAAAGTTGCTGTCTCCGTTGGTGTCACCGGCATCGGCTAAACCGATACGGGCGGCGTCGGCACCGAACTTGCGAGCAACATCCTGCAGAGTCATGAAGTTACCGGTCGACTTGCTCATCTTCTCGCCGTTAAGCATGAGGTGACCGTTGGTGCGGATACCCTTGGGCCAGTACTCGGGGCTGAAGATGGCGAGATGGATGTAGAGGAAGAAGGTCAAGTGGTTGCCAATCAGATCCTTTCCAGAGCTGCGAAGGTCGAGAGGGTAGAAGTACTCAAAGGAGCGGCGCATGCTCTCCAGAGTCTCCTTGGGAATCTTGCACTCGGCAACGAGCTTATCATCAAGCTCGCGGCGGCAGAAGACGTAGTCCCAAACCTCATCCTTCATCTGCTCAGGGGCGATACCGCCGGTGCCCTGCTCTCTGCCAAAGATGTCCTTGTGGAGGTAGGGGGCAATGGTGTAGTATGCCATGTAAATGGTGCTGTCACTGAGAGACTCGACGAGGAACTGGGGGTCCCAAGGCAGCTTGGAACCAAGACCGTACGATCTGGCACATGCCCACTGGTTGAGCCAGTTGAGGACACCCTGGAATGCGTTCTTGGTCTCAGGGCTGAACGTGTTCAAGCCCTTGCCATCTGTGTTCTCAACCCAGTCAAGGGCGGTCTTCTTCCAGGACTCTTCACCGTAGTCGAGGTACCACTGGTCCATCAGGGAGACGATGCAGTCATCTGCGGAGCGACTGACGACCTTGCGCTCAGGCTCGGAGTAGACGAAGGCGAGTCCCTGGTCAATGAGGGCCTGGCGGACCTTGGGCTTGGCGGACTCGACAGACTCGCCCTTGAACTCGCCAATGTTCATGGTTCCCTTGTAGAAACCCTCAGAGTAAGCGGTCTCCTTGGCCTTGTCAAGCTGGACAGTGTCCTTGGGAGAGGCAATCTTCAGCTGCTCAACCAAGGTCTTGGCAATCATGTCACCAGAAGGAGTGTTGATGATGGAGATGATCTCAAGCTCGGCCCACTCCTGCTCGATGCCGTAGTAGGCTGCCTTCTTGCGGAGATCCATGGTCATGACCCAATCGGCGGGACTGTCCGAGGGGACGGAAGTGACCACACCGGTACCTTTCTGTGGACTGTTAGAGATGTACCACGCAGTAGGAAAAGGAGCAGACGTACAGTGGGCAGGATAGAATCCATGGGAAGAACACGAACGCCGTCCTTGTGGACAGAGAAAGGTGCATTAACACGAGTACCGATGAGGGCGGAACCGTCAATCTTAGCAGTCTCGTCAACAACTCCCTCCGCGAGGAAGAGACCCTGGTAGGCCATGTTGCGGGCGGCACGCTCAGTCATAACGTAGTAGTCCGTCTCCGTAGCCTTGAAGACGCCGTAGGTGATCTTGGGAGACACGAAAACAGCGTTTTGGCCGTACATCGTCTCCGGACGGAGGGTGGCGGGAATGAGGAAGACATTTGCGTCCGCAGGAAGCTGAGACTTGAGAGCCTCCTCGGCCTTGGGTGCCCACTCAAGGACCTTCATCTTCAATCCGGTGTACTCCTGGGGACCAACTCCTTCACCCTCAGCTCGGTCGTGGTCCATGCAGGGCTGACCATCCTTGATTGAGTAGATGGTGTATCTCTTGCCGAACTTGATCTTGTTGAGCTCCTTGAGACGGATCATCTGCCAGCGAACGAAAGCATCAAAGTAGGGGTTAGCCTCGGTGGTGATGAAAGATCTACGCCAATCTGATACCGATTAGCTGACTTCATCGCAAATGTCATTCAGCATGAAACTGACCGATTCTGAATCCAAGGCTTGTGAGATCCTCCTGAGCCAGAGGGGGGAAGAAGTCCAGCCAGTATGATGCGTCGGCAAAGAGATGAATCTCTTGTCTCGGAATACCCATGGCCTCCATGATTTGGAACTGTTTACTTGTCAGTGATGTGCTTCATGAAGCCGAGATAACGGGTGCATACCTGGTACTTGGCCTTGATAGTCTTGGCATTGGCCTTGCTCTTCTTGGTGGAGAACTTGGTTATGTCCTCGCGGGTTGCCTTAGCATCAGCAGGCTTCTCGTCAACGACAACCTCCTCCTCCTCCTTGTAGCCCTCGAAGTCACGGCCGAACCAGGCAACTTCGTTCTTGAGCTTGTCGGCGACGGCCTTGATGGGCATACCGGTCGCGTGCCATCCCATGGGGAACAGAGCACGCTTTCCTTGCATACGAGCGACCTATAACAATCCATTAGCTTCTTCATCAATGCACCATTGCGAGAGCTCTCTTACACCGGCGGCGAATTCGACCTTGCTCACGGAGAACAAGTGGCCAGCGTGAAGACGACCGTTCATGTAAGGGAAGGCCATACATCCCATCCTTTATACTTGTCAGCCATGTTTCCTGAAGTACTATCCGATCGCGCCATACCATTTGGGTTGTTGCTCGCGCAGCTCGGCGGCGGTGATGGAGTGCAGGGGAACCTCCTTAGTGGAGGGGGCGTCCACCTCGAAGATCTTGTCCTCGGACCACTTGCGCTGGTACTTCTTCTCAAGAGAGATCAAAAAGTCACGCTTCTCGGTTCCTTTGAGCTCCTTGGTCTTGGAAACCTGGAGGGCCTCGAGGGCCTTGGCAGCTTCGTTGGCCATGATTGCGGGTTCTCGTTCAATTCGGTCAGGAATTGTCGGGGAAGCAAATACGCAAGCCCAATTCCAGGACCAATGCGTATTATATGGTTCGACAGTGACTCTTGCGCCGGAAATTGAGAGTCACGCCCGATATCGCGTTGTCGCTGGTGCTCCTTCGAGATAGTCGCTGTCGAGGGTACTGAGTCACAGATCCAAACTTGGGGGAGATTTCGTCGCAGCTCCGATGTTTTTTTCGAGGCTGAGTGTGCCCCGCGATGGCTTTGGTGGTTATGGCGGGGTACTGTCGGGTCAGTGGTCACTGGCCGATGTTTGAAGTGCTGTGGCGGTCGAGTCCCTTACGCGGTACGTACCGCTCGAGCTCTCCGCGGCGCTCCGGCAGAGTGTGGCTGGTGACGCTGATAGACTTGTGCTTGTGGCGCACGATGTGGCTGAGGATCAAAGTGAGCTTCTCCAGTCGCGCAGAGGCCCATAGACATACCCTCGAGATCCGTCTTGTCTGTCTTGTGCCAGAAACCACCAACTACGATTCGGGCCAACCAATCCGCGATTGCAGTTTGAACACACCGAAGATGCTTCCCACGATCGTTCGGCGAGCGGCCGAAGCAGCCGGCTCCAAGTTCACAGTCTTCACCAACCCTTACCGAACGAAAAAAGTCTGGCCTCCCAACTTCACGAACCTGTCCCCTCAGTCACAATTGCGATTCGAGAAGAAGTACAAGAGACGCCTGGCATTGGTTTATGCACGGCCAAGATGGAACAAGGCTGTTAAGCTTGCGCAGCTTGCCACTGTGATTGGTCTGTAAAGCCCTTCCAGCAACTGCTTGCGCTCTATGCTAACTATCTCTAGGTTTCCTTGGCTGGACATTTTTCTTCTCCGAGCTCGAGTTCTTTGGCAAAGAATACAGGCCGTCTGAGGAGGTATGTGGCCTTGTTGATTCTAATTCCGATTATCCCGATCGGTGCTAACTATGCTCGCCAGATCCGAAAGCGTGTCCGCGGTCTCTTTGGCACGATCGAAGCCGACAAGCGATACGAACGTCGCAGAGATGCGCCCGAAGCACCCGCTCCCATCGAGACACCCAAATAGACAGATCCTCGGCCGATGACAGTTTAACAGCATAGGGAGGAGTTTATGGCGTTTTGAATACCCGGCATAGATGCCCATGTATAACATATTGTTCGAAGAAAGTCATTTTCCTCTCAGACACCGGACCGTCTGCCTCATCGTCCATGCCAGACAAAGTTGCCTCCCATACTAAGCCCGCTTCCCAGCCCTGCGCTACGGCCTTCGTTCACCGGTCTTTTGGCAACGGTACCTTGTGCGCGTACGCCGGAGACAATGCGATCAAGATTTGTTTCGATGACTACTCCTCCAACAATCATCTCGCCCAGCGTTGAGTGTAGCGTTTCGAAGTTGAAGATGAGGTCCAGCTCGCAGACGTTCTCAAACAGCTTATCGAGTGCCTCGACGTAGACTTGTATCAGATCAATAAGTGCAAGTGGTGACTCTGTTGAGGTGGAGATGACGATGAAGTAGAGGGTCGCGTAGTTGCGATAGGTAACGAGGGAGGGGACGTCGTTCTCTTCCTCGGATGATGAGTGCGAGGTGCCCGACGCAGCGAGAAGGGGAGGAAGCGGAAGGAAGTTGCAAGATCCGGCCGGTCGATTCGATACGAGGGTAAATATCTCGGAAATCAGGCGCTGTTGCATGCTCGTTTCCTATGTAGATGTCAGTCTGATAGCAGCCCCATTCGAGAACATGCCCGTCCATACCAGCTGCGTGTAGAACTTGGTCAGCCGAGGCTGACCCTGGCCATTGAAGACCAGAAAGGCGTTGATCATTATGTTCTCTCTTGAATGAGCATCCCGACTTGGTTGAGGTTGTTGATATCGACGAGAGAAACAGCCAGTCGTCTCCAGGTTCGATGCGACGGGATGGTGTCCCGCCAGACACTCAGTGCGCTTCGCGTTGTTCTGGCTTTGGTGGGGTCAGACCGCTACCAGCCGCCCAACCGTCTCCCGCCAGCGTCCAGCCCGAATCTCCACAGCGGTGGTAGCTTGAGGTGCATGGCTCGCACCCACACATGACTTTCTGACGTAATCACACTGGTAGGGGCCCCTTCCTGGTCCAAGCTCGGTCCCTTCCATTGACCGCGGATCGAAGCTGGTCCTGCAGCTTCCGTCACACCTGCAGTAAACGTGGGGAAGCAACGAAGCTGCCTTTGACCTGCCGTCTTTTACGAAGGAAGTCACCTTCTTCAGTTCCCTGATCGACAACGACCCCCCAAACTCCTCCTCTTCCACTCACACCCGACATCTCAATTCCTCTACATCACAACCGAGCCTCCGTCAATCGCTCATTATCGCCCATACCTAGCTACCATGGCTCGCAACAGCATCACCAAGCTCACCGGCGCCGCCGCCCGCACCCTCCGTGCCTCCTCGCAAGCCCGCCTGGCCGTCCCGCCCCGTTCTGCCCTGCTTCTCGCCGCCTCAAAACCTACAGTCTCTGCTCCTTCTGCTCGCAAGCTCTTCACAACTTCATCAACAGCCCATCGTGGCATCATGCCCGACACCGATGACCCTCAGGTCAAAGAGACACCCAAGGAGGAGGTCAAGATGAACGTCGTCGAGCTCACAGATGCCGAGTATCACGAATTGTCCGAGACCTACCTCGATACCATTGTCACTCGTCTCGAGGAGATAGCGGATGCTCGTGAGGGAGTTGATGTCGAGTACGCTGTGAGTGGACAGTCTGATTTGGCTTTTCCATCCTTGTACCCACCATGACTTGTTTGCGAAGCTCGGGATTTGCATTTCCTGACCAAGCAACGAATTGCTGACTTCTCACCTTGCAGGCCGGAGTTCTGACCGTTTCCTTCCCGGATGCTGGTACCTACGTGATCAACAAGCAGCCCCCGAACAAGCAGATCTGGCTCTCGTCGCCAGTGTCGGGCCCTAAGCGCTACGACTGGGTTGTCGTCGGCGATTCGCAGAATGACAAGGAGGGCACTGCCGCTGGAGCCTGGATCTATACCCGTGATGGCAGCAGCCTGGACGATGTCTTCCTCAAGGAGCTCGACATTGACTTCAGCATAGCTCCATCGACCTACGGCGAAAACCAGTCCTAGTACGGCAAAAGCGTTCCAACCGAGGACGATGTCCACAAGCTTTGAGCGTATCAAGGGGCAGAACCCCCTTTATTTCTTTTCTACATAGGCTCGAGCAACGCATCAAGCTCTTGAGTGTATTCTACATGGCAACAGGGAGTTCGTAAGGCGGTTTCAGGGATTGGAGGCAAGCGCCCTCGATAAGGGGGAGCAAGGCTGAAGGGTCGATATCTAGGCCTGTGTACACAAACTCGGTAAAGCAAGTGGTCAAATCCGCAGGCCTTCTGAGGATCGCGGTGAGGCTAACGAATCCTGCGTTTCGACAGGGTCTCAAATGTGGGCCCATCGACACGATGTGAAAGTTGCGTGAATGGTTAGTTTTGATATCGGCCTATTTACGCTATAAACATAATCCCGTTTAATTTCCCATCCACATTGGTTTGGTCGTAAAATGGTAAACCGCCTCACTGCTGCCCTGTTCCAAACTAACTCTCTCACTTATTACAGCACTATTCATCATACTCATGGGCAACAGTCTTTTTGCGGCGGGAGGCTTTCTCACAGAGTTCGACTCTTTGATAATAATGCTTCAGCGAAAGTACGGCTCAGCGAGGGTATCGTGGGTCTCATTCCAATTTCGTTCATCAGACTCGGCGAGGCGCCATCCATTTCGCGCCTTTATCCTCCACAACCGAACCCCGGCGGGCAGCGTCTCCCCGTCTAGAAGGGTTGGTGTTACGCAGGCATTTCGTGCCGCTCAACGGGAGCGGGGAGTTCGACGGGTGGGCCTTCTCGCGTCTCGGGCATCTCGTGTACCACTCGCGGCGCCGGCAGTTCGACTGTCTCCCCCGTATTCTGAGCCATCATCATGGCAGCGTCGTCTGGTTTCTCCGGATCCTCCATGACGGTGTCGAGCGCTTCGTCGCGCGCAGCGAGCTTTCGGGCTCTCCTTCTATTCCAGAACCAGACGAGGGCGACGACGAAAAAGACGAGGCCCGAGGTGGCACCCACGGTGATGCCGATGATCTGTCCCGGTGCGAGGCCGGACTGCTGGAGGATGTTGTCGGGGAAGGGCGATGAGTCCGAGGTGGTGCCGCCCGTGGGCGTGGGCGTGAATGTGACTGTTCGTCCCCCTTCTGTGACGGTCACGGCGGTCGGAACCGTGAAGCCAGGGCCGAACCTGGATGTTGGGAATGGGAGCGACATGCTGGGCCGCACAAATGTAAAGGACCTGGACGGGAATGGCTGCGCCAGCTTGGAGAAGCTGGTGTGGGTTGTTTGTTTAAAAAGTGGGAAGACGGAGGAGGGTTCATCAGAAAGGAAGGTGTGAAAAACTAAAAGCTAAACTTTGCGAAACTTTTGCCCCAATCCTTTGCCCATTCCTTCTCTTTCGGCATCCAAGAGAACGAGCTTCATGGTGTCATCGGCGCGGGAGGCGCAGACCTTTTTGATAAAGTCCCCATGTCGAGTCCGACGGCCATGGCGTAAGGTAGATTTTCTGGCGTTTTGGCGCCCGTCACGGGGGCGGGACATATGCAAGAGAGTCTACCAGCAGGAGAGAGAGAGCGAGGTGTGAGGTGAGGTGAGGAAAAGGTGCGCGATGGGCGTGTGGTGGTGGTTGAGCGCCGCACCGACTCCCGGGTGTTCTGGCGTAGTGTGAGACGAGGGGACCAAGACGTCAGATCGCAGAGGCCGTGTGTTTTTTGATCTCCGGTTGATGTGCGCCACTTTCCCTCCCCCGATTCCCCAAGACATTTAAGAACCTGAGCCCCATCCTCTTCCCTCTCCCAGACCCGGATACCCGACGTGCCCGGCGTGTGGATGAAATTGGCGTGTTTAGCCAAGACAGCGAGCGCGGTCCAGAGCTGCACTCTCCTCTGCAACTGCCTCTGCGACGAATTCTTTGCTCCTGTCGGTGGACGTCGGTGGCGGGCGGCGCGTTGGAAATGTTTCGGACTTTGACGTACGCTTTGCTTAGCTCTCTCGGCAGCGGCGCAAAGCCCGAAGTTGAGATGGGGTGCGCGCGCCCGTATCCGCGCACTGTTCATTCCATGCTTTCTAGGGTGCTTGTTTGTTTGTCCTGCTTGTTGAGGTTCATCTAATTACCAGTTTCGCTGGTTGTGCTTTTTCTGCCCTGCCCGCCCCCGGCTAGATCGGGCGGACGATGGATGACTACAGACCTGCAGTTCTTAAAACTTATCTGTTTCTTCCTCCTCATGCAGGAGAGAAGCTCCCTGTGCAGCTTATTTTGCGCAAGCTTGATTTCGTTGTAGCAGTAGCAGGATGTGGAGTTAATTGTCCGGTACGTTTTGCTACTTTGCCTCAACCTTTCAGCCTGCATGCACCTCGAGCACCGCCTGAGGGAAGGCCAGCCATTCCGACCAGTAATCTCCCAAGTGCGCCGAGACGGAGCGGATGATCCACTGGCCAGCGTCGCCAAAGACCCAGTAACTGCGACACCAATGGAGGAGCACGGCGTAAAAGGCCAGGATGACGAGAGCTTCTGGGCGGCGTTGCTTGACGACGTCGATGAAGCCCGTTGCGACGCGAACGCCGAAGGCCATGACGGAGGCGGACTGGTGGGTGGATCTCACGGCGATGCTGCGGTAGATGGAGTAGCACTGCCGTAAGGACTCTGTTGCGTCGCGGCAGGCTTGGAGGGAGACGGGGCCGAGGTCGGCTTGGTCGAGCATGCTATGGAGGATGTCGACTTCGGAGCGCTGATTCGGGTCGGGCTTGTTGGATTCGAGGAACTCGACGAAGTCCTTGCAGCCGGATTCGCGGATGATGTGCCAGGAGCGGCCGGTTACGGTGCTAACGCCGCGGTGGAGGTTGAGGTACCAGGCGAATTGGTCGAGAAAGCCGTTGAAGTCGGTACGGTAGCTGTGGAGGGTATCGCAGAGGACCTGAGTTCCGAGGCAGGATGCGAAGAGGAACATGGGGATACAAGTGTCGTCGTCGATTTCCTCTTTGGCGTCGTTAAACATCATGAGGGCGCGGGTCTGGAGTTGGGTGGCCTGGTGTTGGTAAAAGTCTGCGCGGTGGGGGTGCAGCTCGGCCATATGCTGAGCAGAGAGGCCGAGGAGGACATCCATGAGGTAAGGGGTGTTTAGGGCAGCCTCGAGGTTCATGTCAACCAACGGCTTCATAAACGCGTCTGCGGCCATGAAGGTGCCCATGCGGGTTTCCAGGTGGTGGAGGAGGCGCATGTGTTCGAGGGTGAAGAATTGGCCGTTGGGAGGGCTTGCTACGTCGTGGTCATCTTCGGTGCGCATGACAAAGTCGTTTACGACTGTGGTGATGGAGGGTGAGGTCGCAAAGGCGACAGCTGTTGCGGCGGCGGAGGCGCTGTTGCCGTTGCTGCCGGAGCTTCCCGCTGGGCTGGCGACGAGAGCGGCTGCTGCTGCTGCTCGCTTGGCGGCCGGGCCGGAAGAGATAGCGGCGGTGGAGGAGCCGGCTGATGCCGGGAGGGAGTCGAGGTAGGAGCAGTGACGCTCAGCTGTTGCGCAGTTGACGCATGTCGGGCGCGTTTCGTCGCATTTCACGTGGCGGCGCTTGCATTCTTTGCATCCGTTGCGAGATTTCCGGTGAGCGCGACGGAGTTTGACGTCGCCTGCCGCCGCCGATGCCGATGCCGATGCCGATGCTCCTCCTGGTGTGCTGGCGTCGCCGTTGGTTGAGCCGGTGCCGGGGGCGGATGAGTTGTTGCGTGAGATGTCCATCCTTTTCCAGGCAAGGTTGCTGTCTCGGCCGGTGGGATGAAAGAGATGTGGAGAGAGGGGTGGTGCAAGGCGATTGATGTGCCATGGGGCCTTTTCGACAGGTAGGAGAGCGGGTGAGATGCGGTGTCTGTATGTGGCGGACGACGAGAAGTCTTACTTCTTGTGTGAAGAACCTGAAAAGAACGACACTAGACAATTGACGAAAGAAAAGAAAAGTGGTTGATTTTGAGGGATGCGAACGCGAGGGAAGCTCAGCCTTTTTTTGGTGGGGGAGGGGGGAGGAAGAAAAGATAGCTCAGCTCGAATGGATAAGCTCAGGTCAGTCCAGGTCCGTGCAGTTAAGGTAAGGTACAGAAGTACGGAGTACAGCGTGCCTACCTGCTCCATGTACGGAGTACAGAGTATGTATGGAAGGAACTACTCACCTACTGAATATGCCTAGTGGTACAGGGGTGCGGCATCTACCGCTCTCCAACATGACTACAGCGGGTCCAAGGGCCATCGGTGGACGTTGATACGGGGAAGGAGGTTATGGAACTGAGGGAAGGGGCATGAGGAGGGTCTGCTACAGGGGCTACTCTGCAGCTCAATGCGCCAGAAAATGCCTAATAAGCCTAATAAGGGCCTTTAGGTGACGGCGGGGGAGTCCAATGGAAAGTCGATGGGCGCTGCGCCAACCAAGTCCACGCGCCCCTTCCCCTAAATCTGTAGAATAGTGTGGGCAGGTACGTTCCACTGCCTGCGTGCCTTCCTTAAAGTGTCCCCGGGCTGTATTAGTGTACACCCTGCAAAACATCCCCGATCCAATGACATCGTCGAGGAAGCCAATTACGCCGTAAATGGCCCGGTTGAATATCTCCTAGAGGAGGAAGGAACTAAATACGATGAATACATGTATTCACTTCAATCGACAGACATTGACACGCAGTCATCGAGTCGTAAGATCAAGAAATTACGCAAGAAGGGTTCCTGGCCAACGATATGCGCAACAGTTTCCTCATTCATCATTCTAGTGCGTCTAAAGTACTGGGTACTGAGGTAATGCAGGGTACCCGGCTTTCCGCGGCTGGTACCCCTCCACCCATCGCTGTAATTCTGCATATCCCGGCGTTATCTCCGCTGACACCAACAGCGAACCCGACCTGAATCGTCTAACCTCTCGGGATGATCGTGGTATGGATCATCGCCCTTCAAACTCCGCCAACTCTGTCTTCCGATTCCAACAATCACACTAACAATAGCCGTACTCTGTATCCGTAGATACACTAGGCATTCAACGTCCTAGTCTCCACGTCCAATCTCCACCTTACAGGAAACAAAAGAGAATGGCAACCAAAGGCCTTCTCTATCGCATCGTCTTGCGCATCGAGCCGCGCTGGTGCTGCTCCTCGCTCTCCACCGCCAAGTCATAGTTCTCCACATCCGAGGCCGACTGCGAGCCACCCTTGCGGATCTGGAACGCCGACGGGAACCGGAATCCGAAAGCCACCATGACGAAGAACATAAGTGTGGCGTCGAACACATACAGAGTCCACTCGTGACGGAGCGGGTACCCGTCGCCGCCAAGGACGTACTCGATGAGACGGAAGATGGACCGGACCATGATGCACGCGCTGACAACGTAGAGCATCCACAGGCCCGACTTCCAGGGCGAGTGGCCCGCCAGTGAAGCCTGGGTAGGGTTCTTTGCGAAACGGCTGTGGAAGACGATGGCGGTGACCCAAAAGATGGCAAAGAGCACAATTTGGATGACGAGACCGGCCACAATAAGATCCTGACCCATCTTTTGGCTGCCGTCCTTGACCATGAGACCGCCACCGCTGGCCTGGACGAGGAAGGAGAAGCAGTCGCCGGCAACGAAGATGCGGGTGAGCCAGTTGATGCGGATCATCGAGAGGGACTCGCCGTGGACGCTGCGGATGATTCGGCCGAGGGTCATGTAGACTGATGCCGCGAAGAGGGCGGGCGCGATGAGAATCGTGAGGGATTGCATAACGTAGGGTCCGACTTCGCCGGTGCGGTCGCGTGCGATGGCTCTGCCTGCATATCCGATGATTTCGACTGCGTAGGAGACTCCTTGTTAGTTGATAATCTTGATGTAATTGATGATAACAGCGTGGGAAGGGAAAGTGGGAAGTGGAAGGTCGGAACTTACGAAGACCGCCTATCACGAAGACGACGCAGAACCACGCCTTTGTCCTGGCAATCTTGTACGCGTGGAAGAGCGTGGCGAGGACGAAGAGGACCTCAAAGATGATGGCCGCGATCAAGCTGGGCACATAGTGCCACAGGTAGTAGCCGTCGTGAGACTCGAGAGTAGGCATCCTGTCGAAGTCTCGAGAATTATGGGTTTATCGATTATCGGTAGTTGGCTTGTCCTCCACCTTTTCCCCGTTCCTTGCTTGTTGTAGGCTGTGCTTTCCGGTGTGTTGGGTCGCGAGATTAGATTTGCCTCAGATGGCGGTGACCGAAAAGATTTGAAGGATTGATGTGTTGACCTTGCTGGAAATCTCGTCCTAGGACCCCGTTGGTGTTGACGATGTTGCTGCTGGATGTGTTGCCAAGGGCCAAGGGGGTGTCTCGAAGTTGTAGTCCATCTTTATACCGTCCCAGAAATGGGAGATGGAGTGGCTGGAACTTGTGTCTGCTGCTGCGGCCATCGAATACGCGGACTTTCGAACAAGTTTCTTTGACGGTATCTCCATACGCGTTTGTCGTGGACGATGGGCAAAGAGCTTAGATGTGTCTGACTGTCAACGTGCGAGACCCAAGCTTCGCTGGTGCCCACTGGGACCCTGGGGCTTCCCCATTAAGGATGTATACGTGGATAAATCGGTACTTGATTGGCTCATGGGTCGGAACCCCTGCCAGCCCTGTGGGTGGATCTCGATGGAACCCTCACCGGGTCTGCCAATCACGACTCGTCCCATACGCGTACAAAGATTTTGGCTGTGATATTTTGCAATCACAGAGGCTGAGGGAGTCTGGGAGAGGCATGCCGGGCCTCGTCACCCCACCACCCATTCAATCTGTTCCCATCCATACGGATATCATAATGTCGAAGCCTACCCAATCCAGTTTTTCCATCGTTCGTTTGATGCAGAGACGAAGCCATGCCGATAAGGAATATCCCGTCGGCAAGCTTACGTACCTCATGCAGTCCTTTCCAGTCTCCAGAACCTGCTGCATTTACGTGTATTTTCGACCAGAACCTGCAACAATTGTCACCAAACACGAGGAAACTAACAGTGTGGCTCAGTCAACAAAAATATCCATCAAAACACTCCACGGGAACGGCGGCGATCGCGGAGCCATGCATCCCTCGTAAATCATCACCTGTCTGCCTGTTTTTTTTGCTCTCTGCAATTATTTTGCTCTTCGCATTCCCTTTTGACTTCTACGCCAATTCCCCTAGCAGTTTAGTTAGTGGTAGATATCAGGTTACCTTTGAGAGTCTGGAATCCGGCAACGCTCAGCTGTTTCCGGCCTGACCGGGGTCTCGCTTTCGGTTTGTCTTGGCGTCTACAAGGGATTACCGCCTTTCCGCCATGGCGTGGCAGCGGGAAACCGTCCTGTCGGTATCGCGAACGAGGCAGACTGGGCGGATGGGCCAATTTTTGAGGCTGAGATAAGCCTTTGCCTCGTCAAAAAGTAAACTCAATCGCTTGACGTGGACAAGGGATGCTTTTCTTGTCGTTCATGAAGGCGTGGCTGAGGTCGCCTTGTTCGACATTGAGTTTTGTTGTTAATATCGATGAATGCTACTGTCACCACGTGGTGCACTGCCATTACAAGGTAGTACCGCAGAAGTACACGATATGTAGTCATCTGCTACCGTGATTGAGACCCTAGTCTCTACGTAGCGAATATACTCTTTTGCCCCGGTCGCTAAGTCAAACCCCCCACTTCCTGGCACCCCACTGTTTCTGGCACCCACAAAAACGCGAAAATCCACCACAACCCAATGCCCACCCCCAACCTCCTTTTATCACAACATTTTCAATTCGCGTCCAAATGGGCTCATCTTTTGCACATACCTTCTTCTATATCTAATGCCTCAATATACCGAAGATCAGCTTCGTCAGGCTCTCGAGGACATCTCAAACGGCAAGAGTCAAAAGAGAGCCTCATTGGAGTATGGGATACCACGATCAACCCTCCAACTACGTCTCCAAGGTGGTCAGACTAGGAAAGTGGCTTTTGCTGACTGGCAGAGGCTGTCTCCTGACCAGGAGAGTAAGCTGGCACAATGGGTTCGCATTCAGGCTTCGCTGGGCCTCGCACCAACGCACCAACAGGTGAAGGAATTCGCAGAGCGAGTTCTGGCTGCTGCTGGGGATACCAAACCACTGGGAAAAGGCTGGATCTATGCCTTTGTGAGAAGGAACCCTATCATTAAGGTTCAGAGAAGTCGTTCTATCGATTCTAGACGCGTTAATGGGGCATCTACTGAGGTCATTAGGAACTGGTTTAAGTTCCTCGCTATCCCTGAGATCAAGGACATCAAACCAGCCAACAGATATAATATGGATGAGACTGGCATCCTCGAGGGTCAGGGAGCTAATGGGTTAGTGCTGGGTATGGCTGAGACGACGTCTGTTCGCAAGAAACAACCTGGGTCGAGGGCATGGGTCTCTATCATTGAGTGTATCTCAGCCTTGGGTAGGGCACTTCGTCCTCTTATCATTTTCAAGGGGAAGACAGTCCAACAGCAGTGGTTTCCATTACATCTCGTTCCATACGATGGGTGGGAGTTCACAGCAACAGATAATGGCTGGACTACAGACTTAACTGCCATTGAATGGTTAGAGAAGGTGTTCATCCCACAGACTATGCCTGAGGCTGAGGGGGAGGCTCGACTGCTGATTGTGGATGGGCATGGGAGTCATACGACGACAGACTTCATGTGGAATTGCTATATTAACAATATCCATTTACTGTTCTTACCACCACACTCCTCTCATGTCCTCCAGCCTCTTGACCAGTCTGTCTTCAGCCCTGTTAAGTCAGCCTATCGGAAGGAGCTCGGTTACTTGTCTCAATGGAACGACTCTACCATTATAGGTAAAAGGAACTTCCTGGACTGTTACCAGAAGGCTCGACTTGCTGGTCTATCAGTCTCGAACATCAGAAGTGGTTGGAAGTGGACTGGTCTACACCCTGTGGCGATGGTTAAGCCCCTGATGAACCCTATGGTACTACCTGAGCCTCCTGCTAAGCCCACCACACCCAAACCAACTAGTCAGGGCAGAAAGCGATGCCATAATGGTCAACAAACTACCCCTGTTGAGCCATGGGATTCTGCCTCCTCTGCAGTGGTCTGGTCGACACCCAGGAAGCTGGCAGAGCTCAGCGGTCAACTGCACTTATACACCCAACTCGACAATGATACCAGCACTCAACGGCTGCTATTCAGGAAGGTGAAAAAAGGCTTCACAGAGCAGGCCTGGCAACTGGCAGCTGCCCAGCAGCAACTAGCTCACCTGAGGGCTCAAGTTACCAACGCTGCAGTGAGGAAGAGGAAGACTGTTCAAATCGATCCCAACACGAAGTTCGCGAACATCAGGGATATCCATCGGGCTCAAATCGAAGCGGGTGAAAAGGAGGTTATCACGGCTGAATCCAGCGACTCTGAATGCCCTAGTGAGGCTGGCAGCTGTATTGTAGTGGGTGTGGTTGAGGATCAATAGTTAATAGTAATGAGGAGGTCGGGTTGTGATCCCATCGTTTTTGTGGTGCCAGAAACAGGGGGGTGCCAGGAAGTGGGGGGTTTGACTTATACATTTCGAGACTCTTCACTCTTCAAGAGCTGTGATAAACAAAAGTCACAGTCCGCACAAGTTCCAGCTCAAGTATGTGGATCAAGTGGTGACAACCGCTTGGTGTTTCCGCTGCAATGCTGTCCGAATCCGAGACCAAGTTGGAAGTTCGAAATGGGCCCTGGTGGCCGACTAAGAATTATTGCATGACAGTTCATTTCTGTTCTAGGCTACCTTATGATGAATGTAGCCTCCGCAGTCTGGACTCTGTACTGGACTTTGTACAGAGTACCTAGCAAATTTCCCATAGACTGTTGTTGTTGTTGTTGTTGTTGTTCTATTTAACGCCATGGCGGCAAGGGCGCAGCCGCCCTTGCGGCAGACCTCCCGAAGGGTATGTGGCGTGAAGGGTCGCAGGCTCTAGCTATATACTATATAGTACACGCCGTCTCCTGACGTCCTCCAAATCTTGCTCGTGAGCTACTATGTGTTCTATCCATCCCTAGTTCCCACTGGTGCCCTAGTTCCGTTATAACCATCTGGTTTCTTAATAGAGGTAGTTTGTCGTTTGGAGGATAGGTTATGACCTATCTCCTAGTACTGCGGGCAGATCTTCTGGAAGAAGTCTGTCACGCAGAGGAAGGCCTGGAAGCCTTGAGAGTCAGTGATTAGCCCCTTGAAGTAGCGATCGAGGGACCCTATAGGTCCTACGGGCTCCTGGCGGCTGTAGGGGTAGAGGGTGGGCCACTGTTGCCTCCTCAGTAGGGTCTTTCGGCAGTAGACTAGATGGTCTGCCTCCTTAACCCATCCACAGGAGCAGGTGAGTAGTGCTTCTGTGTGGTTAAAGCGTTGGTGATATTGTTTAAAGTCCCCGTGGCCTGACCGTGCCGCGAGGAGGTGATGAAGGGCAGCCCTAGGGAGGCCAAGTTCAGGAGGGCAAGCAAGGGTAGCCTTGAGCCCTAGTTGGGTATAGCGGGGAGTTGCCTCTTGTTTCCACCATCGTCTATATTGGCGTCTTGGCCGCTCTTTAGCAAGCCACTTGATACCTGATAGAGTAGCTAGTTGGCCCCTAAGGACTGGTAGAGTTGTTCCCTCCTTAGCTAGGCTGTCTGCTTCTTCGTTTCCTTTAATACCTTGGTGCCCAGGAGACCAATGGGTTTGTATATCGTGTATCCTAGCTACCTCCTGGATCTCAAGGAAGGCCGCTTGTGAGGAGTCTGGGACCTTACCGCGAATCCCCTGAATAACGCTGGTATTGTCGATGCAGATGTGTATAGGCCGGCCTTGGGAGGTCTGAAGGGCCCGTCGGAGCCCAGCCCTCGCCCCCTCCGCCTCACCATCAAACACTTCTGCTAAGCCGAGACGGCCGCAGCCCTGGGCTATACGTTTATTGTTGCGGTAGATAACAAAGCCGTACCCTGTAGCTCCGTCAGGAGCTTTGGAGCCGTCTGAGTATACGACCGTATGCTGACCTGGCACAGTCTTGAGCCAGGCCTGGAAGATCCTAGCTGCTACTTCCTTCGTCTGTGTAACTATAGGGTCATAGGACCCTGGGAGGTATTGCGGCTGTAGGAGCGCTGGCCTTGGACACTTAGGTAAAAGGCCAGCTGTTCTTTGAAGCCTGGTCTGTTGCCGCCCTGACTGCAGCAGCCTTGGGACCAAGGGATGCTGTTGGTCAACCTTCTGCAGGCGTATAGCGAAGCGTAGTCGCGCTGCTTCGAGGGCTACCTCTGCTGTGGGAAGGCCAGCGTCTCGGATGAGGCTACTGGTCGGTGTGGTTCTCCAGACAGGCAGGATAGCCCTTGCTGTTGCTGTAATAACTTTGCTAAGTCTACGGGCCAGGCCCTTCTGTCCTGTACCAACTGTAGGTATCTGTAAAGCAGTGCTACTGCTAGTATTGGTGCCGCTGTTTAGGGCTGGTTTGGTTAGGCCCGCATACCAGGTCTCAACTCCATACAAGGCTGTTGGAAGGACACAGGCAATAACCGCTTGTCGTACTGCGGCTGCTGGGAGTCCCCCTTTGGTATTTGTTAGGTGCCGTAGGAACTGGGCTACCTTCTTTGCCGCTGCCACCTTAGTTTCGACATGGTGACGGAAGGTGAGTCTCTTGTCGAACCAGACTCCTAGCCATCGTACAGGCTTAGTTGAGGCCTTCATAGTTAGGCCCGTCGCCTGTATATCTGGTAGGTCTTTTGTCTGGTTATATTTCCTGCTGAAGTGGACTGCCTCACATTTAGCTGGGTCAAAAGCAACCTTGTTATCAGTGCCCCAGTTAAGGATATGAGTGATCTTTTGGCCTAGGGCTATAGCATTTCCTTCTAGCGACGGGCTAGTAGCTACTAAGCCTATATTTCCCATAGACTGATTGCTGAATAGCAGATCAGATACACGTATTCCGGGGGCGGGTCCAAAAGTACCAAGACCCTAATACATGGAACCTGGGTACTAGTGTCGTGACACACTAGAAATCTTTATTTCCTCGACAAACTACTTTTTTAGATGTGCTGTCGTAAAATATCTTGAGATGCGCTGACTCGGAATTTTCAGCATCTGAGTCTTATGAGGTCTGTAGTCACTTTCGGATTATCCCATCGAGTGCTGCAAGGCGACAGTACATTGAGATGCGGGGGAGCAGCCAATCGGGCCACTTCGGGCCCCTTTTTCCAACCAACCAACGTAATTGATAATAGATACTTCCAATTATTAGAGATTCTGCGTATGAAATCGGTACCAGCAATCTTCTGAGTTACAGAGAGCTACATCGCACTCGAGGCAGCCCATCCTCGTGTACTTCCGCCGCTGCGGTTGGGTATGGATATTACCACTAATCTCGCCCAGCGCAGTCCTCGCTTTTACTTGCGATATCGTACTACAACCCACGCAAGCAGAATTAGCATTTCTGTGCCCTCGTACGTGTAATTGCCACGGTATTGCCTCGTTCCTTTTATCTGTTGCCCTCCTTGGACGTCCCCGTCGACGACCTTCTGCCAATGGTCCAAACCGCTGAATTAGGTGGGCAGAAAGCAGTCTACGCCATTCATACTGGTTCTGAACCCGGGGCCACTCAGGATCTCCCCATTGTTGAAGACGAAAGGTATTAATAATAATGACTTCGAGGAGAAAGTTCCAGGCAATTGCCTGCCAACTGCCCCGCCTCACGGGCCGGCTGAAGTCGTAATAGGACCGCATTTGGTCCCCGGTATCTACGCCGTTCATACGGTGATTGTACTCATCGATTGCGAGTGGAATCCGGAGATCCTTCCGCACTTCGGGCCCGAAGACCTCCCGTGCTGCCCTCTTCGCAGCGGTATCTCCAGCCGGCCGTTTGCGGCTTCGTACAACGTCGGATGTCTCTCGGAAGACCGTCGTGAGGAAGAGAACGAGGGCATTATCCTTCCAAGTGAACTGGTTGACCTGGAAGTTATTCCGATGAATGGTTTAGTATGGAATAGCCACTGACAGTGATTTGGGTTAACATACTTTCCCGTCAGCCGTGGAGATCGCGTGTAGTTGACCCCATGGAAGTCCCTTGCCGTCAGTCTCTTTCTCAGTAACCAATGTCTTGTCGATTCCACTATCCTTCCGGCACGTGCTGGTGGCACCGATCCGCTGGTCACGAAGGGCCCGGAAGAGCTTTACTGAAGCAAATAGATTATCAAGAAACACGTGATAAGTGGCCAACGGAAGCAAGGAAAGCAGTGATGTGACCACTCGCTGGGTTGGCGTCAAGGCCGTTCGCCGGGCCTCCTCGTCGCCGGCTGCGGGCCGGGCTTGTGCCACGAGGCCGCAGGGCCCGTCGCCGTGGACGTGCCAGAGCCAGCGGAGGGAGTACCCGGCTTGCGCCAGAACCCAGACCTTGAAGCCGGTTGGGATCGGCTTCGTTGGGATCGTCGTGGTCTCCACTGCCCGGCCCGTGAAGCGGACCATGGCCTCGTCGACGGTGAGGTCGGAGCCGGCCCGGTAGAAGCGGTCGCCGGTCTCTTGGATGTGAGCTGACCACTCATTGACTTGCTGGTACACCTTCGGCATCTGCTTCTCCCGAGGCTGCCCGCGGCGCCGGCCTGCCGTCGACGGCACGGAAGCAGGGATCTTGGCCGGGTCAAAGATCCGGATGCGGCGGAGGAGGAGCTGGAAGCGGTCCCTCGAGATAAATCGAGTAAACAAATGGATAGGATCCTCTGTCTGTTGTGAAGTAGACCAGTATTTAGATATTTTGGTTTCAGGGTGTAAGCCCATATAAATCAAAATGCCCAAAAACAAATAGACTTCGTCTACAGTCGCTGACTTCCACTTGAGACTGCGAGAGTGTTTCTTAACCGGGCCCAGCCTCGCCGAGCGCGGCGCCGCATTCGTCCACTTAACCCACCGGCCGACGAGGCTGGCCGGCACGAACTCGAGGAGGAGGTCCAGCGGCTGCGGTGGTAGGCTCCGGACCTCCGTGGGCCGCTGCGGCACCTCGAAGGGCACGAACTGCCCAGGGATACCGGGCTCAACCTCCGGAGGCTCGCGGGGCCGAACAGTGGCATTATCACATTGCTCCGGCGTACAGTCGGCAGTGCAGGCGGCGGCGAGGTCCTCGGGCAGCAGGGCAAAGATACACGACTTCGCCGAGCCCGTGGAACGGCCAGATCCGTCAGAATCGTCAGAATCCATTAATTGAGTATTGGTAATGATGGATTTGGTAGATGTACCGGAGTGGAAATCATAGGGGCAACTCAAGCAGTGGATGTACCAGATGCGGTGCGGGGTAAAAGGGGGCCCGTTATGTGGAGCCAATGTACTGTCGCCTTGCAGCACTCGATGGGATATTTTCCGTTCCAGTCGTAAGATATCAGTCTCCAAGTGTAGAGCCATATGCAGCGAGTCATCATGATCAACGCGATACCAGAACCGCCGTGTATACATGTATTTCAAGAGATACCATGCCTGCGATACGGGCATATTGTGCGAATATCACCGCCATCCCAACCTCATGTATACTAGATATCGTCACAAGTTGACTCGATGATGGCAAGAAAATTCTGCTGAGCTGCGAATCCAGTTGCAAACTCTTCAACTTTTGCGATGTTTCAATACATCGTAGCGTCACATAGAGTATCGCTTTGATATCTCAATGATTGGAATTTGCAGAATTGTTGGCAAGAAAGCTTATCCATGGCTTGGCCCGGGGGGTTTCCAGACAACAGCGGAATGACAAGCTTGGAAACTTGCGATCCGACCTTGTGTGAGAAATTCTGGTCCATTCCAAGAGCCCAAGGCTATATTTCAATATTGGCAGTGTCGTGACGCTGGTCATCGATTTGAGTGCCCCATCAGATTTAATTCATTGATCATTCCCCTGAAAGACGGGCTTTTTAGTCGGCGGTCAACTACGACTCGTACCTACTTTTATCTCTTCAAAGAGCAATTTTTAAATACCACCTTATTACGCTCGTAGTTTTCATTCCAAATAATCCACTTGAAACTTATTCGCCAAACATTGACACCGAATTTACCAGAACCCCGTGAAAGTCAATCTCTGCAGGTCTAGATTCTAGGTGCGTATCAGGTAACGGAGGTTGCTCCTACAACGAAAGTCGCTGACAGGGCTGATATTGAAGCGAATGAAATGGAAATCGAACTCTGAACATAAAATGCAGCTAGGATGGAAGAAAATTTGGTCTTTGCGGCTTTCAAACGTCGTCCCTTACTTCCATCGTCCCGTCGCGAACATCCCGCCTGTCCACGTGAGACCCACATACTAGAAATTGCATGTGACCGATTCCTGAAACCACTAATTCACGTGAACAAGTCATCGAGGACGCGTTTATGCAATTTGAAACTTACGCTCATGCAGAAAAAGAGAAGTCAAAAGCCGGATTCCTGATTTTTGATGGACATATTGCTATATTGCTAGATGTTTAAGCTCGTCTCGCCCCATTTTATGAACTTACCCGATCCCGACGTCACTATGCGTGTGGCAGCAGATCAACCCCGCCACGCAGCAGGGATGTCGCGAGAACATGAAAAAAAGAAAAAGCAATAACTAAGCGAATGATGTCAGTAATTGTGGCTGCTGCCCGCCCCAACTTAGATTTCCTCGACTTTCTTCGTTATCGAATATCCCAAGACCTTGCAATAGTCCGCAAGCAAATTCTACCCAGATTGTACAGACCTTGCACGACTCGCTACCGAAATCTGGGAAGTAATCGACGGCATCCCTTCACCTTGTTTATTCACTGTTTTGTCCCGACCGTACGGCACAGCGCGGCGCAACTCCACACTTCATCCCACCTCAGCATTCCACTCCCGAGCTTCAGCCTCAAAACGCTTCCTCTTCCAGAACCTCGCACGGCCACCGACGCCACAAATCACATAAGAAATGTCTTCCCCACCAACACCACCCGAAGAGAAGCAGACGGAAGAGCAAAAGCAAACCCAGAGAGACAAGGTCCTCGCACAAGCGACCGCCAAGCTCCAGGAGGCACAGAAAGAGACCGAAGCTGCGCAGGAGCTCCGCGAGCGGGCCGAGGCGACCGAGGACCCGGAGGAGAAGAAGAAGATACTCGCCGAGGCCGCGGAGCACGAGAAAAAGGCTCAGGGGTCTGCGAAGCAGTCCAAGCGGCTGCAGAGCGGCATTTGGCAGGGCGGCATTGGCGGCGCAGGCATCGGAGCCGGACTGGGGACTGGACTGGGTGCTGGCGTGGGTACATTGGTGGGGGCTGTTGTTGGCGGTGTCACGGCTATTCCTACGACGGGGCTGGGGCTTTTGGTTGGAGTTGGCACGGGTGCGATACATGGGCCTTGGTATAAGTTGGAACAGGAGAAGAAGGAGGCTGAGGAGGCCGAGGCGAATGGGGAGGAGGAGGGAGAGTCGGATGATGGAGAAGGGGGCGAGAAGGCTGCCAAGGCCGTCAAGGCCGGTTGAGATCTAGGCCGTCTATCCATTTCCTTCTTACCTTTGTGTTGTTTTTGTTTGGCGAGGATACCATCTGATAAGGGCTGTATGATATACGGGTGCCAGCTTTTGCTTATGGGAACGGCGGGGGATCATGGCTTACGACCGAAAACGACCATTGCATATAGCCTTGCTTCCTCTTTTCTCTTTCCTTTCTGTCCGTCTCTTTACTATTATACCTAGCATAGCAACACGATCTTGGGTTTCTTTTGGTGTTTAGATGTTAAAAAGAGGTATAGGAAAATACGAGCTATACGGATGGGCTATTGGGGGCGATTCAGAACTTCCCGTTCCAAGGGCCAATACTCGTGCTAGACTGCATCCTCCCTATGAAGTTTTGGTAGCAAGATTTGACGATTGTTTGAATGGCACACTTCTCATTAGCTCCGGAAATGTAATAACACACGTAATAGTTGATTTTCCTGACCTTGTGGGTGAGAATATCCGGTAGCGTATTAATTAGAAGACGTATGACGGACCTCAGTCTCGGTAGGATCAACTCGGATTGCTTCGTTGCTTGGAAAGGAACTTTCGTCGACATTCCAACAACAATCCCTCTTCTCAAGACCGGTCTCCTAAGAGGTGTGTAGCTATCATTTATCTGACTTTGTGGTGTGGAATATGGACCACGAAGCTGTCGCGCCTCTTCCGCGGGCCGTCTTCCGTAGGTCGTCGTCCCTCAGCGACTCCCATTCACTCGACCATCTAACCATCTAGAATTAGGTTGGGCACCATGCAGCCGACAGTTCACGCTTCCGGTGATGGCTTTTCGAAGCTATGATGTGCTCATCGTTCTACCTGATCAGAAACCTTCTGATCCTTTCAACAATCGAGTAACAGGAGAAAAGCGATTTCATCCAAAAGTACAATTTCCAAATAATTCTACACTACATTTCTATTTGTGGTCAAGCCGGGTGCATTTGAACTCAACATGAAACTCGACGAAGGGGTGCGCACCTATTTCCAATGTCGCAGGATTCCTCATCTTGCAGGCTGCAGAGAAGACTAGAGCTAAGGATGAGCATTTGAATAGTTTTACCACTAGTCCACATGGCAAAGTCACATATTCCACGTCCATCAGTCACCCTTTGCCTAGCTTGGGATTGGTAATGAAGTTTAAAATTAGACACAGGCAGCGTTCATCTCAGCGTCGGGGCGGTGTCGTGCTAGCAGCTTGCCAGCTAGCTCAGCCGCCCCGGCTATTTAGTAGGGTAGCTTCTGCGGTATATATGCACTGCACACGCTTTTGGTCAGACGCCAGTTCCGCCGTCAGCACGTTCTTTGTCTGCAGCTGCGCGGCAACGGACCACTCACGTCGCGGCACTCGTTCGTCTGAGTGAGATTCTAGCGCCAACAAGGATCTAGTGCCGTTTGCTTGTTCACTCGGGTCACCGCCGTCCCGGGTTTGCGTGGCAGGCAGTACATGACAGATGAGGAAACTTTTTTCGGAGAGCTAGCGTTGTTCACGCGAAGGAAGCTAGCAGGTGAGCTCCCCGGTCGGAGCAGGCGGGTCGTGTAAGTGGAAGAGGATGCTTCCGTAGGGCTGTACAACAACGCCGTCAGCTGGCCAAGATGACCAAAGGTCCAGAGCTACGGCATCACACGATGTTGAGAGTTGTATATAATGAGAAGGTCTCGCCGTCGAACAGTGTTTATGTTCTCTCATCATCACACAGTCACACAACCACCCAAGCCAATCTTCCAACTTTTCCTATCTTCTTTCCTATTTTTCCTTATTTCCTTGAGTCTCTCTCTGCATATTTGGGATTTACCACATACAAACAATACAACAAACTAGTCAAAATGTTCTCCATCAGGACCCTCTCCACTGTTCTCCTGGCCGCCGCCGCCACCGTCTCCGCCGCTCCCACCAGCACCACCGGCACCAAGACCCCGACCCGCACATTTGCACTCACGGGCGTCACCCACTCCGTCGTCGCCGGCCTCGGCGGCCTCCGCTTCGACCCGGACAACGTCGTCGCCGAGATTGGCGACATTGTCGAGTGGCACTACCTGCCCCGCAACCACTCCGTCGCGGAGTCCAACTTTGGCAACCCCTGCAACCCCCTGGCCGACGGCTCCTCCTTCTTCTCCGGCTTCAACTTCTTCACCGCCGAGGGCCAGTCAGCCAACGTCTTCCAGATCGTCGTCGAGGACAAGAAGCCCATCTGGTACTACTGCGCCCAGAACGCCGGCCAGCACTGCAAGAACGGCATGGTCGGTGTCATCAACCAGAACTTTGACAGCCCCGACTTCACTCTCGCCAAGCACAAGGCTTTGGCTGCGCAGAAGGGCGATGCCGTCATTCCCGCTGTTCAGCAGGGTGGCTTCGTCATTCCCAACCCCAATCCCCTGGGAGGCTTCAAGCTCTAAATGCGTGGCCTACCTATTAGACCATGTGGTTGCTGGGGGTATAGAGCTGTCGCGGTGGTGATTGCATGAGCATTGAGCGGGTTGCATATTATGACTGGAAGGGAATTGCATCTGGCGGCGTTGAATTTTGGGAAACTCGATTCATCATCTGTTTACAACCTTCGCTCTTTAGGATACTTTAGATATATAAAACTCTACCACACTCAACTTTTCCATGCACATCCACCCTGATATATTATGAACCTTGAAGAATATCATAGCTCGGGATCTCAATAACAAAGAGTGCTGCTTTGTACTGGCATACGTTTAATTCCTCTGGGTGTCATTTTACGAAAGGGGGAGACGATATCTTCGTCTGAATCTCATCATGAAGGTTATAAGTAAGAGAGAATGAATGTATTTTTGAAAGAAAAGACAATTAGAATGTCTGGGTTCGGTCGAACTCGCTACTATCACTAACTCCGCGATTACCCCCCGGAAAAGTGTCAGCCACCTGCATACGCTAAGCACTCTCGTGTATAAGCGACTTTGTAGGATAGACGAAGCCTGTGAATACGACGGTATCATCGGGAACAGAGCCGAAGACGACGGATAGTTCGTGCGGGTTTGAAGACAACAGACAGACCACATTGGAATCATCAACCCCGCCCTCAGCTTTTCAACCTCACCCAAGATGCCACCAAATCGGATCATTGAATTGGTGGAAGAATTGAAGGGATGTTGGCAAAAGCTCGTTCTCGCTTTCGCCCGTAGTTATGCCATATACTGAGCTGCTGTGCAATACCGAAAGCGCGTACTCGCTACAATATAGTCAGAAAAAGGACCGGCATTGAATACAAAAGCCAGATTGATATCCATATCTACTCGATATTTGAGTTGCTGCGAGATCAAATCCGAAATCTTCGGATCGATCACATCCATCTCAGATCTCTCAATGCGACTCTTCAGCCTTATTTGGCTGTCAATCGTCACACTGGCGGCCCAAAGCCAGTCCCAGGAGGCCAACAGGACTTTCAACAACCCGATCCTCCCGGGTTGGAACTCTGATCCCAGCTGCACGTGGGTCAAAGAGTGGGATAACACGTTCTTCTGTACTGCGTCCTCATTTTTGGCCTTCCCGGGTGTTCCTGTCTACGCCAGCAAAGACCTAGTCAATTGGAAGCTTGCGAGTAACGCGTTGACACGACCGGGGCAGGTGCCGGAGCTCTACCGAAACTCGGGACAGAATGAGGGTATCTGGGCGTCCACGGTCAGGTTCCGCGACGGAATTTTCTACCTTATCACGTCGTATGTCTCTTGGTATGAAGGTTGGGGTCCCAAGATCCTCCTCTTCACTACCATCGATCCGTATGATGATGCCTCGTGGACCGGGCCACTTCGTATCGAGAACCCGGCGAACGATATCGATCCGGACATCTTCTGGGACAATAACAAGGTGTACATGTCCATGGCTGCCGGTATCTACATCAGCGAAATTTACCTTTCGACTGGCGCGGCACATGAGCCCATCAAGGTGTGGAATGGCACTGGAGATCGCAACCCCGAAGGACCGCATTTGTATCGGAAGGATGACTACTACTATCTGTTGATTGGAGAGGGTGGAACGGAAACTAACCACTCTGTTACGATTGCTCGAGCAAAGGAGATGGCGGGAACATACGAAGGCGCACCGCATAACCCAATTCTCACACATCTGCATCGACAATACCAGCGTTATTCAGGGGATTCGCGGTAAGGTCCCAGACTCCTCACAAGCGGCCTTCCTTGAGATCCAGGAGGTAGCTAGGATACACGATATACAAACCCATTGGTCTCCTGGGCACCAAGGTATTAAAGGAAACGAAGAAGCAGACAGCCTAGCTAAGGAGGGAACAACTCTACCAGTCCTTAGGGGCCAACTAGCTACTCTATCAGGTATCAAGTGGCTTGCTAAAGAGCGGCCAAGACGCCAATATAGACGATGGTGGAAACAAGAGGCAACTCCCCGCTATACCCAACTAGGGCTCAAGGCTACCCTTGCTTGCCCTCCTGAACTTGGCCTCCCTAGGGCTGCCCTTCATCACCTCCTCGCGGCACGGTCAGGCCACGGGGACTTTAAACAATATCACCAACGCTTTAACCACACAGAAGCACTACTCACCTGCTCCTGTGGATGGGTTAAGGAGGCAGACCATCTAGTCTACTGCCGAAAGACCCTACTGAGGAGGCAACAGTGGCCCACCCTCTACCCCTACAGCCGCCAGGAGCCCGTAGGACCTATAGGGTCCCTCGATCGCTACTTCAAGGGGCTAATCACTGACTCTCAAGGCTTCCAGGCCTTCCTCTGCGTGACAGACTTCTTCCAGAAGATCTGCCCGCAGTACTAGGAGATAGGTCATAACCTATCCTCCAAACGACAAACTACCTCTATTAAGAAACCAGATGGTTATAACGGAACTAGGGCACCAGTGGGAACTAGGGATGGATAGAACACATAGTAGCTCACGAGCAAGATTTGGAGGACGTCAGGATACGGCGTGTACTATATAGTATATAGCTAGAGCCTGCGACCCTTCACGCCACATACCCTCCGGGAGGTCTGCCGCAAGGGCGGCTGCGCCCTTGCCGCCATGGCGTTAAATAGAACAACAACAACAACAACAACAACAACAACAACAACAACAACAACAACAACAACAACAACCCAATTCTCACGGCTAAAAACACCGACTCGTATTTCCAAACGGTGGGACACGCTGACCTCTTCCAAGACGCCTCAGGGAGTTGGTGGGGGGTCGCATTAGCAACGAGGTCGGGTCCCGCGTGGGAGATCTATCCCATGGGCCGCGAGACTGTTCTCTTTGCTGTCAAATGGGATGACGGAGATTGGCCGGTACTTGATGAAGTACGCGGCGTGATGGATGGACCTTTGCCTCCGACAAACAGAGATATCTCTGGAGATGGCCGTTGGGTAGACGAGCCAGACGTTGTCGACTTTGCGCCGGGCTGGGAGATCCCTAGGCACTTTCTCTTTTGGCGACCACCGAAGACAGATCTGTTCAGAGTCTCACCGGAGGGCCATCCCAACACGCTGCAGATATCTCCCTCGCCAGTCAACCTCTCAGCAACACCAGACTTCAGCCCAGAACAAGATGGTCTTGGATTCATTGCCCGCAAGCAGAGTGCCACGCTGTTCAACTACACTGTCGACGTATCATTCCAGCCAAAAGTAGAAAACGAGGAAGCTGGCATTTCGGTCTTTTTAACGCAGTTACAGCACATAGATCTAGGCATCGTCACCTCGCCAGCTTGCTCCAACCAGTCGCTAGTTCCGAGGTTCCGACTACGAGTCGAAGCATCAGGAAAGCCCAACATTAGTGTTCCCGAAACAGTCCTCGTACCAGTGCCCAAAGCCTGAAGGTCGGAGACGATAAGGCTCTCGGTTTCAGCTATCAGTGACTCCAAGTATGTGTTCGGCGCAGCTCCGGCATCTCGCCCAGAGGAGTATCTCGAGATTGGATCAGCGAGCGCGTTGATTGTCTCTGGAGGCAGTGGTCCATTCACTGGTAAGCTACCTCATTAGTCCGTTATCTTTGAGTGTCTTCTGGTCATTGACATGGCAATCCTATAGGCACAATTGTCGGTGCGTATGCGACTAATAATGGTGGTGATGGAAAGACACCAGCGTACTTCAGTCGGTGGAGGTACACTCCTGTGGCACAGAAGATTGATCACGCTACTCTTGTACCGGCGACATAGAACCTGGGTTCTTAATTCATTCAATATTGCTAAGCCAGGTGCCTTGCGAAGAATACAGCAAGGCCCCATTACCGCTGTAGTTAGGGGCCATCTTACCATGTCAGTCAGTAACACGATGCCTGTCAGGTTTTCCACGAATCATTAAGGCACATGGTGTCAGTGCACAGACACCATGTCGAATGTTTAATATCATGTCAAAACGCTCACATCGTAAGAAAATTCCCTTCAGGGGCTGCTTCAGGGGGTACAGGGCTCAGCTCAGGGGGTCCGTTCATTCCTAGGCTCCGGCCCAGCGCTTGACATCACTGAATTAATTTGATTAAGGCCAAAAGTTCCAAATCTACTTGCAAAATTCGAAGTTCCTCCCACAAACTTTCCATCATGTTACTTTAGGAATGGTGTTGCATCGGGTGATGGGAGAAGCAGCGGCGGTGATCCGGAGATGTTTGCCGGAGTGAACCGCCTCGAAGTGGGTCCCGGAAGCGAGAGCCGGCCGATATCCCCATATTTCCGGCCACCTGCTGTAATCAATCACGTCATCAGAGGGGTCGCATCACTTTCATATTCATTCGCACTTCCATCATCGCTACCTAAGTTACAAACAATACCTCATCGATGATAAAACGAGAAGAATAACGAGTCGCATCCATCCTTCACCCTGTAATCCTAGTTCATGCTGACATTTGGCAACATGGCAAATGTGGACACATCAATCGGCGCCCGTACCACGGGTGCCGCAGCCGACTTCGCTGCAAAGCACTCGGAAGAGCACCCACTGAAGCTTTACGGCGGCTGGTTCTGCCCCTTTGTCCAGCGATCATGGATCGTCCTCCATGAGAAACAGATTCCCCACCAGTACATCGAGATCAACCCGTACAAGAAGGATCCCGAGTTCCTCAAGATGAACCCTCGGGGGCTGGTCCCGACGCTGGCTGTCCCTGTGGATGTGAAGGGCAACGACCAACGCCCGCTCTACGACAGTACCGTAGTCTCCGAATATCTTGAGGAAGCGTATGCCAGCAATAACTTTGGCCCGCATCTTCTCCCTGAGGCGGCCTATGACCGCGCGAGATGCAGGCTGTGGATCGACCACATCAACTCTCGCGTTGTGCCGGCGTTTTACAAATTTATTCAACACACTCCGGAGAAGGAGTATAGTATCGAGAAGGCACGAGATGAATTCTTGGGTCACATTAAAACCTTCACTGAACAGATGGATCCCGAAGGTCCCTGGTTCTTGGGCAAGACGTTCAGTCTCGTGGACGTCATGATAGCCCCTTGGGCCATGCGTTTGTTTCTATTCGATCATTACAAGCCAGGGGGGCTTGGCATTCCTCCTGAAGGAGAGAGTGGCAAGGACGAGGCGATCTGGAAGAGATGGAGGCAATGGTATGATACTATCAAAGAGAGGCAAAGCGTAAAGGATACGCTTAGTGACGGGGATGCCTATATTGAGGTGTACAAACGGTACGCTGAGGATAAGACCAACTCTGGAGTGGGACAGGCAACAAGAGGCGGAGGCAAGCTGCCTTGAGAAGATCTCTTTGACCAACAACGACTATACAGCCCGCCACTATCTTCCCCATATGGTCAAGGTTGCCGGCGGTATTTGTATAGGCCCCTCAACGGAGCGAATGCCGGGCTTATTCCATCCACATGGTTTCGCTTTTCCGACAATGCATCTGCAACTAGTCATCAACAGGTCACTAGACCATTTCACTTAGTCAAAGGAATCAAGGGGTGCTCCGTGATAGGACCTAGGCCGAATCCCCGCGATGCTCGTATCGCTCGGCGCATTTTTCGTACCTACCACCCGGTGCCCCGACTTAGACTATCATCGGCCCTCTCTCCGACTCAGCCCATCCGGATTTGAAACCGACCAGTCGCCCAAAGATCCGTACACCCCCACAAACATAACCCAAAACAATCGGATTCCAAGGCCGGTTTTGGTTTCAGCGAATCTTCAATCTAGCCCGTCATTATGCCACCCCCCGAATGTGCCACCGGAAGCGCCCACTGCATGCACACCTATCTTTGTCACCTCGTGACAGCCAGACATGAATGCCTGTGCTATCTTACCCCGCGTTGTTGGGCGGGGTATCGATAAGCTGGCATCAGAAATCCACGTGGCTGTGTGTCTATTGAGTTTCCAAAGGAGTATACGCATTCTGACACTTCCGATGTCGTTGGGAGCGTCTGATGGATCAGCTATGTGTTGGTGTGTAGGAAGGGGATCTGGTACGGCTCCCCGGGATGGGCGACGATATGCCACATGCCGCATCATAAAGGCAATGCGTCCGCTCTAGTAGATACCATTGAGTCCAAATCAGAATAATCATCATCACATTAACGATTATCACGATGAAGCCTTCATACTGCAAATCCTCCCTCACGGCAGGAAAGCCTGTTACTCGCCATGTCACAACCGCATTCTCAAAGACAACTAGACCAAGGTCCCTCTCTACAGCACCTCTAGTTGCAGACAAGGCGACCGGTATTGTCGCACCTTCTACTTTGGCAGCTCTGCCTACACCAGTTCTCATGAGGTCTCTTTTGGTTTCTGCCATCTCCTCAAAGCCTATGCTCCTTGGCCCTACACTCGCAGCCCTATCATTGTTCACAATACCAAACAGAGGCTTCTTCACAGATGTCGACCGAAACCCCGTACTTCACTCTTTGCTCAAGAGCGTCTTCTACAAGCAATTTTGCGCGGGAGAGACACCAAAGGAGACGAAAGAGACTATGCGGCACCTGAGGTTTATGGGATTCCGGGGTACGATTCTCACATACGCGAAAGAAACAATTTTTGATGCAAAGACGAACGTGGAGCACGGCTTGGGCATCGAGTCGGAGGAGAACGCAAAGGGTGGCCTCGATTGTACTATTGAATCCTGGAGGCAGGGAGTTTTGGAGACTGTTGATCTGCTCGGTGATGGCGATCAACTTGCTCTCAAGTAAGTTTATATCACTTATACGCTATTCATACTGCAACTTTTGCTAACATCACCAACTCGCAGACTTACAGGAGCAGGACCTCGTGTTACAGAGGCTTTCGCCGCAAGACAGCTACCCCCTCAACAAATGATGCAAGCCCTCGAAGAAGTGAGCCAAAGATGCAAAGACCGTGGCGTCAGACTCCTTCTCGATGCCGAATCTCAGCACTTCCAATGGGGCATCTTCCTTGCGGGCATGGAATTGGTGCGCAAGTTCAACCGCGACGGCTACGCTACGATTTACAACACTTACCAGGCATACCTCAAGAGCACCCCGACCACCCTGGCCAAGCACCTGGAGATGGCCAACCAGGAAGGCTTCACTCACGGCCTGAAGCTAGTTAGAGGCGCATAAATGGGCTCTGACGAACGATCCTTGATTCACGACACAAAGAAGGACACCGACAACGCATACAACAGCATCGCGCAGGGCGCCCTCAGGCGGCAGATTGGAGAGCACGGGGCCCCGGGCGGCAAGCCGTTCCCGTCACTCAACCTCTTCCTGGCGAGTCACAACAAGGAGAGCGTGGTCACGACACACAAGCTCCACCAGCAGAGGCTAAAGGAAGGACACCCGACGGTCCCGGTCGGCTTCGCGCAGCTGCAGGGTATGTCGGACGAGGTCAGCTTCTCGTTGTTGGCGCTCAAGGAGGAGGGGAGCCAGGACCCTTCGCCGCAGGTGTGGAAGTGCTCGACGTGGGGGAGCATGGGCGAGTGCGTGGCGTATCTTTTGCGGAGGGCGGTGGAGAACCGGGATGCCGTTTCCAGGACGGTGGACGAGTATGCGGCGCTCAAGGCGGGGGTCGGCAGGAGACTGCGGTCTAGATTCTTCCGGTCTCGGACTGTTGGCTAAAGACAGGAAATGGATCTTTCTTCGTTAATCGCAAATCTTATCTGACATGTGTGGAGCCCCTCGTGATATCTTCCGAGTTGAAAGAGTGCCGTGACTCCACGAAGATGATGTTGTGTCGAATGCCCTCCCGTACTATCAACCCCACTTGATTAGCTTCGTGGCGGGGGATCTCCCGTCCAGCGCCGGTGTGAGGGGTAGCTACTAGGACTAGGGTAGCTTTATCGCACTCGATTTAGATCGAGATAGAAGGAGGGGCATTTCATCAGTTCAAATCAGAGCAGTTGATTGAGTAAAGTACCGGTATCAACAGCGACTTGAACCAGGGTAGAATACCTTACGATCAGTTTCCTCCGTCTGCCCCCATTTTACTCCGTCAATCATTCACACGTCTCAAACCAAAGACCAGACGCTCAGGATCAAGATGGAAGCTTTCAAAGATCTCAAATTATGCATTTTGGGTTGTGGTAAGCATTTCTCCAGAGCAAATGGTGATATCCGGCCTGCCTCATGCTAACTAATTGGTACAAGGTAACCTGGGAATTCCTATTCTCAAGTCACTTCTGGATAGCGCAGAATCCAAAGACAACGCCCTTCCCATCACTCAATTCATCGCATGCGTTCGAAGTGAAAAGTCTGAAGAGGCCTTAAAGGCACGCTTCTCCAGCGCAGGAGACCAGCTCGTTGTTTCGAGAGGCGATAACATTGCTGCCCTACAAAGATCGGATGTCGTGGTACTGGGAGTAGATCCCGCCGATGTCGAAGAAGTTCTGTCCAAGCCGGGTACGAAAGAAGCTTTGAAAGACAAGCTTTTGATCAGTGTGGCCGCAGGCTGGACCAGAGGCAAGCTGGAGGCTACGATCTATGGGAGCGAGACAACGTCCGAGAACACAGAGGGCCGGGCCTGGGTTATTAGGACACTCCCCAACATTGCAGCCATGGTCTCGCAGTCACTCACTGCAATCGAGATCTCCGAGCCAGCAGTCCCGGCCAAGTACACGGAGCTTACCGAGGCCATCTTCAACAAGATTGGCAAGACGGTCAAAATTGCGCCGAAACTGATGAACGCCACGACTGCCGTTGGTGGCTCAACTCCAGCATTCTTCGCGGTCATCGCAGACGCGCTCATTGACGCTTCTATTGCTGTTGGTGTTCCTAGAGATCTTGCACAGACTATGATCTTCCAGTCTATGCTGGGAAGTGCGACGCTCATGCAGAACGGTCTGCAACGGGGCAGCCTGAGAGATCAAGGGACATCACCGGAGGGATGCACGATTGGAGGACTAATGGTTTTGGAGGAAGGAGCTGTAAGAGGGCATCTTGGAAAGGCTTTGAGAGAGGCCGTGACAGTTGCTCGTCTCATGGGCAGCGATCCTCACCCGAATGATACCAGGCATTACTTTGGAAATTGGATTACAATGCAAGTCTTGCATCTCCAGACATCACGATCCGCCACTGAGAATTGCATTTGGCACCACATAATAACTTCAATGCTTTCATATCGTCTATTGCCGTATCAATTGCTATGTGTATGCTGAAAATCATTGCTGGAAGAAAGTCCGCAACTCCAAATTCGCCAAGCACCCAATTCCAAACGCGGGTATGATTCTCACGCAGCGCATCACAATCGTCGACGGCATATGTTCCCGCGTCCTCGCAACTCGATTAGAGAACGGCATTTTGCTTTGCCTCTCGTAATAGTCCAGCGCAATCAGATGAATCGGCGATGCCACGACTTGCGACAGCACGGGGACCGTCAGCTGCGTGATGATCGCCTTGGCGTGTGGGGAAGACGTGACAGAGTCCGGGATAGCTGCCGATATCCAATTCGGAAGCGTAAACGATCCAAAGATGGTGACGGCGTCTCTGACGAGAAACGTCGCCGTCGCGGCTCTGAGGAGCTTGCGTGGGGCCGCCGCCACCACTGCCTTTCCCACCTCGGGAGCGGCGCCGGAGGAGGATGAACTAAAGATCTCTGCGAAGCGGAGGTCATTCCACACCCCGAGGGGTACGTTGACGAGAAACGTGGAGGCGAAGGTAGCCGTGCTCGCTGCGGCAGCTGCGCCGTCGAACCTCTCGGCCACGGTGGTTGCGGCGTTGGCTGTGACGTATGTTGCTGCGTACAGGGTCCAGACGATCCCGAGGGGTCGGGCGAAGAAGAAGCCGCGGGGTCGACGGATGGCGGAGCGTAGTTGGGCGTGGAGACCTCGGATGAGGGGCCGCCCTGTCGTTGTCCGCTCGACTACCGCTCTGCGAATGGTTTTGTTTAGTCAATGAAATTCCAGGGTCCTGGGCAGATTTGCCTTACCGATCTAGGATTGTGATTACCGGAGATATGAGGATTGCGGAGATGGTGCCAGCCGCGAGGTCACCCGCCAAGTTTCCCCAGACGGAACATGGTTCGTGGTCGTTGTGTTCGAGACCTTGTTGAGTCTCGAGGCGAGTCATTCTCACAAGCGTTTTGGGTAAGAGAGCGCAGATAGTCTTCGATGCTTGGTAGACGTGGCCAACGCCTTACTTATCTCTATTCTACACCCATTCTATACCCATAACTCCGCTAACTGAGACTGATATGCTACGGATGGCCCGTGAAAGATAGCCATTTCCTGGTTTTGACAACTTTGTCTCTGCTTCGAACCTATCTTCTAAGCAGAATGCGAAAAGCTGGGCCCCACAACTACATCGATTTGTCTTCGCTGTGACGCCGTATTTCTCTGGACTTGTCAATCAGAACCCACGACTTAGGCAGCGAAATCGGACTTGTCTCCGTGAAGCCATCGTCGACTACCTAAACACACCTTGTATCAAGATAGGAGTCTAACCGCGATGGAGCACGGGAACAGACGCCGCCGGATGCATCTGTCAAAGACCCCCAACCTCCGAATATGCGGGGAAATGCACCATGACTCCGCACCGGCGGGGGCCCTGCATGTAGATATCGGCAGGGCGTCCGCAACCCCTCCGCTCCGGGATCTACCCCCGTCCGATCTCGGCATGATTGTGAAGATGACATCGATTGCGGCCATGATTGGTTCACGATGCAGTAGAGCTATCGGGAGCTTGACCGGCCTAGTGCAGCAGCCATTGTCAAATAAGACGATGAGACTGCGAAGCTGTCATACGATCTCAAGCAGTAACAGCAAGCTCTCTTCATCTAAGCATCAGGTTCATCACCGATCATCACCTCTTCGAGAACCAAGACGAAATCTTCGTGTACTATTGTCTACCTCCGAGCCAGATCCCCATCACATCAGTCAGAATGCAAGTCCACAGCGTCATGAGGTCCGCGAGACCAGTTGGATCTCTGAGATCAGGAATGCGCCCTACCACAGTCCCCGTCGCTCTTACACAAAGAAGGACGAAGGCGACTGCGCCATTTAGACTTCCCGACCCCAGAAACGAGCTCAACGTAAGTTGAAGCCCCGGAACCGGGAGATATAACTCTTGGATGAATTGGCTAACATCTGTTTTACAGCCCACATACACCAAGAACTCCCCCGAGCGCGCAAAGCTTGAGGAAGCCCTCAAGAAGCTGCGCACCCAGCTGCCCGCCAAGAGCGACCTCTTTTTCAACGGCCAGACCCAGGCCGCAGTCAAGTCCTTCGACACCGTCCTTCCCTCAGAGCACAAGACCAAATTCTCCAACTTCCCCCTCGCATCCAATGAGCAGGTTTCGTCAGCAATTGAGGCGGCGTTGGAGGCAAAGGAGAGCTGGCAAAACACCCCCTTCGTCGACAGGGCTGCTATTTTCCAAAAGGCGGCAGAGCTCGCCGTGACCAAGTACCGCTATGAGATCATCGCGGCGACCATGCTCGGCCAGGGCAAGAACATGTGGCAGGGAGAGATTGACGCGGCTGCTGAGTTGGCCGACTTCTTCAGACTCAACTGCAACTTTGCGGCAGAGATCCTCGAGAAGCAACCCACCCGTGGCTCTGACGGCATGTGGAGGTATGTGAAATATGCGAATACCTTCAATGACTTCAATACTGACGAGAACATCTAGTCGCCTGGAATGGCGTCCTCTGGAGGGCTTCGTCTACGCCATCTCCCCCTTCAACTTCACTGCCATTGGTGGTAATCTCATCTCCGGGCCCGCGCTGATGGGTAACGTTGTCGTCTGGAAGCCTTCGCCCAGCAACATCTACGCCAGCCAGATCCTCTACAACATCCTTCTGGAGGCTGGCCTTCCCCCCAACGTCATTCAATTCGTCCCTGGCGATGCTGAGGAAGTGACCGACGTCGTTCTCAACCACCGTGAATTCGCTGGCCTCAACTTTGTCGGCTCGTCCGACGTCTTCCGCTCCCTGTACGCCAGAATCGGCGAGTGCATCGGCAAGAAGACCTACCGCGAGTTCCCTCGCGTCGTTGGTGAGACTAGCGGAAAGAACTTCCACCTCATCCACCCGACCGCCGACATCGAGCACGCCGTCAACCACACCATCCGCGGCGCCTTCGAGTACCAGGGCCAGAAGTGCTCCGCCACTTCCCGCGTCTACCTTCCCGAGTCCAAGGCCGAGGAGTTCATGTCGAGCTTGAAGTCCAAGGTCGAGCAAATCACCATCGGAAGCCCCGACGGCAAGCTGGACGCCTTCATGGGACCCGTCATCCACGAGCGCTCCTTCAACAAAATCAAGAACATCATCGACGAGAGCAACAAGGACTCTTCGCTTAAGTTGGTGGTCGGCGGTACCTACGACGGCTCCGACGGATACTACGTCAACCCCACCGTCTACGTGGCCGACTCTCCGGACCACCGTCTCTTCAACGAGGAGATCTTCGGCCCCGTCCTGGCCATCTCCACTTACCTCGATGCCGAGTGGTCCTCCACCTTGAAGAAGGTCGACCAGAGCGGAGGCGGCTTCGCTTTGACCGGCGCCGTTTTTGCCAACGACAGACGCGCTATCCGCGAGGCCGAGGATGCCCTGCGCTACTCCGCAGGAAACTTCTACATCAGTGAGTTTACCCATGTTCTCCTCCCCACTACCAACGTCAATGGGTATCCGTTTACTAACTCCATACCCTTTCCTAGACTGCAAGACCACCGCTGCCCTGATCGGCCAGCAGTCCTTCGGCGGTGCCCGCGCCAGTGGCACCAACGACAAGGCAGGAAGCGCAGACGTCATGCGTCGCTTCGTCAGCCCCAGATTGATCAAGGAGGAGTTCTTCCCTCAGACTGAGTTCCTGTACCCCAGCAACAAATAAGTGCAGTGTGTGGGATGCCAATGGGTTGCGGTCACGGTTGCATGCAAAATGGCGCATTATGTAATTTAGGGATAGTCAAAAATGAAGAGATTTTACATTTACCCCATTCCTTCAGCATCAAGAGTCGTGCCACAGAACGAGTAGCTTACTTAGACATCCTTGTAAATTGTGAACCTTGCACATGACTATCATCCCAGACGCTGATGCTCAGCTTGATTCGACTGCGCGAAGCACTCGTTCCACTTGGTATTAGAGGAGAACCACATGAGCGGTACTCGAGGAACAAGTAGCCTTGCTTTCGTCCCATTTCTCGTCTCGTTAGCAAGTGACGTAACTCGCAGACCAGCTGGGTGTTGACTGGGTCGCCGTGTCAGCGGCTTGATCCATCATCTCAGAGTGTTAGAACCACCTGATTACAGGTCTGCTTCACATCAAACGTCAAGCCTAACAGCAACAAGACTATTTGTTTCTGGGGGCCTGGTGATATCGCTATCGCTATCCGTATCGTGATCTTTTTCGTATTGATATTGTTGCCGAATCTGACTACGCCAAGTTCGGAGTACGCTAGATGTCGCAAAAACGACGCCGTTAATTGCGGGCAGCAATTAACGCCATATATACCCTACGACACACCCCCTCAGATCCTAGCCCTGTGGAAGGGTAGGGGTCTGTACGCTTTTACCCGTGGCCGCTCTGGGCTTGTTGGGTGGCACTTGGGCTCTTTTAGACCTGATTAGGCGGCAAAACTGCCTACCCGAGCGGGAATTGAACCTGAGGCTTTAGATGTGGGTACGCGTCAAAGCTACACTTTAGACGGTTGTGCTACCGGTAGAACACTGGGCTCATAACTGTCGCAAAAACGACGCCGTTAATTGCGGGCAGCAATTAACGCCATATATACCCTACGACACTAGACCAAAGCTGTGGCTTGGCGGTAGGATGACCGGTTGCATGGCCGGCGTGTTGTCAAAGTTCCACTCGAGTCAGCTTGACCAATAGAAAGAAGGGAGACCACCGGGTGAGCTCCCGATGTCTCTTGGACAGATTGTCGGCTCACCATCCGCCTCGATAGCCCAGGCGTAGAGCCACGCCTCTTGTGCCACAAACAAGGTCCAGGCATCCAAGTCGGCCGGCCGTATACAAAGTAGCACGGCATTGATTCCAGCAAGGCCACCACCCCGCTCGGCGCGGCTACGCTAACCATCTACCCCATGATGGAGATGGTGCCATGAGTATCTCCAGTATCTTGGATCCGAAGCCGGGGCAAGGGCCCGAAGCCAGCCGGTCCTGGGAAAGATCACGGAAGGTCATATACGACTGCTTCAAGATATCATACTTCAATGGCTAGTAGTGCTGCTCAAGGGCCCTGTACTCACACTGAATCAAGAGTGCAATCATTCGCACAAACCCGTCATTAATCTCCGCCTTGGCCTCCAACCATCACCATGGGTGTCAGTAAATCCGACCCAGTCATCATTGTGGGCGCCGGTGCGTTTGGCCTGTCCACGGCCTACCACCTGTCCCTGGCTGGTTACACGGACATTTCCGTTTTCGACAAGCACGAGCAAATACCCCCCCGGGACTCTGCTGCCAACGACATCAACAAGATCTTCAGAGCAGAGTACGAGGACCCTTTTTACACGAATCTCACCATTTTAAGTTGACGTCCCGTGAGCTGTCTTATCTGTGAGAAAGATCCTTTCTGACCAGTAACAGGAAGCCGCAAAAGCATGACAAAGGCCTCTTTTCGCACCATCCTTTCACCGGGTAGGATTTCTTCACTGCGTCTCGGCCAACGCCCCTGAGCGGGCCGCCGAGACTTTGCACAGGTTCCAGAAGGCCTCGGAAGACCACCCCCTTCTCGCAAAGTACGTTGTGCCCATTAAGGGTGGCCAGGGCATCAACTACAATGTCTGGCAGTACGGCGAGGGCCCATGTTCCGGCTGGAAGGGTTACCTCAACAAGTTTGACGGATATGTCCACTCCGGCAACGCCCTGATCGCCCTCCACAACGCAACCCGGGTACGAGGCGTAAAGTTCTTCCTCGGACAGCACGGCGGCGTTCAAGAGATTGTGTACCAGAACACCGGCGCCGGCCGGAAGGCAACCGGTATCAAGACACAGACTGGCAGTCAGATCTCGGCGAAGCTTGTTATTATTGCTACCGGTGCGGCGGCGGCGAGACTGGTACCGGAGTGCGGCAAGCAGGTCGTCGCCAAGTCATGGTCTGTCGCTCATGTCAAACTGACAGACGACGAGACGTCTGCGCTCCGCGGTATCCCCGTTATCTACGCGCGCGACCTCGGTTTCTACTTTGAGCCGGATCCCAAGACCAGCCTCCTCAAGCTGTGCCCCATGGGCGGAGGATATGTGTCGGATTGGAAGTCCAATTCGACCGCGGATAAGGGCAAGAGCATGGGCCACCTCGAGGTGGTACAATTAGACCGCGACTACCCAACCAACCTACGGTTGGAATCTCCCTTTTACACATTACGCAGAATCAATCAATACCGAGATATTGATACTTCGTCACCCCCAGGACCCTACGGTTCGAACCAACTTCCCTGTGATAGGGATACCAACAATATGTGAACACGGATCCCAAGACGGGTCTCTCGCTTCCGCCGGCGTACGAGGAGAGCCAATTCATGCCGCCACATGACCAGGTTAAGGTGCGGCAGCTGCTGGCGGAAACGCTTCCGGCTCTTAAGGACCGCCCGCTGGTTAAGCAGACTATCTGCTGGTTCGCTGATACGGCTGACTCGGACTTCATCATCGATTATGTCCCCAAGTCGAGTGATTCTGTGGTCCTGATGTCTGGCGACTCAGGCCACGCTGCCAAGTTGATTCCACTCGTCGGCGACTGGGTCAAGAACTGTTGGAATATTGACGGCAGAAAAGGGTTGATTTGGAAGGTGGTCTGGGCCGTTGCAAACGGCCCTTCCACCTACTTACACCCAACGGAGGAATCGTGGGCTACGCCCACCAACTTCCTCCTTACACAGATATACGCAGTTCAATACCAAGATTATTGAGCTTCGTACCGGCCCACAGGCCCCTGCTGACGTGTATACCAACAAGAACCTTTTGGAGGCCCCTGATAACAAGCAGCCGATTCAGAGATGGCGTTGGAAAGAACCTGAGGAGAAGGAGGCAGGGAAGTGGGGTGATACTGTTGGTATACACGTCAGCAGGGCAACCGTACGGTTGGAACGAAGTGTCAATAATGGTCTATTATTGCTGCGTCTTGAGGTGGAAGGAGGAGATTGTGGGCAGAGCCCACGATCTCCCAGAAGTGGTATATAAGTGAAAGGGCCGTTTGTAAGTGCCCATACCGCCTTCCGGATCCATCTTTTCTGCCGACTGCTAAGAGATCCAACAGTTACCGTCAGCTGGCGTCTCGGTAACACCGAGGAGTTTGCAAAGATTCGCCAGGCAAGGACGTCAAAGTTGTAGATTATCTATCAGCATAGCATCATTTTATGAATCACGTTTATCTAAGATTTTACCTCAAGGTCAGATTTGAAATCTAGGGTGAGGAGCCGAGGGCTTGAAGCCTACATCAGCTTGTACATGTAGAACGTCGACTCAACGGGATCCTCTCCAAGTTGCTCATCATAACAGATACGCCCCTTTTCCGACCCATGGGCAGTCATTGATACCGAGACAGCTTCGCTGTACACAATTCGGACTGACCACCGGTCGTGACAGGTCATAGACTGTATTCCAGGAATCCAGAGGTCGCTGGAACCTTTCACAAAGCGTGTTATCTCAAGCAGAAGCATGTACATGTACACTCGGCAGTATTCAGAAAAGGGAGAAGACGCCGCCATGACATTGATAAATCTTCTTGATCTACTAAATGCTATTTTCCACTATCGTTTGAGACATCCACTCCGAATCTTCCTGCTCAATAGAGTTGGCCATATCCAATAATTGCGCCATAGTCAGCCCGCTATCATAAGCCATCTCATCCATGTTCCCCGTGATAGAAGAAGAGTAGCTCTCGTGCTGTGAGTGGTCCGTCGCCATGAACGAGACCACAGTGTCTTTGGGACTCGTGTCATCTGGAGGCTGCGTTTGCCGCGCCTCGTCTACAAGCGTCGTCTGCTCGGAAGCCTGCGAGGGCCAAGGCGTAAGCCGCTGTAGCATGTTCTCCAGCTGCTGGAGTTCAAATTTGCGGTACTTGGCGATCCCGTTCCCGGCCATGATCATCTCGTCCAAAACTGTGTAGACTTTCTCGAGTGATGGATCGAGACACTCGAAACATTGTGGGTCAATTGCGGGTCCCAGTAGCAGACTGCTGGCAGACACGAAGCTGGCTTCCAGGTCGAATGGAAGAAAGGTTTCTGGAAAAAACAAGAGTCAGCCTGGCTTGTCTCTCAAAACAATATCTTCAGTCAGAATTAGGAAGAACTCACCTAGTAACCCTTGAGAATGCAAACAGTCTAGTATCGAAACCATTTGTTGAGAAGAATCAATGCACATCTGAATCAAATTTCTGACTGTCTGCGAAGACCTCAAAAGCTCTGTGCATTTACTCTGAGATTCAAACCGAATTTTCAGAAAACAGAAAAGCAGCGGTCTAGTTGCGAGAAAAATGCAGTAACCTCGTTAGTTCATTTCCAGTGCTATTCTGAATATTGAAGTAGACATACCTGATGGTGCAGTAAATGCAAATGGGCGGATGTTCTCGAAATGCAGCTGGTGTTCCTCTCTAGAGGGAGCGCAAACGATTGTTGCAGCTCATCAGCAATTTCTGCCACGCTAGCAAGCACTTCTTTGGTGCCCAGCATGAACTTGTTGTTGAGTCTTCCGTCGAGACCGTAAAACTCTGGTTGGCATCGCTGTCAGTATAAGGTAAAATGATAAGCTCGTTAGGACTTCCACAGGGGTTCACATACTCCTATTGATGCTCCCAATGACCTTTGACAGCTTGATACGCATTCGCAACGCGGCTGTCCTCTGAACTGAACCTGAGTAGGTCGGCAGTTGACAGAGCACATAATCGTCATGTATCGAAGGCGGCATGCCAAACAGCGACGTTATCTCGCGGTCAAGGATGTGTACTGTCCACCATAGTCTTCGACATCTTTCAACATATGCCTCTCCTAGTTGCTGCACAGGCATGTCTGTATGCATTCCCTCTCCAAGGGCAATGCGGAGTGCTTGGCCGATCTATTACCCAACATCAGTATAATGCATCTTGGAGAAAAGAGAGGAAACCTACATAGTTGTATGAACAGTGTCTGAAGTCAATGCATTGCGTATAGAGAGCAATGCAACACATGATCTCAGTTGACAGAACGTGGTTTTTCAGCAACACACTGAAGTCTGGGAGCAGTTGCATAGCCTTGACAAAGAAGTCATGGCCAGGGGGCCTATTCCCCCTGTTGGTCTTCGTCGTGAACGCTTTTCCGAAAGAAAGAATGAGCAAGAAATGAATGAACCACGGATCTGTAGGATCGGGTCTAGGATTAGGGTCAGAATAAAAGCTGTACAAGGACTTCATAAACGTTTCTTCGTCAAAGAGGTGGAACATTTGGCCGCAGTGGAACTTGACGGCGTTGACCAAGTAGATGGCATAGTCCTGCTTTGGAAGGGCTGGTATCTCTGGGACTTCGCCGGCTCTGTAGCCATCCCAATTGAGGGCGTACGTCGTGCCATCGAAAAGCAGAGTGTTGGTTGGCAATGGAGTCTTGTGGACGTATTGGTGTGTGATGTTGAGGACGCTTCGGGTAAATGACCAGTTAGATGACGTGCCCAGGTAGACTATCCTCTTGTTAAACTTCACTGTTCTCTAAATGGTGAGATTGATGACTTACATAGCCTTCCATTCGGCGCTGATGTATACCCCGACTGGCCGGTGGACAGAGGGTTGATGAGGTTCGACGCGACAGGATCTATTGGCGGTTTAGGCCGAGTCTCCTGGATTTCCTTTTCATGCGTACCATCTGCAATGATCGGGCCACTTGATTCATCCCTCATGGGCAAATCACCGTCGCTCTCATCTCCTACTGTCAGCTCAGACATGTTCTCTGCAATGCAAGTAAGGATAATTAGGGATAACTAACAGTTTCCTGCTTTATCGGGACGCTGGCTGCCCTCGAGTGACACTTGGGCTGGCTCATTGGTGCTTCGGCTCCGCTCCCACCGTTCGATTCTCTGTTGAAGGTCGATGATGTAGGTAGAACACAGATGGTGAGCCGGACATATGGGCAAGATCTAATCTTTGGCAGAAAGGCCAGGCCCGTTTACTTACCCTTTGGTGACGACGATTCTTTGATCTCGTTCGTCAAAGGTGCAGGACTGTTTGCGCTTGCCACATGCATCGCACGGCTGAGATCCTGAGCATTTGATTTTCTGTCGACGACAACGCACACAGCTACAGATCGAATGGTGTAAGTCGTGCGCGATTGCGACCAGTTGACAAGGGAGGGAAATTGAGGTGTGGTTGGCTCGGGCAGACTTACGCATTCGACGACCGCTTGGATACCTTGTTTCGGCCGGCTCCAGGTTCCATTTCACTGTAGGAAGGCTTATACTCAAACTACCTGGTAGACAATAGAGCAATTAGACAGGCATAAAAGGGTTGTCTGTGTTCTTTGGCTGCGGAAATCGCGTGCTATGCTGTATGGACCCGGCGAGCCTCAACTGTGATGTGACGTTTTTTTTGCCAAAGCAGAGGTCCTGGTGGAACCGAGTTGATGGGGCTCTGGGCTCTCGGGCCAGGGGGGCACGGCTTATCTGCATCTATCTTAGTCTCCGAAAAATGTCACGAGATGGCACCGGCGATAAGTAGGTGTTCGGTTTCTATACTAGCTATCTGTATGGTATGCGGAGTTGTAGACTAGGACCGATGCCGGAACGCTGGGCGGCCTGCGGAGCACTTGGCTAAGAGATAATACCGTACTCCATACACATGCCGTGTTGATAGTAGCAGCGCTGGATGAAGGCTAAGACGTTCCAGAAGGATGCCACATGAGATGCACTGCAAACCTTGGGAACCTCACATGCATGGTTGCGTCGAGTCGTCGTGTTGTGTTGATAGGTATCTGCCCGTCGGTGGACATCCCGAGCCTCTGCCAATGGTAGACAAGCTCTGACAGAAGCATTCTCCTCCCGGACTACGGGGGATACGACGATACAAAGTGACCAAGACGGAAGATTCTACTCACGCTATCAATAGCCCGTGGGTCTCTACTTCGTACAGATAGTAAAGCACCGAGAAAGACGGCTGAGGGCTGTGCTGTTTGTTTCACGCCGAGAGAGTCTCTGGTTAGGCCTGTCAATTACCTGCTGTCATACTCTATGCTCTGTGCTAGTCCATCAGTAATTACGGGCCGTCCGACTACAAAGCACCTTAGTCTGATGCAGCTTTTGGGGGTCCAAGTGGTTGTCGAATGATGGCTAATTTGTCGCCGAAATGCAGGTTTTCCCGCCATCCGAGAAATCTCAAACTCCGTGTCTCCGGGTTCATGGTGGCAGCACTATGGATTCCCATGAGTTCCAATTGCTAACGGGGTTGATGCGATCATCATCTCATGTGGTCTTACCTTCTCCCCATGGGGAAGCGGAAGTCAACCCAACGTCTCGAGGCTTGAATCCCCATCATTGGCAACCTTAGTGCTGCACGAGTGACTAAGAGAAACTCATCGTGAGTTTGACTTTGGGGAAGGAACCATGCTCTAGACTGGAGTCTCGAGTCTCACGCCCTCTCATGTGCCGGGTTTTGTGGTGGCGCGGTGGTGTGTGCGAGACATGAGAGGAACTTGATTTCGAAGGGGGCAAGTCAACTCTCTACCGTCGGGATGACATCCCGACTTTGTCAAGGTGGGGCGGGAGGTCTGCCGGGTGAGCATCCGATGGTGTGAATTTGAAACGGAGGCTCCGCCTAAGCAGGGGTAAATGCAGCGAAAGAATCCTTGCTCAAGGAAGTTGACCGCGAGTCGTGCCGACGGCGCCTCCGCTTGTATGCGCTGGAGCGGGTAAGCGTTCGCGACGGCGCGACTTTGTACGGCAAAAGCGACTTTTTTCTTTGGACAAGGGACGCGAAAGAATTGGCCCATTTGTGTGTTATCACAACTCCACGGTTGCATTTGACTCTTTGCGGCGTTTTGTGGAAATCCGAAAGTGCGGCCATGGGCCTGGATAACTCTTATCCGGCCATTCCGTCTGATATTCCATCCCACAGGCGTGCGGCGCGAGGTAATGGAATGTTGGTTCCCTCAGCTGAAGATACACAAGATACCAGGTGAAAACATTGACTACAACAACGCAAGCATTATTGATTAGAAGGAAGATATCGGGATGACACCCGGTCATCCCATGTTGATCGAGTTATCAACCCTAGTGAGGCATATTTCCCACGCCAACGCTTTTTTTGTGCATCAGCGTGCAGTACCGCGTACCGTGGTCTTAACCTAGGCAACTCACCGAGAAATGCCGCGCGAGTCATTTCCCTCCCCCTGAACCCTTTAGAAAAGAAATCGTCCCGCTGTGACGTAGGACCCCCCCCCGTTGAAAGGCAGTCTGGGGAAACTATGGGGTATGTTCTACCTAACCGGTGCGTAATCTAACTCAAGCGATAGCAGGCTATCTGGTACTCTTGCAGGAGGAAGCCTGTCAGGCTGATAGAGAGGGAAATCTTGGCAGCCCTTGCCGGCTTTTCCTCCTGGCTGGGACTTCGAGGCTGTAGAGAAGGCCGCGCTTGGGCTGGTTTTGTACAAAAGCGCATCATTCCCAGTCCCAACTTGGGAATGGGTCTTCTCATCATGCCTCTAAGCTATCAATCTCTCTAGTGAGCTATCAGTTTCGCTTCAGTGTCAATGCATATTACGGTTTGCTTGGCCACTCATTCCTTGTCTTGAGCTGTCAACGACTATCACCAACGACAACAACTCTTGACTCTTCAATTCGGTTGTCCTTCCAACCCGGACTCAGTACCTTAGTCAAAAGAATCGTCTCGACGGCATTTTCCACTTCTCGTGTGACCTGTGTCTCCGAAGACTTTAAAGTCATATCTGACTGATCGACCGCATACGGACCAACATCACGTGAAAATACCTTCATCAACTGCCAAGATGACGCAGAAGAACAAGGAGGATATCGAGGGATTGGGACCCGTCTCAACACATTCACAACAAGGCCAGGTCTTGGAAGACCCAAATGCGTCTTACGATGCTGTCTTTGGTGAAATCAAAGAGGGCGGTCCCAACTACCGCAATGTAAGGAGCGATCCTGAAAATCTCTCGGCCAGGAACGCCTAAACCTACCTCTCTTCGGATACTAATTCCCTCAATTAGGTTGGCTGGAAAGGAACAGTCGCCCTGATGATGAAGACGCAAATTGGCCTGGGAGTCTTGTCCATACCAGGTGTCTTTGACGTCCTCGGAATTGTGCCAGGCGTGATCGCTCTGTGCTGCATCGCCGCCATCACCACGTGGTCCGACTACATTGTTGGTGTCTTCAAGCTTCGCCACCCCGAGGTCTACGGTATCGACGACGTTGGACGCCTTCTCTTTGGCCGCGTTGGCCGTGAATTTTTCGGCGTTGTCTTCTGCCTTTGTAAGTTGGTTCAATACTTCAAATCGTAACTCAGAAACTAACCACTGTCTCTGATCAGACTGGATCTTCGTTGCCGGCTCTGGCATGCTCGGTGCCTCGATCGCTCTCAATTCGGTTTCTCTCCACGGTGCATGCACAGCAGGCTTCGTCGCCATTGCCGCAGCCATTGGTTTCTGCTTCGGTAGCATCCAGACCCTCGGAAAGATTACCTGGTTTGCGTGGATTGGTCTCATCTGCATCATGTCTGCCAGTAAGTGCCGCTCAACTCCCTTTTGCAAGGATACTTGGAATCCAGACGCTGACCATGCATGTTCAGTCTTCACCGTTGCCGTTGCTGTGGGTGTCCAGGACCGACCTGCTGCCGCTCCCCAGACTGGCCACTGGACCTCGGACTACAAGGTCGTCGGAGACCCGACCTTTGCCCAGGCCTCCTCGGCGCTTTCGACCCTCGTCTTTGCGTTCGCTGGTACCCCTGCCTTCTTCTCCATCGTCTCTGAGATGCGCGACCCTCGCCACTACACGCGCGCTTTGGTCATTTGCCAGGGTGGCGTGACTGCTACCTACATTGCCATCGGATGCGTTGTGTACTACTTCTGCGGTTCCTACGTCGCTTCTCCCGCTCTTGGCTCTGCCGGTGCAACCATGAAGAGAGTCTGCTACGGTCTTGCCTTCCCCGGCTTGATTGTTACCACCACTTTGGTTATCCACGTGAGTATTCCCCTGACTCTCCAGTCACTTTGATTGATACTAACGTGTGTGTTATTAGTTGCCTGCCAAGTACATCTTCATCCGCCTGCTACGTGGATCCCGTCACTTGACCGAGAACACGATGAAGCACTGGGGCATCTGGCTCGGCTGCACTGCAGGCATCGCCATCATTGCATACATCATCGCAAGCTCCATCCCCGTTTTTGATGGCCTGGTGTCTCTCGTCGGTGCTCTTTTCGGCACTCTGTTGTCTTTCCAGCCCATGGGCTGTATGTGGCTGTACGACCACTGGGCCGAGGGCAAGATTGAGAAGAGACCCAGATGGATCGCCATGGTCTGCTTCAGCTGCTTCGTCATTGTCAGCGGCACCTTTTTGATGATTGCCGGAGCTTACGGCTCGATTGTTGGAATCATGGATACTTACAAGGAGTCTGGTGGCTCGGCCGCGTTTTCCTGCGCCGACAACTCGAATTCTGTGTCCTAGGCCCATTAAGCGTCATGTTCACATGATCAAATGGGTTAGGCGAGCAGATTTGTCCGCGGGAAACGATCCAGTTAGATCCACGCGTTTTGAAATATACCCACTATGTTCTATTCCTGTCAAGTCTCTGGACCTTAAGAAATGCTGTGATATGCCTGCATGACATCCCGGCTTGGCTGTGGCACGGCATCTGTGAAAGCGCCCCTGACGTACATTTAGACGGGCGGATTTACGGACCGAGTCAAACGCCGCTGAAGAAGCGGCTGAAACAAAAAGTTTTCTCGAAGAGAAGGAGGGCAAAATGACTTGTGCTGATCACTTAAATAAGATGTACAAAAGTAGCCAAGATCTGCGGGACCCGAATCTTCTAACTGACATGCCACTTATCTCCAACCCTAAACCCTTCAGGGAATGGATCTGTGGGGTGCAAGATGACTTGCTTGAAAGCCGTTATCCAGGCAGTCCCCTTCACCACGGGAATAATAGCATCATAGTCCCCAACCTTTGCCTCGCTCTTCACCGTTCCGACGAATTTGGTTCCAATCACGCTGCGGTGTCGGAATGATCCTCCGACCGCGAGCTGACCTCTCTTGTGGAGAACCGCCAACCGCGCACATGTTCCTGTCCCACACGGACTCCGGCCGAGTCTTCCCGGGGATACTACCACGGTGTTCACGGCAGTCTGCTGTGCATCTGGCGCGTAGGGCGACAGCGGCTCTGTGAACTCGAAGACGCTGACACCTCGGATCTCTGGGTTTTCGGGGTGTACCGGGCTCGTCTGCGTTTGGATGGCTCTTTTGATCCGCTCGCCTATGCCGACCAATACTTTTCCGTTCTCCGTCTTGATTTGTAGGCCCACTGAGCTCGCGTCGACCAGCGCATACCACATTCCTCCCCATGCAATGTCAGCCTTGACGGGCGTGTCGAAGCCCGGGACGTTGATATCCAAATCCAACCCGTAGACGAAAGCCGGAACGTTTTGAAACTCCACAAATGTTACTTTGCCGTCCTTGCACTCGGCTGTGACCGTCACCAGACCGGCTGGCGTATCCAGACGGAGTGTCGTGGTGGGTTCCTGCATCGGTACCATGCCCGTCTCCGACAGAACAGTGCTCACAGCGATGGTATTGGCGCCAGACATGGGAGGGTACTCCTCGTGCTCCATGATGATGAACCCCGCGTCGGCTTCGGGGTTGCATGGCGGAAGGACCAAGTTGACACACATTGACGACGAGCCTCGGGGCTCGTTCATCAACAGGTTGCGCAAGTGGTCTGCTTTTTTCCAGAAATGCATCATTTTTTCAAACATTGTTTTGCCTGGGACGTCGAGGACGCCTCCGACGATGACGTCGCAGACCTCGCCGCCACAGTGGGCGCCAACGACATTGAAGGTTCGGCCGATTGTCATGGTGTAATAGTTTGAAGTATGATAGATGAGGAAGAGAATAGAATCGCGATCTGGATATCCGCGTATTTCTTCTTAGACCTATAAGTAGGTTTGATAAAAGCCAATGACTCCTCGTTCGTAGACTCGCGGGTACTAAAAAGAACGGTTTCTGTGCCGAAGAGATGTAATGAAGCCTCGTCGACGGATTAGCCACCGGCTCGTTTAACGGCCCAAAATCTCGTATAAGCCGTTCGCATTCGGTAAACTGGAGCCCACCACGGACCCCGATGAGCGGCTCAGCTAGCCGCCGCAGCGGCCCATTTCCCCGCATCGGATGCCGTGCCGGTGGGATAAGTATCCGGTAGGTCTCGCCGAGTCTGACCTTTACATACCTTACGAACTTATCCGCCGTGACGTGCTTAGCTTCGGGGCTTATCGATGCATCTTCTCGCATGTGTTATCTTGATGGACTATTGCGAATCGACAAGCTGCCGATAAGGTCTAGTTGCTGATTTACTTCCACGAGAACTCCCCGCACGACCACCTCACAATCTGGACAGTCTACAACCCTTTACGAACCGGAGCATCTTCACGTTTATTCACCATGGGCAAATTCAGAATTCTCAGCGACGCGGCTGTGCTCGATATCCTGCTTAACCTCCCGAAAGTCGAAATCCTCCAACTCCGAGATCGGCTTGTGGGAGCGTTGGTAGAACTCTCCAAGGGTACAGAGCGGGACCATCAGCCCGATGCATCAATCGTAAACAGACCTGAAGGCACAAAGTGTCTCTTCCGACCCTTCAGCTCCGCCAGCGCTTTCGGAACCAAAATTGTCGTCACCCCGGCGCCCTCATCACCGGCAGCCAATAGCTTGCATGGCATCATTTCCATTTGCGACCAGGACGGCCTGCCCCTAGGCGTCATCAACGCGGAAGAAGTCACAGGATACCGATCGGCGCTCTCTGCCATTGTGCCGTACTTGTGGCGGCGCCATACCGACAACATTGTGGTTTTCGGCGCTGGTAAGCAGGCGTTGTGGCATCTCCGTTTCGCACTTTCGCTGAGGGGTGAGGAGATCAAGTCCATCACCGTGGTGAATCGATCTACGGAGCGGGCGCAGCAGCTTATTTCGAGATTGAAGGAAGAGAACCACGCCCGTTGGAAGTCTACTGCCAACTTTGAGTATGTCAGCTCCTCTAGCTCTGAGTATGATGCTCAACTCCAGTATCGTCTTGCCGTTGCAGACGCCATTTTCTGTACTGTCGGCACCAAGAGCCCAGTGTTTCCGGCACACTATGTCACGAACGGGAGAAAGGAAAGAAGCCCCTACATTTCTGCCGTCGGGTCTTGGCAGGCGGACATGTTGGAAGTAGACCCGGAACTGCTGGCCCAGGCGACCAGTGTCGCTGGTGGGAAACTGCGCGGGCAAGGTTCAAAGGTCACAGTGCTGGTCGACGACCGCGAGAATGCACTCAAGCATTCTGGCGAGATCATTCAGAGTAAAGTCGCGGCGGAGTGCATAGTGGAGGTTGGGGAGATAGAGATTTCACGGAAACAAGGAGAGAAGCTGGAATCACTATCGACACTGGAGGATGGATTGATCATCTACTCGTGCCCGCCCCCACTTTAATGGGCATTCGACACTCACCACCCACTAAAGTGGGTGCTTTTCAGCCAAACGGCCACGTCGCCCAAACGACCACAATTATCCCGATTTACCACCATACATCGCCACCACCACAACAATCCACCACAATGGCCAAATTTAATGCCGTTGAAGAGGAGCGTATACAAGCAGCCATTACAGCTATTCGCGAAGACCCGGAGTTGTCAATCGCAGCGGCGGCTCGTCAGCACTCTGTACCACGTCGGAAGCTCTCTCAGAGGATTTCTGGCAGAGCCTCGTTGAAAGAGCGTGCCAGCCACGGCCACAAGCTCTCTTGGGACCAGGAAAAGGCGATTTGCAATTATATTGACTGTATGGATCGAATTAACCTGCCCGTGAGGCGAGAGCTGGTCGTCAGCGCTGCCAATTACCTACTTGCCGAGTCGTGGGACCCGCCAGTTGAATCCAATGCCAAGAGCCCTCCTCCTCCAACTATCAACTCCCAATGGGCCAGTCGATTTATCAAAAGGCATAAGTACTCTCTGGTCAAGGAGAAAGTGCTGGAAGCTGAGCGGCGCAAATCTGAAGACAAGAATGCCATCAACTCTTACTTTCTCAAGCTGAAAGAGGTCGTCGAGGAGTATGGGATCCAGCCATGTGATATATGGAATATGGACGAGACTGGGTTCCAAATTGGGGTTGGGAAATCCAGCATAGTGATTACGAAGAGACGCAGAGCTCACTACTTCGCCCTTCCAACCAACAGAGAGTCGGCCACTGCCGTGGAGGCCATCTCTGCCGCTGGAGATTACGTGCCAGCCTTCCTCATCCTTAGCGGCTCTGTTCACATGGCCAGGTGGTATGGTATTAAAGAGCTCGACTCTGATACCGTCATAGGAGTCTCACCCACTGGGTATACGAATGATATGATGACCTTGGATTGGATCAAACACTTCGACACTCACACGAGGGCTCGAACCAGAGGAGCAAAGAGACTCTTACTTATGGATGGGTATGGATCTCACCATACTATCGAATTCATTAAGTACTGCAATGAGAACGACATAATCCCATTCGGATTTCCACCACACAGCACCCATATCCTCCAACCTCTCGATGTTGTGGTGTTCCAGCCCCTTAAGCATTACCACGCTAAGGCACTTGACCTCGTGGTTCGAGAAGGCTGTACCAACATTACCAAACTAGAATTCCTCGGGTTTATACAGTCTGTTCGCAAGCAGGCATTCAAACATTCCACAATCCTTTCAGCCTTCAAGAAGACTGGTATCTACCCATACAATCCACAAGTCGTGCTCGAGAAGATCCGTGATCGTGGCCACGATTCTCAACCAACTACACCACCTTTCCAGGGGCCAGGTTCATCGCCATTCGCCACACCTACCACCATTCGGAAGCTCCGTCGCGTGGCCTGGCGTCTACAGAATGATATGAACGACCTCAACAGGGAGATTCAGCAGCTGACTGGCGAGGCCTCCCCGCTTGAGCGGAATCTCGGGCGGTTTGTTCGAGGAGCACTTACACAGGGGTCAGAGCTGCTCCAGACGAAAAGAGACCTCGGGCTGACCCAGCTTGCCCAACAGGTCAGCAGAGCCCGTAGGCAGGGCAAGAATAGTCCAACTGCAGACAGGGGGCATCATCACAGTCAAGGACGGTTGACGTATGGTCGAACGGAGGCAGGCATCTGAGATGGCCAAGGCGGTAGCTCTCGTGGAGGCGGCCAACGCGAGGATCCGTTCTGCTATCAAAAAAGGGGCTTCCGAGGCAGGAAAAAAAGCCAGGAGGATGAGGAATAGTGGCCAATTACACCCTGCGTACATAGTCGACGGTCCAGGCAACGGGCGGCTGTTGAAAAGGGTGTAGTTGAGGCTGTAGTATAATGGTGTAATTACGACGATTATCTGGCCGTTTGGGCGATGCGGCCGTTTGGCTGAAAAGCACCCACTTTAGTGGGTGGTGAGTGTCGAATGCCCATTAAAGTGGGGGCGGGCACGAGTACAAGAGTATCGGTGTAAGTACGACAGACCTGGCCATTGGAACGGCTATCTTAGACATGGCGGAGAAGAAGAGGGCGGGTACTGTGATCTCGGAGTTTTGATCGACGGCTAGTAGATAGTCTGTGGGCAGTACACACTGCACATCTGGACCAACGAGGCAAGCAATGAGGCAATACGACTGGTATTGACGGTTGGTTGGTGATGTTGTGGTGAAGGTGGCTGCGGTGGGCTGGATCAACCAGGAGGTGGATCAGGCAGCTGGTGCCTGGGGCACCAGCCACTGCCTCAGGTATCCACAGTCCCACATAGTCACTAAAAGACAATATAGCTAGATGAGCAATACGACAATCCAAGTCAACCCAAACTCAAGAGCCCATAGTTGTAGCAAGATCTCCATGTGGCCTTGCCTTCTGTCGTTCCTCATCAAATGTGACCAAATCTGGACCATGTAAGTTCCGATGTAATAATGTCTTGGATTGAATGCTCGTCCGAGGGCGCTTTCCGTCCCAATTTCAAGGTCTTTACTGGCAATATATGTGCCCTGACTTCCCCGCGACTTTGAAGATTGGATCCCAAGGCTACGAACACTCAATATTGGTAGACAGTGACATGACCAGGATATCCAGTAGTGGAACACCAATGCGGAGTAACACTCGCCGATGGCCAACCATCCCAACCTCCCCCGCGCATATTTACGCTTGCTGCATGCATGAATGTTACAAAGCCGGACTGTGGATTGGTCCGCGTAGAAAACGTGGTATTTGAAACAACCGTCCGATGAACCCAAACTTCTTGCGCCTAGAGAGAGCCCGTCCCCTTAATGGAAGGTGATTGACCGTTTGACGCAGAACCAAGTGGTGTGTTCATTGGGCCAGAAGCGAATATGTTTGCCGCCGAGGGGGAGCTCGTAAAGGCTCGTACATGGGATTGGATCTACATAAACGACGCTTCGACGTCAACGCGGGGTTGGTTGCTATTGTAGTCGCAAGACAGTATCACAAGGCTTGATATTTTCATGACTTGACTACGAAAATGGCGGGTGTTTTGACGATTCTCTCGGAGCATCCTTCTCATATCCTGGCTATTGCCTTGGGGACAGTGAGTGAAATACATTCCCACACATGACTAGAGCAGATTTTCTCTTCAGAATGTATAACGATGCTAATTTGCCAGGCCGTCCTCTGGCAACTCCTTCTAGCCGGCTATAACCTCTTCCTACATCCCCTCCGAAGGTTTCCCGGACCCGTCCTCCAACGAGCTTCACCTCTAATCTGGGCCTGGCAACATGCCACCGGCTACCAGGCCTTCCGAACCCAGCTCCTCCACGATCGATATGGCCCTATAGTCCGAATTAGCCCAAACCACCTATCCTTCACCGACGTGAAGGCTTGGAAGGACATCTACGGCTTCCAGATCGGCAAAGAGCTCACTGAGAACGAGATCCCCAAGTCGCGACTCTTCTCCACGACGATTAAGGAGCTTCCCACAAGCATCATCAACGCCGAGCGCGAAGAGCATCAGCGGTACCGGCGTGCGCTATCCCATGGCTTCTCGGATAGCTCCATGCGGGCGCAAGAAGGGATCATAATGAAGTACATTGATAAACTGATCTCGCGCTTGCATGAGAACTGCGATGGGAAGGATGCGCCGATCAATGTCGAGGCTTGGTATAACTGGACCACATTCGATATTGCTGGTGATCTGATTTTCGCACAATCGTTTGGTTGTCTCGATCGGTCGAATTACCACCCGTGGATTGCCTTCATCTTCAAGACGATCCGATACAACGCCATCATGACGGCGATGAAGTACATTGGCCTCGACGCTGTTGTCCAGGGTCTCTTCAGGATCGGCGGTCTTGCTGCGATGATGCAGTTGCGTGAGAGCACCGATAAGATGATGCAATCGCGTCTGGACATGGATCCTGACCGTAAGGACCTATTTGAGGGGCTCTTAAGAAAGAAGGAAGAATGGGTATGAATGATCCCCATTGTTGCCTGAGGGAAGTAATGCAAGCTGATCTGGTATCAACAGAACCTGTCGTTTGAACAACTATCAGCCAACGGTCTCATTCTCGTCCTTGCAGGCTCTGAGACGACGGCTACCACTCTAGCCGGCACGACATATCTTCTGTTGAGACATCCCAAGGTCCTGCAAAAGCTCAATGAAGAGGTCCGCGCCAGCTTTACTGACTCTAGTGAGATCACCATCAACTCAGTGAGCAAGCTGCCATACATGCTCGCTGTTCTCAACGAAGCTTTACGGATGTATCCTCCGGTGACGTCAAATCTTATTCGAGAAGTGCCGGAATTTGGGTGTCAGATTGGCTCGGAGCATGTCCCTCAAGGAGTAAGCAATCTCACGCATCACATTGCCTTCTGAAACTGCAATCGATAGCTAACCTCGCCCCCTTCAAGACTTTTGTCGAGATTCAACAATGGTCCGCGAACCACAGTCCGGATAACTGGACCAAGCCCTGGGAATTCAGACCGGAGCGCTTCTTAGAAACTAACAAAGAGGAACACAACCATTTGGATGCCCTCCAAGCATTCAGCGTTGGCCCACGCAACTGCATTGGGAAGAAGTAAGAGCTCCTCGTCCGTCTATTCAGTCACTGCCACTAACATTGACACCTCTGTGAAACAGTCTCGCATATGCAGAGATGAGATTGATCCTGGCACGAATCGTTTTTGACTTTGATCTTCAACTTGCAGAAGGAAACGGGTCCTGGATACAGAGGCAGAGAGCATTCGGCCTGTGGGATAGGATTCCGCTGAATGTCTACTTGAAGCCAGTAGCTCGTGGAACTCGCGCATGAATTCACAATGATATCTCGATGAGTCAAGCCAAGAACACACAAAGTCTATCAGTGAATTTTGAGAGGTGATGCATAGCCCAAGAGCCCTAAAGACGCTCGAAGTGAAGGGATAAACTCCGTATTGGGTACAGTCTACCCTTGAGCCGTCATGAATGTCATAAAGTCATGGTCGAGTGCTTTAAATGCACGACCCCGCCCCCTCTGGTCATCACCCCGTCGTCACAAACCAGCCAGGCTTCATCATAAAGCATGCTGTCACGGCCCACCTCCACCCCAAAGACTGAAATTGGGACCATGAGTGTCTCCAGGCATCCCACCATCAAACGTCTCAAAGTCAGATGGACTCATATCAGAAAACAACGCAGTATCCGGCGTCGGAGCCGGCCACTGCTCGACAGGGACACCACCAGGCTGCTTCTGCTTGAAAATCTCGCTGCTCCGGAACCGCGCCACCACCAGCGGCGTGTCGCATGACATGCCCAGGTTCCGGAACGCAAGCTCCCGTCTCGCCCAACCCGCAAGCAGGTTCTCTGCGCGCAACATGTTGTCCCTCCTGCTCATGTCGTACATTTCCGGGTGGTGGTGAAAGAGCCGGTCAATCGCCTTCCACGCCCTATCGACGAGGGTTCCGACAGGCTGCCACTGCAGGAGCTCAATCATGACGGAGAAAGCGTCGGATTGGAAGTGTAGTTTCAGGTACCAGGTGAACTTGTCGTCTATCGTGTCGTACCAGCTGACGTCGCTCTCAAAGGAGATGACCCACGCGCGGAAGAAGGATTGCTGGCTCGCTCCGCCGTCTTTGTTCTCGTCCCAGGGCTCCCGCGCGTGCATGATCATGTCACGCAGCCTCTGCGCCGTGAAGGATCGGATCTTGCTCGCCACGAGGTGTATCCCACCAGCACTCGGATTGCAGAACCGCCGTTCCGCCGCAGCTAGCCTCTCGTCGTATTGGTCGACGAGAAGTCTGTACTTGTCGAGTGGCTGACCGGAGAACTTTCTCGAAGTTTCTGGGCTGATTTTCTCCCCGCTGAGGATAACTGCTTCGAACTCGGGCATGGGGTTGTCGCAGAAGAAGGCGCGCGATTCGTAGAGCATGAGGCAGAATGCCATCTCGGTTACTCCGTCACGAGACTTGACGGGTTCTGCTGAGCCGGGTAGCAGGTCGACGTCGTTGACATTTGATGGCAGTTTTGCGTCCCAGTTGGGTGGGAGGAGTGTGTCGCCAAAGCCTGCGAGGACGGCATATTTTGTTTCCAGCATGATGATCTGCCACCAGATACGGCGGCGCATCTCGGTCTCGAAGGGTTGCAGACCTATGAGATCTCCATCACGGTGAAGGCCCATTCTCTGCGCTATCCTGACGAGCATGCCGGTCAACACCCAAGCGGCATGGCGATCGAATTGCCCCTGGAGAGATACCTAGCCTGCGATTAGATCAGAACTTGTGCGCAGGACAGACATCTTACCAAGTACAGCACTAAGCATTGCAAAGTGGTCATGTTATACTTTCGTAAGAAGTCCACTTTGGACATGGCTTTCTTTAGTGCAGACATTGAATTCCGCAATGCTTTTTCCTTTTCGACATTGAGCATCTGGATTGATTCTGCTTCCGACAGAGCCATGATTGCAACGACGTTGATGGAACAGAGTAGAGCCTCGAGGTTCGAGCTCAGGTTGAAGCGGTCTGTTGCTGCTTCGAAGACTAGAGGTTCCAAGCTAGGGACGTGGATGACCTTGATCATGGGGTTGACTCGTTCTAGAAATACTTGCCACAGGCGCAGGATCTCAACTGGCCCTAGGGCTAATATGTCAAAATCCATAGACTTTTGGTGAATTACATCGCCGCGTTCTGAGACGCTGGTAAAACCTGACGGATTCGTTGATTTCTCGGTGTCATTGTCGTAGAGACTGAGCTTGGAGAAATGGAGCTGGGATCTCACTTAGATCTTCACTGAGGCTTGAGATCTTATCGAAGTGTACTCACGTGGTCAATAACATTTCCGCGGAATGGGTTTTCCATAAAAGTTGGTCGGCCTTCATCGCAGACAATCTTGCCATTTGGTCTCGAGCTGGGTTGTTTCCGGGCCTCTTCGTAGCTTATGTGGGACATTGCCGGGCTGTCCGCCACATCGCGTGAGGAACCCGGCGTATCGGGATTTACGGGGCATCCATCTGCATCGCGCGGAGCTACCTGGCTCAACAGACTCTCACACTGATTTAATCGTTCCAACAGGTCTTTCACTACGCGTCTTCTACCCGCTCCTGGTGGTGCTCGTGTCGACGGGACACACGGTTGATCAGACTATGGTGGTCAGTGAGCATGCGCATCGATGTGGGTGTGTCGACCTCGGGTCCATCGGCTGAAGGGTCGAATGAGATGATGACAAACCAACCTTTATGCAGTTCGCGCAGGGGAATTTGCGGTCACACTTGATTTTGCGCTGGTGACAAAAGACGCAGGCCAAGACGTTGCGTGGTTTGTCGCCTGCCGGAGTACTCGCCTGCGAAGCTGGGCTTTCGGATGCCATCAAGATCTACAGATGGAAATATGGGGCTCGTTAGAGATCAGAGAAGTGTGTGAGTTGTCGTTCATCGCATGATAAGCTTCTCTTCTGAGCTCTGCTCTGTTGGCGGCAAGACTCTTTTAAACGTGCGCACATCTGCGGGAAAAAGGACAGGGGGCCACGACATTTGAGGATCCACCAGAACGGACTTTAATGGAGACGCTAGGCTGCTTTAGACCGTCCGAGACCCGGCTGATCCTTGCAGCGGACCGGAGCGAAGCCCGGGATCCTGGAGCTCACTGCCACCGAAGACCAAGTCTCTCCCACCTACACACACCATCTGCACCTGCTTTTCGATCCTGGAAGGAGGTTCAGCGAACATTCGATTCTGTTCTTTATAAGCATTTCGTCATTATGCCTAGCAATGATCTCGACTGTTGGGCGTAGCAACTAATGTAGCTGCTAGTATCCGTTGGGAGCCACGCATCAAGCTCCAAAAATAAGGTTATGTCGTGCTGCATCTGGCCTGGTCAACGGACGGAAATTAAGAATTGGACCCCGTCCGCATCAAATCACTTGTCCATGCTTTGGACGGTCCCTCCATGCTGCTGCGGTAGCAGATCGTACTCCTGCATCATACCCTGGTAAAACATAGGGTCCAGATCGGGCAGGAAATAATTAAAGATTCCCATCACGTCGGTCCCCATGAGAGCACTGGGAGACACCTGACCCATCCCACTGTCGAACGCAAAGTCGGTGTACCCTGGTTGTTGCATCGACCCAGACATCGGCATAGTCTCCAGTACCAATGACGATTAGAAAAGCCCCTTTTTCAATGCCGAATATGAAGGGCCGGAAACTTACATCAGACAGATCCAGAGTCATTTGAGTTGGCCTAGCCACTTGGTTGTTGTTTCCACCATCGAGCTCTGATGACTGCTGTACCATTTGCATCGCGGAATGATTCGGAGGTGCATGTGGTCTCGCAGGATTCGTCAAGCCAGCCTCGGAATGCTGAATCTCGTTGACGTAGTCCCGCGCAATCTTTGCGAACTCGGCGATCAAAGAACCGGGCACAGTGCCACCGCTGGCATACTCAATCCGACTGAAGTGACCAGCAACCATGTCGAGCAGAGCCAGGTTGGTAACGGTGTCTGGCTGCCGAGGATCATGAATTACGAGGTCAAATAAGACGAAAAGCGCTGTGATGGGAATTCCCGCAAGGACCCTGGGGTTACTGTTAGCAACCCATACAACGACAACGGGGGAGAAAACAAGATATTGGGCGATGCCCTCCTACTCACCATGTCACCGTGTATGGTTCAACCTCAATCATTGTAGTCAGCTCCAAGATAGCCCTTGATGCATTCAGAATAGTCTTCATCCTGTCATTTTTTGTCGCTGTAACCGCCGGCGTCTCAGGCACAGGCAGATAGCACAGCGTGGTTCTCGCGAGAGTCAGTAGCATGCTGTAATAGAGATAATTGAGGATGAGAGCCAGCGATCTCGCATTGGAGCCGGACACGGTTTGAGGGCGTAAGATTCCGCTCGGGCGAAAGCCATTGTCGGGCAGAGATGCCCTCCACTCCTCTAGTTCACCATTCAACTGGTCAATCACGTCGAGGTAATACGAATCGGAGTTACCCGACACGCCGACCGAGAAGAGCGATGTGTATGCTCGAGAAAGGAGGCGAGCAAAGCGCACCAAGTGCAGAAACCAGCTAAAGTCTCCTGACGTTGCTTCGGGAACGACTGGGATTGGACAGGATATGTCACTATCCACAAAGCTCTTGGCAGTGTTAGAAGACGAAGGGTAAAGGAAAGTGGGCGTCCGTCGGAACGGGACATCAAAGTAGTGACGGGGAGAGCCTCAAGGTACTTACAGAACTCCTCCCGAAGTGGAAGCTGGTGATTTTTTCGATGGCATACAGGATCCAGAAGGACTTCTGGTAGGCGTGGGCGGTCGGGCCAGTGAAGCTATGACTCGACATAATCTGAGCCCGTCTTGCTGCCTCTGACATGATGACGGGTTCGACCGCCAGGCCTGAGATACCTAAGCCATATATAGACATGGCCGTCAGTGCTTGCAAGGTGGTCAGAGAATCGGGAAGCAACAGCAGCTCCGAAAAGCCACTCAAGCTAACAGAGAACAGCCGCCAAGACTCGCCCTTGCCAGGCTCGAATGTGCCACCGTCAGCGTACTGACATCCCAAAGCAAGGACGCAGTAGTAGAGACAACACCACGTTTTGCTCCGTTCGAGGAGATTGGGGAAGTTGGGACTTGACACCGTCGTCTCGAAAGTCGTGCGGTCGAGGAACGGGAACATGGGATGCACCCGCTCGAAGTAAACTGACCATGCTTAGCTTCTGCCTCACTCAACGAGACTACAGGAAGTGGAACGGGAAGTAATTACGGCGAATGTACAAGGCGGCGCGCGCCCTGTCGGTACCCAAGTCTGGAGGTTGCGTCCTCCGGGGGTTCGTGGTGGTCGAGTCAGTACGACGTAACCGCCCATTGACAATGACGGAAATCCGCCCGACGAGCTCGTTCACCTTTTGATTCTGGAGGCGCGTCGACAGGGACAGGAGCCTGTTGTCGGAGAAGAACGTGAGGCTGTTCCGGCCCCCTTGATCTGTTAGTACGTGCAGGCCACTGAGGGCATGTGGCTCTTCAATACCAAAAATGCCATTGCGCTGTTGACGTTCTGTCAGCTTCCAGCAAACTCAAATGTGCAAATGACATTGAAAAAGTGGCTGATGGTGCTTACTGATACAAACATGGTTTCTTCCTGGCCTCTTCCGGTAGAGGTCTTTGGTCTTTGTGCTCGTGCAAGGACGCGATCGACGTGGAGCTCTTGGATGCGGTGGGGAGGGGATTTTGGCGACGTGCGATCCGGGAGAACTAATGGTTTGGTTTCTCCATCTGATGTCAACAAGTCTAGCACGGCTTTGGCGTCTGGGAGACTGGGCGGTCGATTGCTCGAGGGCGAGTAATTCGTTGGCAGAAGCTGTCCGGCAACTGGGGACTTACTTAGTATTTTGCAGTCTTTCGCCATAGAAAGTCGTCCAAAGCTGTTGTGTTCGCTCTTCAGAGTGTGTAACTATCGTATGGCGGATGTTTTGCTGCTCGTGCTTACCGTTGCGCCTGTGGGCTAGCCTTTTTACACTAAAGCGACACTCTTCTTTTCGACGCTTACAGGTTCAAGGTTTGTGAGTAAACGAGCATGTCTTGCCAGGGGAAGGGAAATCAGTAGGTTTTACTACTCACAATGCAATTCGCGCAAGGTCCAGGCGGACCGTTACCTGTTGACAAAGTTAACCCGTCAGTTCTTGAGTGAGGAAACGGAATGGCAATAAGCTCTCTCAAGTCACGTACTAGGACAGCGGACCTTGCGTGACTTGCAAGCATCGCAAGACTTGTGGGTTCGGGACGCAGCACCAACACCAGTAGGACTGGGCGAGGGCTTATCAGCAGTCATCGTCTCGGCTCGCAGAGGATGAGATGAAATGCAGGCTGGAAACAAAACAGCACCGAGAGACGAAGACGAGTAGGTCGGAGACGAGATCTGTAAATATGCGAGGATGTGGTTCGCATGGGGGGAGGGAACCAAGACATTCAGCTTATGTTGAAAGGAGCTCGGCTCCTTTTTTGCCTTTTGGGAGAGTGGATGGAGACTTGGAGAAGTTCGGCCGCCATGTGGGTGTAGAGTCTCGCGCCCGAGATACCGAATCGGGTAACTGTACGCAAGCATCGGACCACTTCAGAACGCCGCCATCCCGGGATCTGCGATCAAGATCTCTGCGGCGCGTGTGGGTGCTTTCTTGTCAACATCGTCAACTTTTCTTGCGTTGAGCCCCCCCCCTCGGGCCGACATGATTCATACGGCTGCCCTACATTAATAAAACCGCACAATATGCATCTAAAACATGGAAATTGGGCCGTGAGGCTCGGCTCGCGAAATCTAAGCTTCGGCAGCGTGACGTGAAGCTAGTGATCTGGACCCTGCTTTTCGGGTCCATTCTGCCCATGTCAACTCGCCGATAATGCGTATATTGACGTTGAAAATGCGTATATGTGTTGTTATTTTCACATGTCTCCCTCATGCTGACCATTGAAAACTTATTTTTAACGAGGAGGGTGCCTCTTTTGGGAAGCTTGTCAAGATATAACTTCTCCGTGATCCCCGGTGGGTGACATTGCTTGAGCCTCTTCTCTCCTGCGATCTTCAGATTCTTTCTTATCTGCACGTTGTGTGATCAGCATATCAAGTCACAAAATGCATCGCCCGCAGGGTGACAGTGGCAACGTCATGTCTAAGCCGTTGGACGACACCTTGCACGCCAAAGCCAGTCAAAAGCACGACCACCACCGAAATGACATGGGTATTGAAGCCAACGATGCCCAAGTCAATGCGCTTGTCCGGCCTTACAGTCTCGACCTCATCCGTTCAGCATCAAGACTCGACCCTGGTATCAACCCGTTTCTGTCAGACCATCCTGCCTTGGACCCAAGCTGTCGCGAAGAGTTCAACGCCAAGAAATGGGCCCGAGCCCTCCTCCAGCACTCATACCACCCCCCGAGGACTATCCTAGACTCGAGGCTGGAGTTGCGTATCGTAATTTGAGTGTTCACGGTTACGGTACTGATACGGATTACCAGAAGGATGTTCTCAATATCCTCTGGCAAGCACCAATGATGATCAAGCAGGCTCTCAGCAACCGTCGTCAAAAGATTGACATCTTGAGGGAGTTTGACGGTATCATCAAGAGTGGTGAGATGCTCTTGGTGTTGGGTCGCCCCGGCAGTGGTGTCTCTACCCTGCTCAAGACGATTGCCGGTGAGACCCAGGGACTTCATCTCGGAGACCACTCACACTTCAGCTATCAAGGTCAGTGACAGCACCGTTTTGACTCTATTGGGGACATCATGTAGGACCTCACGATAGCTGACTGTCACAAAAATCATCAACAGGCATCCCAATGGAAACAATGCACAAGCGTTTCCGCGGCGAAGTCATCTACCAAGCCGAAACCGACATCCACTTCCCCCACCTCACAGTCGGACAGACACTCCTCTTCGCCTCACTCGCAAGAACACCTAAGAACAGACTTCCCGGTGTCAGTAGGCAGAGATACGCCGAGCACTTGCGGGACGTCGTGATGGCTGTCTTTCGCATCTCCCACACCATTAACACAAAGGTCGGAAATGACTTCGTCCGTGGTGAGTGGCTCAAACCTTTGACAAGTTGATAACTTTGAGGCAACCTCGATTAAGCATACATGAATCTTGACAGGTGTGTCCGGAGGAGAGCGCAAGCGCGTGAGTATTGCAGAGGTAACGCTCAGCCAGAGTCCGATCCAGTGCTGGGACAACAGTACTCGTTGTTTGGATAGTGCTACTGCGTTAGAGTTTGCTCGGACTCTGCAGCTGTCTACAGACATGGCAAAGACTTCGCTCATTGTTGCGATATATCACGCCTCACAGCCGGCATATGATGTCAGTTTCTCCTACACAAACTCGTATTTCATCCTTGTTGGCTCATACTTGTCTAGGTATTCGACAAAGTTGCGGTCCTTTACGAAGGTCGCCAGATCTACTTTGGCTCTACGGTGATGGCGAAGCAGTACTTCATCGACATGGGCTACCGCTGCCCCGACCGTCAAGCCACCGCCGACTCCCTCACGTCCCTCACGAACCCTGCAGAGCGAATCGTCCGAGAAGGGTTCGAAAACAGAGTTCCCAGAACGCCAGACGAGTTTGCAACCGTGTGGAAGGGGAGTGACTCCAGGGCACGCCTGATGGAGGAGATCTTTGCCTTCGAGGAGGAACATCCCCTCGATGGCTCAGTGGTCGACAAGTTTGTCGCGACGCGTCAGGCTCATAAAGCCTCTCTTGTGTAAGTGGTGATGAATGTTAATGAACGAGGGGAAAAGAATCATTCGCTAACGGTCGAGAAGAACACCGCAATCACCTTACACTATCTCCATGCCCATGCAAATCTGGCTCTGCATGACGCGTGGGTACCAGCGCCTCCTTGGTGACTGGCTGTTCTTCGTTGTCACTGTTGGTGGCAACCTGGTTATCTCTCTGGTTCTTGGAAGTATTTTCTTCGACCTGCCGTCTGATGCATCGAGCATGAATTCTCGTTGCATTCTTCTGTTCTTTGCTATCTTATTTAACGGACTCAGCAGTGCCCTTGAGGTATGTCATTCTTCTGCCGCCATATGGCCTACGACGAGGGCGCGCAAGCTAACGTGCCGATATCAAGATCCTCACACTATATGTCCAAAGACCCATTGTCGAAAAGCACGCTCGCTATGCCCTATACCACCCCGCATCCGAAGCCATCTCCTCGACAATCTGCGATCTTCCCAGCAAGATTCTGTCGACCTTGGCCTTCAACATTCCACTCTACTTCATGGCGAAGCTCCGCCAAGAGGCCGATGCCTTCTTCATCTTCCTCCTTTTCGGCTTCACCACACTCTCAATGTCCATGATCATCAGAACCATTGGCCAGACGTCCCGCACCATTCACCAAGCCTTGACGCCGGCCGCGATCTTCATCTTGTCGCTCGTCATCTACACCGGCTTCATCCTTCCGACTCGCGACATGAAGGGCTGGCTTCGCTGGATCAACTACATCAACCCCATTGCCTATGCGTTGAGAGTCTGGTCGCCAACGAGTTCAACGGTCGACAATTTCCCTGTATCTCGTTTGTCCCGGCCTACCTGAAAGCGGCGCCGAATGAGAGAACGTGCTCTGTTGCTGGCGCTGCTCCCGGTGCGGACTTTGTCGATGGCGACGTTTACATGAATGCCACTTTCAGTTACTACAAGTCTCACATCTGGAGGTATGTCGCCCTCTTTGTCAAAGTTTGTTATGAAGTTTTCTAACGTTTCGCTCAGGAACTTTGGCATCTTGATCGCATTCATCGTCTTCTTCATGTGCGTCTACCTCTTTGCAGCGGAGTACATCACTACAGACCGCTCCAAGGGCGAAGTATTGATCTTCAAGCGCGGGCATTCGACCCCGAAACTATCAAAGAACTCATCCGACGAAGAGGCCGGCCAATCTGAACGCGTCTATCAACACGAAAAGTCCGAGGGACATGCCGCTCAGTCTGGCGTCAAGCAAGCCGCGATCCACAAGAGCCAATCGGTGTTTCACTGGAAAGATGTTTGCTACGACATTTCTATCAAGGGCAACAACCGCAGAGTTCTTGACAAGGCTAGCGGATGGGTGAAGCCAGGAACTTTGACTGCTTTGATGGTTAGTGAATGCACGTTCTGGTGTTGAATCTGCAGTACTGACGAAGATTTCAGGGCTCTACTGGCGCTGGCAAGACTACTCTGCTCGACGTGCTGGCGAACAGAGTGACCATGGGTGTGGTGACTGGGGATGTCTTGGTCAACGGCATTCCCAGAGACCAGTCTTTCCAGCGAAAGGCCGGTTACGTCCAGCAACAAGATATCCACCTCGAGACATCCACTGTCAGGGAAGCCTTACGATTTAGTGCCATGCTGCGCCAGCCAGCATTCGTCAGCAAGCAAGAGAAGTATGCCTATGTTGAAGAAGTGATTGGGCTTCTGGAAATGGAAGCTTACGCCGATGCCATTGTTGGAGTACCTGGAGAAGGTCAGTGTTCAGCCCACTACGATATTCCATTTCCAAAGAGTCGTAGCTAATTGATGGTCCCAGGCTTGAATGTTGAGCAAAGAAAACGACTAACCATCGGCGTCGAGCTCGCCGCGAAACCCGATCTCCTCCTCTTCCTCGACGAACAACCTCAGGTCTCGACAGCCAGACAGCATGGTCAATCTCATCACTGATCCGAAAGCTCTCTGAGAACGGTCAAGCCATCCTCGTGACGATCCACCAACCTTCCGCTCTATTATTCCAGCAATTCGACCGACTTCTCCTCCTGGCACACGGCGGAAAAACAGTCTACTTTGGCGACATTGGCGAGAACTCCCGCGTGCTCACGAGTTACTTTGAGCAATACGGAGCAATGCCCTGCGGGCAGGACGAGAACCCCGCCGAGTGGATGCTCAAAGTCATCGGCGCTGCGCCTGGCGCAAAGGCTGAGAGGGATTGGCCCGAGACTTGGAAGGAGAGTCACGAGTGTGCCGAGATGCGCCGCGAGCTTGAGCGTCTAGAGCAAGGCCTGGCGCCCAACGGCTCAACGACGAGTCCCGATGAGATGTCTACCTATGCTGCGCCCTTCCATGTTCAGCTTGCCTTGTGCACCGAGAGAGTCTTTCAGCAGTATTGGCGCACGCCGTCGTACATTTACTCCAAGCTAATCTTGTCTGGTGGCACGGTATGTCTCAACTTGTTTTAATCGTCGACCATCGCGAGATTCCAACTAACACTTGTGTACAGAGTTTGTTCATCGGCGTATCTTTCTACAACTCACCACTTACAATGCAAGGCCTCCAGAGCCAGATGTTTTCTATCTTCATGTTGCTGGTGGTCTTTGCCTTCCTCGTCTACCAAACGATGCCCAACTTTATTCTACAACGCGAACAATACGAGGCGAGAGAGCGCGCCTCCAGGGCGTACTCGTGGTACGTGTTCGTACTGGTCAACATCATTGTCGAGCTTCCCTGGAACACTTTGGCTGCCATCGTGATCTTCTTTCCGTTCTACTATCTCGTTGGCATGTATCGCAATACTATTCCGACGGATGCGGTTACGGAACGTGGCGGCCTCATGTTCCTACTCATCTGGGCTTTCATGCTCTTCGAGTCTACCTTTGCCGATATGGTTGTCGCTGGTGTGCCGACGGCAGAGATTGGCGCAACTCTTTCTCTTCTGCTCTTTACCCTATGTCTGATCTTTTGCGGGTAAGTCCATCACCAATTCGGCCTGCCTCATATCTGAAACTAACAAATTGAAAGTGTCATTGTACCGGTCAACGCCCTTCCAGGTTTCTGGAAGTTCATGTACCGCGTCTCGCCCTTGACATACCTCGTTGAAGGTCTCTTGTCCACGGGACTAGCACACAACAAAGTCGAGTGCTCTCAGCTCGAGTTGCTACAATTCAGTCCGGCAAATGGAACCGCGTGTGGTGATTACATGGCGCCGTACATGCAAATGGCCGGCGGCAATGTCTTCAACCCCAACAGTACCGACGTCTGCCAGTTCTGCTCACTGGCCACGACAGATGCGTTCCTGGCTACCACTTCTACGTCGTACGGCAGACGATGGCGGTCGTATGGGCTGATGTGGGTCTATGACAGAATCCATGCATGCTCATATGCGAGTCATGGACATAACCCATTCGGAATGGTCTGACCATCACGAAACAGGCCAGACTGTCATTTCCACCTGGTCCTAGCTCTCTGCAAGACTTATTAGGATAGCATTAGGCCCACAAGCCTGTGGTGATTCCATCCACTCTTTAGTACGAATAGACGCTCTTTTCTGCTCACTCATATATGCATATTCCGCTGGCCACCCTGACTAACCGTCAGTCTACATCATCTTCAACCTATTCGCAGCTCTGTCGCTGTATTGGTTGGCTCGGGTGCCGAAAAAACACTCGTTCGCTCAACTTTGGAGGAAGAAATCTTCATGAACCACGGAGCTCATATTTCTTACTTTCAAATATCGAGGGATTCAAGCCGCCAAAGAGTGTCTCTAGGATCTTGAAAGGCTCAAGATTTTCAACATGTAATTCCTATTACTACTCAACAACTTAGTTTACTTTTTTGTTCACTTCTTCCAGTATCCCATAGAGTACTAGGAAAAGGTTTCCTCTTCACTCATGGTACTTCGTTTAGCTGTATTATAGATGGACGTCGATATTGACAAGGCCAATTTCATCTGGGAAGAGAAGCCCGTTCAAGGCTGCATGTTTCCTCAACTAGGGTAGACTGGACGCGGAAGATTCCAACATAGTTCAAGTTGAACGTTTGTTACGTTTCATGAATTGCAGTCATTTTGACCAACTGCTGTGGTGCTTGCAAGATTGGGCACTTGATCTTCCATCACGCGACGGAACCGGAAGAGTCGATGTTATTCCTTACCCGTCTGATAATTGTGAAGCACTGTAGATTACCTATTCTCTTACTGCCTAAAGAAATTGGGGGGTGTTCGTTATGGGTTCAACATAAGAACACGTCTATCATAAACAACATGCCTAACACTCAATAGGTGGAGTAACTCTGAGTTCTCTCCCCTCAATGGAGCCTGCCCTTGAGGCAATTGCGGCTTGAGGCGTGGGGAACGTTGCGGAGGTGCGACCGGAACATGTTTCCATATCTGTTGACAAATCACCATAGTAATTCGCCTCTTGCACAATCGTTGATTTGTAAGTAAATGGCACGATAAGATCCGCGTCGGAGGCACTGCGCTTCTTGAATCAGCCAATGTCAAGCGTTCGGGGCTACAGGTGTGCGGGTATGTCCGACGTTGGCCCCAAGTTGTGGGTGTGTGGAACTGATCCTGAGAATTGCGTGTTGACGACGAGCGGGGTAATTTTTTGCCGATGAATGTTTTCGGCAGTTTCAGATACTGTTAATCAACAGATCAATCTTGGTTGTGGTTTCTCGTCTTGATGTGAAGTCCCGGTTGTCGTGTCTCGGCGGACTTGCCCCGGTCTGGAGCCGCGTCGCCAAGTATCCGCGCACCGATCGCATCCCGCCCGACATTAAACTGAGGTGCGTTGAAAAACCGACGATTTTCTCTTGAGGCTATCCAAAAACACCTAACGAGAAAGCTGCTGCTCTTTTCCACATTGATAAAACGTTCTGGATTTAGATGGGGTTATGGTGACATCTCACTGGGGAACCCCTTGCCGAAATCGGCTCGGGGTGTAAGGCGTGATTATCTTGCAGTTGTCGCCATATCGTGCAATGGATGTATATAGGCGGCCACATAACTCACGAATAGCAACGGTCTTAGGGGAATATAATTCAGCAGTATTGATACCCAACCCAAAAAATCACATAGCAAGAATGCCGACCGAGTTCATCAGCGTAACTTTCCCCAACGCCTCAACGGAGATCAACCCGATCCCCGGTGCTGGCGTTGACCCCGAGTTCCTAGTCCGCTACGCCAAGAACTTGGACGACTACGGCTTCAACTACACACTCGTTCCCTATGGCTCAAACTCGTTTGACCCCTTCACAATCGGCGCGACCATCGCAGCAGTGACCAAGAACGTCAGCGTCATTATCGCCCTGCGGCCAAACACTCTCTACCCCACCGTCGCCGCGAAAGCCCTGGCAACGCTGGACCAACTCAGCAAGGGTCGCGTCGTCGTGCACTTCATCGCCGGCGGAAGCGATGCCGAGCAAGCCAAGGAGGGTGACTTCCTCTCCAAGGACGAGCGGTATGGCCGCCTTGAGGACTATATCAAGATCCTCCGCCGCGCATGGGAATCGCCGGAGCCCTTTAGCTGGGAGAGCAAGTACTACACTTTTAAAGACTTCCACAGCAGTGTCCGCCCGACAAAGGGCACAATTCCCGTCTCCGTCGGCGGCTCGTCGCCTGAGGCATACCGCATTGGTGGCTCTCTCGCTGACATTTTCGGACTGTGGGGTGAGCCGCTGAAGGAGACAAAAGAGCAGATCGACCGCATCTACGCCGAGGCCGAGAAGGCCGGCCGCAAGGACCGGCCCCGCATCTGGGTTACCTTCCGTCCCATCATTGCCGAGACGGAGGAACTTGCGTGGGCCAAGGCACACCGCACGCTCGACGCCCTCAAGGGCAATATTTCTGCCGGACAGGGTAAGCCTAGCCAGAATGGCCCCGAGCCTCAGAACGTCGGCTCGCAGCGTCTGCTTGACATCGCCAAGAAGGGCGAAGTCCAGGACCGGGCCCTGTGGTACCCCACCGTCACTGCGACTAACGCCCGTGGAGCCTCTACAGCGTTGGTTGGATCTCCCAAGACTATCAATGACTCCATCTTGGACTACGTCGACCTTGGTGCCGATTTAATTTCGATCCGCGGTTACGACAACCTCAACGATGCTATTGATTACGGTCGCTATATCCTGCCTGCGGTTCGCGAGGAGTTGAAGAAGCGTGAGAACGGTACCAATGGCAGCAATGGGGCTTGAATGTTTGATGATTAGCGCTTGTGTATTTTTTTGAGATCGCATGCATGGCTTTTGTGGGCATGCGAAGTGAGCCAGTCTAGAAAGCAGTTGAAATATCAGGAGACTTATGACAACCTCAGAAGGAGCCATCAAAAGCTGCGGACAAGCTTAAGTAGTGATGCAATGCACGGTGTCATTATTAAACCATTTCCCATCCTATCATAAGTCAGTCGTTACATCGCCAGTTGGACCCCCTCTATGTAATGTAAACTGGCAAACGGCTTCCAAATACCTCGCTCTTCTCGACTTGAATATCCTTGCCATGGAAATCATGCAGAAGCAACCAGCATACCATTCGGAAAACAAGCATGCACCAAACATCATTAATCTGCTGTTGCTGGTCGTGAGCAACTACGTCCGTAGAAGCATCAGAGATGATCGACCTGGCCCCACGCCCTTTGCGAGCCTTTTCAGCCCGCAGCTGTTTGCAAACAACATCGATGACCCGCTTGCGCACCGAGAGAAGGTAAATCTCGGCTAAAACGCTGTGTCTCTCGCTCGAAGACGCAGCATCCAGCTTCTGGAGGAGCGATACCTCCTTCTCGGTTTCCTCGTGTTCCTCTCGCGTCTTCGGGATAGGGGATGCGCCGGGAACAACGAGATCGTGTCTCGAGTCCCTCTTTGACCGGGTAGGATCTCCTGTTGTAACCACAACTGTCTTGTACTCCCCTTCCTTATCGTTCAGAATACGCAGAATCTCTTGCAGGTGTACGCGCAGGACGTTCTGTACCAGGTGTATCCTCTCTTGACTCTGAAGGAACTCATCACATTTCGAGATGGCTGAGTGCAAAGCCATGACTAGGTCATTAGAGTAAATTCTTTCCTCAGTGTTGTTTGTGCGTCTCAAGATCGCTTCTGGGCCGTCTCGAGATTCGAGCTCTTCGAATTTGTCTTCAATCTTGCCGGTTTCCTTGAGAATCACGCTAATTCGAGACCCTTCTATGTTTTTAAGCATGGCTTCGGTTTCTGACGACTCGCCCATGATGTGGACGTAGTCGCTGAGAAAGGTTCTCAGTGAAAATGACTTTCGGTCCCAATGCCAGATGGTTGGGTTAGGGAGCATGCGGAAAGCCGTGCCGGGAATCTGTAGGACGGCACCCACCATACCTAGCATTTCGAAAGCAACTACATCATAGTCAGTATTCAAGCTTGGTTGGAATGATGAGGACAAGACCTACTCGGAAACAGGTGGATGTGCCGTGTATCTGGAGTTGACTTTCGGAAGTGCCGGACAGTATTAGTGTTGCAACCGATCACGACCAGAGTTTCTGCGATAGCTGACATGCTACCGAGCTGGAGCGTTCCGATGTCTTTCGGTTCGTCGGCGTATTTGTAGTTGTCGTTGTTCTGCTGACGGAAAATCGTGGGGCAGTACCCAAAACAAAGCTCCTTGACCTTGTTATTCGGCACCACCCTGTTCTCGTGAAACCATGTCGGTCCAGTCTTCTCAAAGGTGAAGACGATGCCGAGATCGTCAACATCATATCCGGTGATGCTGAATCCGTTACCCTGTCCGCGGTAACGGTCCTCGTTGCGATTGAACTCTTTCCAGTGAACACCCAACATCGCTGCCATTTCTACTAGGTGCGAGATCGTTGTTGTTGCGTACGGCTTCTTCATGTTGTCTGGCATGCTATCCCATGACTTCTTCTTCCTCTGCATGCCGACGGTAAGAGTGTAAGGTACAGGAGTGCTGGATTGGGTCGGATGGCATGGTGTTTGGGCTTCCCATTGAGGGTTGTACCCGAAATACTCCTTATCTTGCCACGTTCGCGACTCCCTTTCCATACGCTGAATAGCCATCAACAGACTCGTCCAGTTTGCGAGTTCGTTGTCGGCGGTGTGGATAGCTTGACGTGTCATCCCGGCCCGCAAGGTCTTGGAATGCTTGTCGTATTCTTCTTGGTCCCAGGTATACGTCTTCTTATAACTGTCTGTCGTCCCGGTCATGTAGGTGATCTCCTTGTCGTCGTGCACGCCGAGGGGTCCCCTTGGGTTTGTCGGCGGCGCAACGAAGATGACAGGAACTTCGAACTCCACCTCGAAACGGAATTCATACCATCTGAATCGTCGACGTGTGAACCTCGCCCAATCTCCCATTACCTTTGGGGTACATGATGAATAGCCGGTTGCCGATGCGTAGTATTGTTGGAGTGCTTGGAAAATTGCAATGATGAAGGCGAGGACTGATATCACCAAGGCAACAACGGCTACAATTAACTCAACTTGGTTGTCGTTGTTGCCACTGTCGCCGCTGGATGAGCTCGTGGAGTCTGAAGATGACATGCTGGCGATCGGATGGGGCTGCCCTAGATGTAGGTGGTTGATGTTGCTCCTCTAAGCACACGGAACGGCTGTAAAGGCCGACATTGAGCCGCCAACAGGTAATTAGAGCCAGTGATCTCGGAGGCTGAATCTCTCTTAAAATATTGAAAGGGAGAAAGGCTAGAAGGAAGCCCGATTTATCAATGATATTCTTAAGTATGTGTTGGCAGCCAGCCTGATGCGAGCCTGGCTGAGACAAAATGCATGTTGAGCTAGGCAGCCAGAATCAGCCCCTGCACAGGCTCAAGTATCATGTGTAACCCCTGCACTTCCCCATAATGGAACAGCTACGACAAATGATTCAAATTGTCTTGGAAGACCAGGATCGCAAGGCTCTCCAGCTTGATGGAGCATGGTGGTCATATGGACGTCTAGCGGATATGCTAGTGCTGAAAGTTGTTGCCATCTCATTCATCATCTGTGCCACAATATGGCTGAACTAAGGTTCGCCCCGACGCCGTCTTTGGATCTAATGGAACTAGCAAAGCGCGCTCCAAACCCTATCGTTTTTGAACCAAGATACAGTTTTGCTTCATCATAAGAGTCAGGGCCAGCCTCCAATATCAAAACACCGCTCGAACTTGGAATAGCAGGCTTGGAAGTCATATTCCAGCAACTCCAACGCCATGGTAAGCACTAGGCAAAACGGCCAGCTGGCTGAAGTCATCGTCCCAGTTGGTTGGTTGAGTTGGTTTGGGAGGGGCCCCAGTCCCCTGTTCGCGAGAATCGGTAGTGACCATCATTGGCTCGAGTAGCACATCCTTGCGGCGGGACATGCTAACATGCAGGAGGCGGCACCGCTATTCCGGCCCAGCCCTCTGGTCCACACAACAATTTCTCAGCTTCCCTCTCTTGCCTGCCATCCCTTTGTGGCTCTCACGAGTCGGAACGGGCTGTGCCTGCCATTGCTTTCTGAGAAGTGATGATGTTGGGCATCTGAGGCACTCAAGGCTTGAGAACTATTTGTCAGCAAGATGTTCCAGGGGAGAGTGGGCGAGCACCTCCTTAAATACGACGTTTGCTGCAATCCACAGGGTTGTCAAGTCATTGCCAATGTAACGGCAGGTTGCACCAGTCACAGAAGTAAAACAAACTTTCTGCACCACCAAATGTATGAAGCTTGAACAAGAGAGCGTCTGCCAGTGAGTATTCAGACCGGACAGCAATCCAACGTCTATCGTTCCTCGTGAAGTCCTCGTCGAATCCAACTTCTTTCCGTATGCATCAAAAACGTTGCTGTAAAATAATGTCGATTGCCTGTGTAAGGGAATTTTGTCAGCACTGGAGCTACAGCACTAGTTTCATTCATAGTCGAGAAATTTAATGTGTAGGGGCATGATTTACCTTTTCGGCGATCGCATAAACCGTCGCCTGGGTATGCTCTGACGGAAGTAAAGGCATAGTACTAGCATCGACTATCCTCAAGCCATCGACCCCATGCACGCTAAGGTTGGAATCCACGACACCACCAAGTGACCTCGGAAGCATAGCGCAGGTCCCAGCATAGTGATACTCTGTAGAGCTGGCTCCTTTGATGAATTCTAGGAGGTCATCATCGCTCGTGATACCGACCCCTGGTAGCGTTTCTGTTGCTCCGAGGGCTTGGATTTGTTCTGTGGCCAAAAGCTTTCGGTTGAACCGTATTGACTCGACCAACACTTGACCGTCGTAAGGATGGGAAAGATAGCGTGGGTCAATGACCGGCGGCGCGAAAGGGTCGGTGGAGTTGATTGCAACAGTTCCTCGGCTCAAGGGGGTGCATCAGGATGTTTACTATGGAGCGTCCACTGTCGACGTAAAGAAGCTCCATGCCGGCCGTGGAGCCATTTTGGTGCATTTCTAGAACTTGTTGTACTTGCTTCAAATATCCATCTTTGACAGTCTGGTCAGTATCTTGTGGGAGATACTGAGCGGCGCCGGCACTGCTCATAACAGACAGCAATTTGCCAGTAACATCTGACTGGGTGAAGTTTGACAGAGGTATGAATGCGAGTGCCTCTGCAATAGTATCCGTCCAACGCCCTAACAACTGATTAAGAAGAACCTCTCTTCATTTGAGTGCTGGACTGACCTTTTCTTTCGGAGTAGTAGAGATCTTTTTGATCAGCATTAAACGTTGCGTTTTCTAAGTCGTAGTTTCCGGGTATCCCAGCACTCACTAAATGTCGAGTTAGTCATGCACCAAGTTCCATGCAGCTGAAGCATTGATAGTGAAGTTACAAGAAGCAAGCGTCAATCCGAATGGATGATCTTGCAGGTTCGCGCCAACGCCCGGAAGGTCGACTTGCAAGGGAATGCCGTGCCTCGACGTGAGGGATACTGGCCCGATGCCGGACAGCTGCAGGAGCTTCGGGGTATTCAGAGCACCTGCCGACACGATGACTTCTTTCAAAGCCTCGACTTTATCAGCTGTCAAACCAGGCCCGGCTGAAAACTTTGCCAAATGAAGTCAGCATAACTATTTCCATCGAGACGTCTCCAGGCCTATAGAGTAGTCTACCTCGACTCCCGTAGCTCTAGGCTTTTCTCCATCAGTATTAAACAACAGGTTTGTAACTTAGTGCCCTGTGAGAATGTCAAGGTTGACTCTGTCCACACTTTGGTCATAATGAGCTGTTCTTGCACTTGATCTTGACTGGTTTCTTGGATGGATAGAATGAGTACTTAGGTATGCGCCAAGCGGGTTGTAGCCTTGGTCCACCGGCGTACTGATTCCGAGCCCGTGCATGGCATCAAGGAAGTTCGCTTTGTAAGTTTGGTATGACTAGTCTACTTTGAGAAGTACTGATTCACGAGTGTGGGATCAACTTGCTGTTGTTCGGATGTGACCAAGCTAGGTAACTTGATTGGATAGGTCCTTCAAAACCATGGCAAGCGGCATCAAAAGTCATGCCATATGTCGCGGAATTCGCAGGTGTTGCGGCGGTAAAACATTCGCTCTTCACATTAGGCATGCGTCAGTGCAGTGAACACTCATGCTTCTCAGTGGTCGTTCCAAGCGCACCTTCTTGAAGTAAGGAAGTAGAGCCGCAAAGTTCCAGCCCTGGTTTCCAAGAGCGGCCCAGGCGTCGTAGTTGGAAGGCATCCCGCGATCGAAAATCATCGCATTGACCGTACTACTCCCACCAATCGTATGTCGTTGAGTGAGGTTGATGATCTGCTTGGAGAGAAACTCTTGCGGGGTTGAAGTCAAGTTCCAATTATACCTGGTGCCTGGAGCGAAGCCAGACGCACCTGGGTAGAATCGAGGGATCATGACGGCGGCTTCATAGTTATCACTAACTGAGAGTCAGACACCTTCACCAAGTCCAACATGCATGTGATTATTGAAGCCCACTGACGGCATTCCTGCCTCGATAACGAGAACTGTGACTGCATTTTATCTTGGTTTACGGAGTAATACCAGGTTACGGATAAGGCTCCTCGAACTAATTTTCATTCCCTTGGCCGGGGAGTAAAGGGTCTGTACGAATAAAGCGTGCCACTCCACCCTACCTTAAATCCGGCTCGGGAGGGAGACCAAGAGGTGGCGATCGCACCTACCTTGCCGACCAAACCCTCACCCGATTCTTATTCTACCACCCGAATATAAAGGAAGCTTTTGAAACACCCCTCAAATCCATTTATGTCACCAGCCAAGAGGCGCTCGTCTAGGTCGACCTGTCAGGTCAAACTGTCTGGGTGAATGAGTGGTTTAGGGCTAATAAACTATAGATCAACCAGCCTACTCGAGGATCGGCTTAGTAAGTACCCGAGTTCGAATCCGAGCATGAGCACCAAGAGATGTACCCCCCAAGGCAGCACCGTGGGGGTGAACGCTTTCTATTTTTACTTTGTCTGTCGATCAGACAGATAGATGCTTCCGAGATTTTGCTGAGAAGAACAGACCGCTCACATCAACCCGCTACTCAAGCTGCTCTGCCATAACAATTGAGCACGAGAGCGCTGATATGGACTTGGAGTTTGTCCGTTATTAGGTGACTAACGGACATCAGCCAGACTCTTGGTATTTCTTATTTTTGGCCAATTAGGAAGAATCTTTTCTCAGACTACCTTACCGTGACAAAGTCCACAATCTCCACTTCAATGGCCTTAGCTGTCAGCTGCCAGCATTGTTTGCGTTCAGAAGATGGACTATGTTACTGGGGCTCTACCTCTATGCTACATGTGAGATGTTATCTAGAGTAACACCCACAGGTATATGCAGCCATGCTTGGATACTGTCTTTTCTTGCTGAACTTGGGTACTTCCGGCTACTCGTGGCTGGTACGGCAAGTACGGAGGATCTTGACCCCAGTCAACATCAACCTGCCGCCCGGTGTGTCGGTTGCGGAGGATGTATGCAGAAAGATTGTCGTACTGTTAGGGTATTATTTGAAGGAAACTATTGACCGTGACTCAGTGTATGTGCCTCGACGGTATATATACACTTAAGGTACCTAGGTAAGTCCATTGGTCACTGCTCCCGGCCTCCGACTACCTTAGCTTAACAGGCCTTGAGTTCAACCTTAATATCAGGTGAAGTTCAATAACTTATGAGATATTCCTTCAATGTTTCGCCTGTATATTAAGGACCTTCCGAAGAAGCAAAAGCAAGCCAATACCTTCGGTGAATGAGTGTTACGACCAAAGGTGCAGATCGTTAAGACCAATGTTTTTTGAGTGCATCATAAGTTCTGCATCATGAATTCCGGCGAATTATCGACCAACCCTCGACATGGCTTACTATGCCATCGAAAGAACGCCAACACGCATCAGGCAAATAGTCAGACATGAGCCATTATAAGCCTGTGATCCTTCACAACACAACGATGCTGCCATTGTTGTTGTTGTTGTTGTTGTTCTATTTAACGCCATGGCGGCAAGGGCGCAGCCGCCCTTGCGGCAGACCTCCCGGAGGGTATGTGGCGTGAAGGGTCGCAGGCTCTAGGTATATACTATATAGTACACGCCGTATCCTGACGTCCTCCAAATCTTGCTCGTGAGCTACTATGTGTTCTATCCATCCCTAGTTCCCACTGGTGCCCTAGTTCCGTTATAACCATCTGGTTTCTTAATAGAGGTAGTTTGTCGTTTGGAGGATAGGTTATGACCTATCTCCTAGTACTGCGGGCAGATCTTCTGGAAGAAGTCTGTCACGCAGAGGAAGGCCTGGAAGCCTTGAGAGTCAGTGATTAGCCCCTTGAAGTAGCGATCGAGGGACCCTATAGGTCCTACGGGCTCCTGGCGGCTGTAGGGGTAGAGGGTGGGCCACTGTTGCCTCCTCAGTAGGGTCTTTCGGCAGTAGACTAGATGGTCTGCCTCCTTAACCCATCCACAGGAGCAGGTGAGTAGTGCTTCTGTGTGGATGCTGCCATTGTCTATCAAGACAACGCGGCGACTGGAGACACCGATGAGACCAGTGCCTCCTTTCGGCATATAATCCTCGTGATTATCTTGGAAAGAGAAAAAGTACCCGTGACGATCGTTCCGTGCATGTTCAGATACGTCTCTATGATTGGAGTAGAAAACGAATAACCAAATGAAGATGCAGTCAGCATGACGCCGGCCAATGAGAAGGGATACCGTGGTATCCAGTGGGGGCTTCGGACTTTAAGCCAAGTGATGCATTAGAACTGAAGAGAATTAGAGTGCGGCTTACCTACATCTTCTGCGATGACTAAAGAGTTAAAAAGTGCCTTATCTGCAAGCGCGCGCGCGACCAAGTGGACTTTGCCGCTCGCTATGCTTACTCAATCTCTTTTGCCCCACGTCTCCGTAATGTCCGGCATTGGGACCGGGGTAGGCATTCTGATACTTGGATGACGGGATATCATGATCGCATCTATTCGGCAATATTTCAAGACGGTGGCCTTTCTATGGACTGGAAAAAATCCAGTTCTCTTATAAATACCTCCCATGATAAAGACACCTGCGGCAACGAGTTCTCCATTCTCTTTTCGCGGCCTGTTCCGGTGTGACGAGTCCTCAGAATCGAATGATCACGAGCATTCTTACTTACTACTACTACTACTACGAGCATTCTTACTTTCACAAAGTTCACCTACGCAACTAGATTCCACCATGGGACGCCCACCAACTAGCGGCTATTGTCATACCTGCCGACGAAGACGGGTCAAATGTGGTATGTTCGCCTTCTTGCTGTAAAGTTTTCCAGCCCGTATTATAGTCTGAACAAAAATCCCCTCACTTACACGCAAATGGAACTACTTAGACAAAGCTCGACCCGCTTGTGAGAGATGTCTCAAGTCCGGCCACAAATGCCGAGGCTACGAGATGCCGCTCCGTATGCAAAATTTCGCCGCCTCTGGCGATGCAGGTGGCAGTCAACAACTAGTTAGAGTGTCAAACACGAGCTCGAGTACCATCATTCAGCAGAACATCGTGCCAGAGCTTCCGTTTACAGCTTTCCGTGACCGGATGGCATTTTCACACCTTGTGGCCCACTACCGCTGGGCCCCATTCTGGAAACCTCTCCTACGAATGTCATTGGACGCAGAGTCAAGTTCAGACGTGGCCAAGGCCGACTACACGGGAAGTCTGGCGACGGCGCTTGGCTTCATGGGCAATTCTGTCAACGAGCCGAATATGTTGGCCGAGGGCTACGAGTTGAATGGCAAGGTAATTAGAGCATTACACCACGCCGTGTCAGCGAAGTCCAATCAGGAACTGGCTCGGTGGGCCTTTACAATCATCATCCTTAGTCTTTACCAAGTAAGTCTCTAGAAAGGAACTTTGGTCAGACGAATTTGTTGAGTGTGCTGACAACTACAGTATGCAGTGGAGAACGTGCCCAACGTTCCTCACTATTATGGCATGTCGAAAATCATAGAATTGTGTGGACCTGAATGCTTTCAGCAAGAGCCGATGTTGACCTATTTGCGCCAAATTAGGGCGCTTCACGTAAGAGACTTTTGGGCCTGATACTTTGATGCCACCCTCCCCCCAGTACTTCTGGCCTTTACTAATAGCAAATACTGTGACATTAGGCGTGCAATTCGTTCAACCAGCATGATCACTCGTTCTTTGAACAGACGCGATGGAAAACTGTTCCGTGGCAATTCATACCCAAAACATCCCACGACCTGCTGATGGATCTTTTCGTCGACATTCCCGGCCTAACCTTTTCTATCGCGTCACAAAATCGATCTTTATTTGGGGATGAGAAAGATGCTGCGCATGCCAGAATTGACCGGCTTTTCAGGGATCTACATGCCTGGAGATGGCACTGGGAATACAACAACCCAGGTGCTGCCAGGGAAATTCATCTGCCTCTCGAAGGAGAAGCAGAAAATATTCTACTGCCCTGGGCCAAGGCCTTGCTGTCTAAGCCAATTGAGGTGAAGACTCCAGAACAGGCTGCCGAGTTAATCATCTACAACGCTTCCATCACACAACTTATCAACCTGCAAGTCTTGTTGGACATGGGCGTGCGGCACCCACAGCCATTCCCTGGGAATATCGGAGAGTCGATGCTCAAGCCAGCAGGAGATCCTCTCTACACACCAAACGACGTCAAACATAAGTGGCAGCCATCGATGGAGGGTCTGAGGCTCATGAGACTAGCACCGAAGCTTTTGTCTGCCAGTAACGGCACCTCAGTCATGCTAGCTGCATCACCTCTCGGAATTATCTACAATTCACTACTCGGGACGGAAGGTCTTGGGAATTTGTTCCTGTCGACGATGGCAGTTCCAAGTGATTATGCAATAACGGATCGAGAGCTTTCTGTATTTCGCTTATGGTAGTAGATGTCAACAAGTAGTTGATAATGAGAAAAGCTTGAGACATGTATTTCGATTATAAAGAGCCACCAAGAGGAGAAGATCATAAAAATACAAGCTCATGAGATCTACGAAGATCATACATACATAGTCTTCGCAAGGTAAAGCTTTCTCAGCCTCAAAAAGCAAAACTTTGCGTCGAGGGGGAATCGAACCCCCGGCTCCCCGACGCTGCTGGATGGCAACGGAGAATTTTACCACTAAACCATCGACGCTGATGATTGGTTGTTGTAGTCGTGAAGCTCTGATTGAAGCCATTGACGGCGACACGCGATTTTGTTCTTTTTTTTCGCTCTCGCGATCGCGAGGCCAACCCTTCAGTTTGGCCAGAGTCTTGTTCGTCCGGCTCTTGAGTGCCCTTAACTCCCTTCAGGTGGTTTTGAGCTGCCCCTTAGTCGACGATACTCTGATTTTCGTTCATGGATTGGGCCCACTCCTTCATGGAGTCCTTCGTCGTCGCGACTAGTTGTTC